TAATCTTAAGTCACCAGTGAAGATCCGGGCCTTGCAACCCATGCTTATCGTAAAAGGCGACTAACGGGATCGGGTGGCCAGACTCGCTGCATGACTTGGTTGACACATGTAATCGCATTCCAATAATTATTGCTTAGATCGATGCTCATGCTGTTGATCACTGGATTGTGTGGTCCAGACTCGATTATTTACAGACCGCCACCATATTGCAGGGATATCGCTGAGTGTAAAGTCAGTCAGTCACTGATGATGCTGATCGATGCTGATCAATGCTGGTCCAGACTCGATTATTTTCAGATCTCCGTCATAAAGCTGGAATATTGCTAAGTGTGGCGTTAAACCACAAACATACAACATATATATAATCTAAACACAACAGAAATACTTAGAGAATGGACATTGGGCTTTATTTTCCTCAGATCAGTATACTTACGGGGAAAGAAGACACGCCTTTCATGGACTATATGACGGACACGGCTGTGTACAAGGTGAGTGAATATCATACCATGTCATTACCAGGGCCCGACATTCGACATTTGCCATGTTGAGTAGTGGCAAATAGACACAAATTGTGACTTTTGAAAAGGTGGACGATAAAATGGGTTTTTTTCGTCGGGGAGATGGGGTAGCCTATTTGTTTAAAGAGTTTGTTCTTCACGCTGAAGAAATGGGTCTCCTTTTACAAAGCAACCTTTACTAAGGTTAACCTTAACCCCCAATCTTTAACATCGCACTAAGGTTACCTTAGTGACTTATGATCACCTTAGTGCTTTGTGAAAGGAGGTCCTGGTTTCGATTTCCCACATGGGTGAAATTTGTCAAGCCCATTTCGTGTGATTTGTTTTCTTGAAGCAGTGTGCAAAATTTACGCTGGTCCTGAGGTCCCTTACTAGTAAAAAATCATCACGACCACTAAATGCAGTGGTCCTGGTGGCCAGTGATATTTTTCCCCATCTAAGTAATTAAAATTGTCTTTAAACTAAAAAGTGAGATCGTATATTTTAGCGAGGATTCAAATAAAGTAATACTCGCAAGTCGAAGCGCATGGGAAAACAGGAACCAGTTTGACATTCGCGATCACTCCAGTGGACAAGTGAAGTATAGACAGGACCACTAATTGTTGTCCACTCACTGGTCCTGTGGTCTAGGGGGAAATTTTGAAAGGTTTCTAACACTGGTCTTGTTGTAAGCGTTCAGCAGTAGATTTGACGAAAATGTCACTCAGCCTGTAGGAATTTCAGTTGTATTCAGCAAAGGGTTACAAACCGACTGGGCCCAATTAGAGCTAAGACGAATATCATACGTTCACACAGGCTTTGTGGAACGGAGCCCTGGTTAGGAATTCGCCCCCTGCAGTAAATGTTGGTCGTGGCTTTTGTCCACTGACACCCGTGAAGATCCGGGTTTGAACTGATCTTCAGCAACTCATGCTTGTAGTAAGAGGCGACTAACGGGATCGGGTGGTCAGGCTCGCTGACTTGGTTGACACATGTCATTGGTTCCCAATTGCGCAGATCGATGCTCATGCTGTTGATCACTGGATTGTCTGTTCCAGATTTGATTATTTACAGACCGCCGCCATATAGCTGGAATATTGCTGACGTCATATATCGTGACCCATTCTATCAATCGCTGGTTTATTTGGAATGTTTGGCAATTTAGATGATGTTGTTGGTTGAAAAATTGGTATTCCCGCGCCCTAAAACAATAAACATATACCCACTGTGAACTGTATGTCATTTTAAGCATTCCCATATTTTATGATGTATGCTGTACACTACTGTTTATATTTGTTCCAGGGCCAGGTCGTGCGACTTCGGAAGCTGACACTGAAAAATCATACCTTGAACAAATCCCTATTGTCCGAGTTCAAACAGGTAACACTGGAACACTAACGTGAACAAGTTAAAATATAACGGGACTATTGCTAGAATGCGTACAACCGCAAACAGACATGCATTAACTAATGTTTTACTTAAAGGGATTAATACATATGTTTGTGTTGTGTTCAACAGATATCGGGGGCAAGGCGTACTTTTAATAAAGCGAAGAGGAGTCAGTCGTACTGATGCTTTCTTGATACTTATTATTGCCATGCTGAGATAGTAATGAAAATTGGGATGGGATAACAGTGCATCGATGTTCGCATTGATATACTAATGGAAAGCCGTTGCCATGACCACAAGAAAGTAATTAATATGAAAAATAAATGATTAGCCTAAGTATTAGTAATGGATCTATTGAAGAATGATGCCGTATAGCGTTGGAGCCTGTAGTCACATGGTCCATGTTGTGTCCAAGAACCGACAGTTACAGACTGCAATTATAATTTTATGCTGTCGGAGGCAAGGTTACATGCCAGTGTGAATGAACTGAATTTTACACCGTGTTTAGCATTGTCCGTGTTATATCACGGGTAGATGTAGGTGAATGACTGGAGGTGTTAGGGGGACTGCGCTAGAATTGAATTTTACAAATGTTGGAATCAAACCCGGATCTTTGGCGTGACAAGCCAGCGCCTGAACCGCTGGTCCACCAACCTCTATTTTTGCAGTAAACTATCTGTCTCTATCCCTAATTCCTTTCAATTAAGACACACCCTTCTGCAGCAAAAATACTAGAATAAATATATTTTACTTTGGGACATTTTTTTAAAGAGGAGGACCGAATTAGAACTTAAAAACAACATCAATTATTGAAAACAAAAGTGTGACGGGAGGAACAATATTTTATCCCAAACTAAAAACTGGTCCTGAACTCGTCTCTTCAGTTGCCCGGCGTGTCTTTGTATGGGTAGCATAGAGCAACCTTCGTCGCCATATAGCTGGAATATTGCTGAGTGCGGCGTAAAACTAAACCCACTCACTCCTTCATGTAACGTGGGGATGTTAATCATTTACCTTTAAATGACTGAAGCGCTGGATGTATTCTAACTGGTTCATATCCGAGAAACCTTTCCTTCTCTTTGCCACATGTCATACCTCAAAAATCACAAGAGGCGACTGACGGGATCTGGTTGTCTTGGTTGATGGCATGGTATCCCATTTACGTAGAAAGGGAAACCGAGTCCTCATAAACACCGGAAGTACGTTGACTGACTTCAATAATACAAGTTCCACATACCCCATGTCTGCGCGAACCTTATCTTTTTCAAACCGCTGTCATATAGAATCTGTGTGGCGTTGAATAACAATCAACAGGAAGCAAGCAAAATTCATAATCTCCTCCGACCCGTGTAGATCCGGGTCGGAATTTGTCTTCAGCAACCCATGCTTTTCGTAAGAGGCGACTAAGAGATCGAGTGGTCAGGCTTGCTGACTTGGTTGCTCATGCTTTTGATCACTGGATTGTCTGGTCCAGACTCGACTATTTACAGACCGCCGCCATATAGCTGGAATATTGCTGAGTGCGTCGTAAAACTTGACTCACTCACTCGCTCACTCACTCACACAATCTCCTCCCTATTTTCGTTTCAGCTTCGGGATCTGAACCAAGGAAACCTGGCGAGGGTTGTAGGGGCCTGTTTGGATGACACTCCCAAGTACCTGGTCACAGAGTTCTGTTCGAAGGGAACACTACAGGTAAACAGACACATGGACACATCTGTATGCAATAAGTTGCCCTCCCATCTCAAAGGGGACATGTGTAATTCAAGGGTAATTACTAGGGGTGGGTATTGCAAGGAATTTCCATATTGCGATAAATTGCGATGCGAAAGCATGTATTGCGATATGTATTGCAATATATTTCAAGAGGTTTTCCTTAACAAAAAATACGTATAATCGAGTTAATGCTTGATTTATAAAATGAAAATACAACAAAATCACAATGCTTGATTAGGCGTTAATAAAAACTTTTAATCATGACAAAATAAAAATGTAAATAATGTTTGACACAAATGAAACAAGGAAAGGAACAATTTAAAAAACGGAAATATCCGAAGATTTCCGAGTGTTACGAAGTTTTCCGAATGCATGTCAAAATACCGGTTTTCGATCAGCGTATCGCAATACGTATCGTTTTCATGTCTGAACCGGTAAATATTGCGGTTATATTGCGCAGCCCTAGTAATTACTGGTGTGATACTTGCAAAGAGTTTCTTTGTTTTACTTTATGGTATGACTTTAACAAGCATTGTGCACTGTTCGTAAAGTTAAATATAACTATGTAAAATATTGCACAGGAAATTAGTTAGCATTGCGACAGTGATTTCAGTGTTATTTGAATTGAGAAATTAAAACAGTCAAACACTGGTGTGTCGAAGTTTAGGATACCTACGTAATTACCTTGCGTTGATCGGGATCCGACACTCTCGGAAACGTATGAATAAGTAACGAATATGAAGGTACCAGGCGCTTACTTCGAGACAACCGAAGTTGGACAAACAGTGCTGGGCTGCCTTCATTACCCTTAATGTTCTGACAGATTAATCGCAGGCGGCTTTGCTTGTAGACTGCGATCTGTATAACATTTGGGAATATCACTGATGGCTTTAAGTGTCATGTATTCTGTTAACACCTAGCATCAATTACTTGAAACGGCTGATAAATTGGTATTCAACAATGAAGGTATTTAACACGTGCTCGTAACCTCGGTATTGTACCAGATGTCCATTCAGTGCATTGATCGGTGAATGTGAAACAAATGAGATTTAAGTGTTGGATATAACATGACCCGCTGGCAATATTGAAAAGTAAGCCCACTTCCCGTTGGAAATGCCCAAGGGTCGGAGTCCCACGGGCATTACCCAAGAGAAGTGGGCTTACTTTCCAATAATGCCCAGGGTCATGTTATATCCAACCGAAGATATAATTTCAATATTTGGTATTTACTGTTGAAATCAACTAGGATGAGACTGGCAGCCGACACCTTGCCTTGCACGCGCAATGCACGTGCTTCGCACGCGCTACCCGTGTCGTGCGCTGCACGCACTACCCGTCTTGTGAGGAACACACGGTTCATGCTGACAAACAATCCTATTCTTCACTGCGATCCTTCGTAGCCTAGTGGATACAACCGCCATGCTAATAAGCGAAGGGTTGCAGGTTCGAAACCAGATATCGGCACTATATGTTGGAAGTTTTCAATAATGTGTTGTTTTACGATCGCATTCAGTGATAGCAAGACACAGTTATATCAATCTTCAAAACAAGTAATATTGAAGTAATATCCCGGGGCAGAGGGACAGTATTGAAGTAATATCCCGGGGCAGAGGGACAATATTTAAGTAATGCCCCCTAATCGACGGGCCATCGGGATATGACTAGAAATACTGCCTTGCAAGAACAATAGAGTGACGTCACTGGAGGTTTATAATGTCTTTTATGAAAGCCATAACCTAATCGTTATTGAAACAATTAAACGAAATCGTGTTTTTGTTTTCATTTCTACTGTTTACAGGATCTCCTTGGCAACACCCGGCTCCCTCTCGACACACATTTCAAGTTTTCTCTCAGTATTGACATAGCACAAGTAAGTTAAATAAAGTCGCTATTTGTACTTTTACGATTAACTCAATTAGGTTTCAGTGACAATAGATTACCGTTATGTATACCGTTATACACTTAAATCACTACACAAAAAGCGATTGATTGCGTTGGCAGTATTATCCGCTGGATTGATGCAATGACAACCAATTAACCACGTTCCACTTACGCGTACACTACGGCAAAATTAGTTGACGTTTCCACAACGTCATGTTTTGATCGTGAGAGTATATGGCATTGATATGCTTGCCTGGCCACATCATGTCTCTGTGTTGTTTAACCTGAAGGCTTAACGGTGCTTATTGTCTCTGAACAGGCTGGATTATTTACAGAACTTTACATAGCTGGAATAATGCTGTGTAACAATGAAGAAATAACGCTACAGCTATTGAAATGTGGTGTTGCTTACAGTACCTGTAGGGACGGTGGGGTAGCCTAGTGGTTAATGCGTTCGCTCGTCACGCCGAAGACCCGGGTTCGATTCCACACATGGGTACAGTGTGTGAAGCTCATTTCTGGTGTCCCCCGCCGTGATATTGCTGGAATATTGCTAAAAACGGCGTAAAATCATACTCACTCAGTACAATACTTGTTACGCTGAGAACACTGTGTGCAAGAGGACGAAGACCGTGGAATTCTATGTATAGACATGCTGCAGTCGTTTCACACACTCGTACCTCTTTCCCCTCAATCTTCCCTTCCCATCACTTGACCCACCCAGCCCCAAACAAAAAAACCCAAAAAAAACAACAACAAAAATCCATCTACCCCACTACCACATCACTTACTCGTTGTTGCTCTCTCCTCCACCGGTCTGTATACAACAATTTCACCGGATATGCAACAATTATAACCAGAAGAGTAGAATAACCATGTGTTGTACTCTATGTAATGTTCAATGTTTCAATGATGAGAAATTCCAGATGACGTCAGCCATTATTCCTGACGTCACAAATTGATTACGTTCATGTCCCCTGTGAATAAATCTTGTAAGTCCTTTTTCAGAGGTTTGGGGCGGTAGGGTAAGAAATCAATTAAAACGTTCTCTCACTACGTCGAATATATCCCCACATCGCGTACAATTTATGAAGACCATTTCTAGTTTTACCCGCCGAGAAATTGCTGGAATATTGCTAAAGCAGCGGAAAACCGCACTCACTCACTCACCCTCTCACTCCAGAGATTAATGGGAATATCACCAATTCTTCACGCGGGAGATATTGGTCTGACAGCTCGATGGTTATTCCCTAAGATATCCCGTTCTTTTTCTCAGGGGATGGCCTTCCTTCACAACAGCAGCATCCACTTCCACGGCCGCCTCAACAGCGCCACCTGCCTCATCGACAACAGGTTCTCCGTCAAACTCACTGATGTTGGCGTCCCTTGTATTTTTGACAACATCGTTGTTGACAAACAGTCACAAGAGTACAAACTGGGTAATAGCTTGTAGCTATGCTTTACAGCCTAGGGCCTATACATGTCTAAATCCAAAACGACATATATGTATGTATATATTTATGTATGTTCGCATGCATATATGACATTACATTACACTTGATACACACAGTGCATGCTCAAATTGCACAAATCCCAGTCATTTAATCAGGGTGCATTCGATGTGTATTCTCTGCTCCCTAGAAGGTCAAACAATGAAGATAAGGGTTAGAACTTGCTTCAGCAACCCATACTTGTCGTAAGAGGTGACTAACGGGATCGGGTGGTCAGGCTTGCTGACTTGGTTGACACATGTCATTGTATCCCAATTACATAGATCGATACTCATGACGTTGATCACTGGATTGTCTGGTTCAGACTCCAATTTATTTACCGATCGCCGCCATACACTGTATTGTATATTGGCGCTTGCATGTTCATGCGAAAATTGTAACACCCGAAAATGTAAAATCGGCTGGTGGAACAATTACAAGAATAAACTCATTCTGCATACACTGTAATATTGCTGATTGCGGCGTAGAACAGCAAACAAACAAATATTACTTTACGATAATCAGAGTTCAGTGGCATTGTGATTGAGCCTTTGATATGGTGTATATCGAAGACTGCATTCCCATCTAATCAAATGTTCCATGTCTAGAGTGTCTGTGGAAATCCCCAGAGGAGCTGCGGGACCATACCAAGACGGGAAGTCAACATGGAGACGTGTACAGCTTCGGCATCATCCTGCAGGAAATCATCACACGAGAGGCGCCTTTCTTCGAGGAGACCGACACAATAGGCGTGGATGGTAAGCATGGCAACTACAAACAACCCCTGGGTACTTCCGGGTTGCCAAATATATCAGTAATAACACACATAGGACTCGATACGGTGAATGAGTGAGTGAATACTACGCCGACTTTAACAATATTCCAGCAATAACGCGGCGTTGGGCACCAAAATCGATGCAGTGAGACATTGGTAGTCTGGGTAACCACTTTATAGCTGATAACTTTGAATGGTTTTACAAATAAAATAGATCATGGGACTATGTCCCAACAATCGGGAAATATGATATTTGGGAAGATTTCCTTTGAACCATTCGGACCAATGGGTCACTGTAGTCGTACCTTGAAGCATCGTTACATCAATTTCATGTACATGAGTCATGATGTGAAGATATGGAAATGTTTTTGCTGAGGATTGGAATACAATAGTGCAGATGCTGATTCTGATGCATTAGAAAATATGATTACCCTTAAGATAAATTTGTCGAATTCTGATTGGTCAATAGCCAAAGCATACGAAACCATGTAGGCGGATTTGCCAGGGTACGAACCGTACACCCCTTCAAATCTGTCACGTGACACAATACACGGGTTGTACGAATGACCTTTACCTTAAATGGAATGTGGCTGCCAAACGTCTGCGCCTCAGGAAATACGGAATTTACAAGGGTCTTACAGTCCCGTACACCCTTTCAAAACACCATGTAACTAATATTGATACCCAGAAAGTTTGTTGCGTGTATTGAAAACACCGTCAAGTCTGACGATTTTAAGGTGTGCTCCACAAAGTGAAGAGAGGCGGTGTCCCGGCATTCCGACCCAAGGTGGCCGTGCCCGACAACTTGCGGGACCTGTCCATACTGATGGAGACGTGCTGGGATGAGGATCCTGGTCGCCGTCCGCAGTTCCACAGCATCAGGAAGGCACTCAAGACTCTTGCCGCGTACGTAGTACTTGTGGTAGTAGCAGAAGTAGCAACAGCAGCAGCAGCAGCAGCAGCAGCAGCAGTAGTAGTAGTAGTAGGAGTAGTAGGAGGAGGAGTAGAATGAGTAGTAGTAGTAGGAGAGGTATTAGTCGTCGTGATGGTGGTGGTGGTGGCGACTGATTACAATGATGATGATGATGATGATAATAATAGATCACTGTGCAGAAGGTTTTAGGATGAACTCCCTTTGGAATGCAGAAACCAAACGTTGACTGCAAGCGCTAGGTTTAACAGTCATACCACCATCTTATGCCCCGGGTACCCATTCACTGCTGCATTTTAGACACGCGCTACTTGTACTTCTGTGTGAGCAGGACTGAAACCCAAGAAGCTTTCAGGTGCCCAGCGGTCATCCGGTCATGCACTCTTGTCGTCTTCGCCATCGTTATCAGGGCATAACGAACTTCCATTGTGCGAGTCTAAGTTTCATGACAAATTGATATACGTCATTGATCTCGTCGCAAACCAGCGGCAATGTACAAACACCATTTCTAATACCTTGATAATGCAGCGAACGATTGCATTTGGTGATCACACATTCGACTTGGAATGGAAATCTGACTGACACGCCCAAGGAAGACTCTGTGTTAAATAATGATAATGATTAAGCTTGATCTATGTGTCTCAAAACGTTACAAAGCCAACAAGGTTGGCAACTCTCGTGACAGTTGAGACACTCCCGAGAACTGGGCATGTCAAAGCTTTCAGCACGCTGAGTTCCAAGGCGTCTGATTCTAAAGCAGAAACGCCTCAGCATCATCATCTAACTTACATCGTTTTGAAGCAGATCGAGCTGATTTCGTTGACCGATGCATAATCATGGATGAGTTTTGCCTTCACCACTTTCAGCCAGAGACTAAACAGAAGTCGATCTGTGAAGATCCGGGTTAGAATTGATCTTCAATAACCCATCTTTGTCGTAAGAGGCTACTAACGGGATCGGGTGGTCAGACTCGCTGACTTGGTTGACATACATCATCGTATTGCGATTACGTAGGTCGATGCTCATGTTGTTGATCACTGGAATGTCTGGTTCAGACTCGATCATTTACAGACCGCCGCCATATATCCGGAATAGTGCTGAGTGAGGCATTAAGCAACGAACAATCAAAACGGAAGTCAAATTAGGGGAAACAACTAAAGTCTCCTCTTCCAAAAAAGGAAACGTCTTTTCCATTAATGGTTTAGGTTTTTAGGGATTACAAATGAATCCTTCATGCCGATTGCCCTGCGAAAGTAAGACCACTAATAGCCAATGCTAATCTGCAAATCAAGACAATATCAAGGCTTAATGGCATGCTGTCCCACAAGAGTAATCTCTGGGGATGACATTTAGAAGAACACAAGCAGCCACCTCCAAAGAGTCGTCCACGCTCGTCCTCAGAACAAAGACGTTCCAGGACCTGGCATGTTCAGTGATGATTGTATGGTTAATCTGTCTTTCAGTCGGTTTGGGGCAAGTGGGAGTCTGATGGACAGTCTCCTCCGTCGGATGGAGCAGTATGCCAACAACCTGGAGAAGCTGGTGGATGAGAAGACCGTCGAGTTGCAGGAGGAGAAGAAGAAGTCCGAGGAACTCCTCTACCAAATTCTGCCCAGGTACGTAACGGACGTAACTCGACAAGAGAGCTGTTATGGATTTCTTTGGTAGTTTTAGGGTAGGAAATTAGACGTGTGGACTAAATTTCTAAATTCGACGCGTCAGTGACAAAAATGGTGTCCGATGCAATTTAACATTTTTACATCTTTGGCCAAAGCCAAAAGAAAGAATATGGTTGATCTTCGTGGCCAAAGGGTTTCTGTTTACGCAATGTGGTCCATACAGCCCACAGGGAGTGTTTTGGTTGTTGGTTGTTATCATATGTGCTTGTTTTCCGAGTTATCCACATGTGCTTGTTATCCATGTTATTCATTTGTAACTGTTATCCATGTTATCCGTATGTGCTTTGTTATCCCTATTATCCATATGTGGTTGTTATCCATGCTGTCATGTGGGCTTGTTATCCATATTGTCCGTATGGTATTGCCATCCTTGTTATCCATATGTGGTTGTTATAGCTATCAGTGCTCGTTGCCCTTGGTTTCAGATCAGTAGCGAACAGTTTACGTCAAGGCTTTAAAGTCGACCCCGAGGACTTCGAGAACGTCACCATCTACTTCAGTGACATTTGTGGCTTCACAACCATCTCCGCCATGTCAACACCCTTCCAGGTACATGGCTTTATCACAGCGTCCACTATGGCCAACGATTTGCAGTCGATTGTTGCAAAGGTTTATAGTTTTTTTCTGCTTAAAAAAGACAGAGGTAAACCTTTCATTAGTTTAGAAAGGGTTTATTACAGAACTTGTAGAGCTGTTGGCATGTCTTACCAACAAGTTTACAATATTGTGAACAAATCAGACAAGACAGGGACCGTCTCAAATGCAAAACCGGGACGTAAAACCATCCTTGACAACTTTGACAAGGGAGTGCTTAGACGGGCGGTCTACAAACTTTATGTGAAGAAAAATATACATATTCTAAAGAAGCTACACCAGTGACTTCGTTAAATCCTTGGCCAATGTTCACAACTAGATTAAACTGACCGAATTACATCCATATGTTTTCAATGAAATATACTGTTGACATGAAAAACATTTATTAAAACTTTGCACATTTCTACAATCAATCGATAAGATAACACAAGTGATTGGACTCTTTCCAATGTACAGTAATTCGTATGTATCAGTAGTGTTTGGGCGTCCTTTTTCAAATTAGTCGTTTGTGTCATTGTTTTACACCCCTTCAGCTCGTTCGCTTGTGTCATTGCATTTGTACCGACAGTTTGCAGGATTGGTTGCTGGTGTTATTGTTAACATGCGTTCAATTGTTTGTACAGTTGCAGGAGTGCCAATTGTTAATAGACTTTCAGGTGAGTTGGTAGTTTCATTGTTGAGTTGGTAGTTTCATTGTTTACACCCTTTTAGGTGAGTTGCTAGTGTCATTATTAACCCCTTATGATGAGTTGCTAGTGTCATTATTAACCCCTTATGATGAGTTGCTAGTGTCAATATTAACCCCTTATGATGAGTTGCTAGTGTCAATATTAACCCCTTATGATGAGTTGCTAGTGTCAATATTAACCCCTTATGATGAGTTGCTAGTGTCAATATTAACCCCTTATGATGAGTTGCTAGTGTCAATATTAACCGCTTATGATTAATTGCTGGTGTCAGTATTAACCCCTTATGGTGAGTTTCTAGTGTCAATATTACCCCCTTGTGATGAGTTACTGGTGTCATTGTTAACCCCTTATGATGAGTTGCTGGTGTCATTAATAACCCCTTACGATGAGTTGCTGGTTTCAGTATTAACCCCTATGATGAGTTGCTAGTGTTTACAACATTAACCCCTAATAATGAGTTGCTGGTGTCATTGTTAACCCCTTATGATGAGTTGTTAATGTCAATATTAACCCCTTATGATGAGTTGCTAGTGTTAATATTAACCCCTTATGATGAGTTGCTGGTGTCATTGTTAACCCCTTATGATGAGTTGCTAGTGTCAATATTAACCCCTTATGATGAGTTGCTAGTGTCAATATTAACCCCTTATGATGAGTTGCTAGTGTCAATATTAACCCCTTATGATGAGTTGCTGGTGTCATTGTTAACCCCTTATGATGAGTTGCTGGTGTCATTGTTAACCCCTTATGATGGGTTGCTGGTGTCATTGTTAACCCCTAAACATACTAACAACGAATGTTAAACAGATTGGGGCAGAGCAAAGGGATAACTTCATAACTAGTCGATTGAACTCTTCCAGGACAAACTTGTGGTAACCTTTACATCGACTGAACCTGAAAACCTTTTCTACATTGATTCCTTATGATGAGTTGCTGGTGTCATTGTTAACCCCTTATGATGAGTTGTTAATGTCAATATTAATCCCGTATGATGAGTTGCTAGTGTCAATATTAATCCCTTATGATGAGTTGCTGGTGTCATTGTTAACCCCTTATGATGAGTTGCTAGTGTCAATATTAACCCCTTTATGATGAGTTGCTGGTGTCATTGTTAACCCCTTTATGATGAGTTGTTAATGTCAATATTAATCCCGTATGATGAGTTGCTAGTGTTAATATTAACCCCTTATGATGAGTTGCTGGTGTCATTGTTAACCCCTTATGATGAGTTGTTAATGTCAATATTAATCCCGTATGATGAGTTGCTGGTGTCATTGTTAACCCCTTATGATGAGTTGCTGGTGTCATTGTTAACCCCTTTATGATGAGTTGCTGGTGTCATTGTTAACCCCATTCAGGGATGATGCTAATGTCTTTGTTCAACTGACAACAAATATCGTCAGGTTTGTGATCAAAATACATGTTTATTGAAAAAAAATACAAATATATTGGTCCCGCTGAATATTAATCGAGTAGACTTTCTGCAAATTATTACTCACACCTATTTTATAGTCTAACTGTAATGGTATACATCTATTAGGTTTCGAACTAGTTAAGTCAGCAGAATTAAAGATATTCAAATTGAGAAGTTTTGTTCACCAATGAGAAGCGAGTTTATGTCAAACCCTTTCATAAACTATATGTTGGACATTTGGAAAAGTAGTGAAGGTGATGTTTGAAAGGTTGGCCACAAGAACAAGAAGAGTTTACTGAAATAAGTTTTCATAAGTCTACAAAATGAAACCAAGTCGTAGGATTTGTTGATATCTTTTCCAGGTTGTCGACCTTCTCAACGATCTCTACACTTGTTTTGATGCCGTGATCGACAGATTTGATGTTTATAAGGTGGGTGGTTGTGTGGTCTGTCTCTCAGTCCCTGAACCACATTATTTTCCCTACTGCCTTGCCCTCCCTGCAATGATAAGCCTTAAATGAAGCAAGTCTAGATTTCCCCAGGTCCTGAATCTCCCAACTCACTGGGGCTCCTTTTCAATTTAAATGGGTTATTTGTTGCTGTCAAAAATATTTATATTCAGAGACTATGCGTTAGTCTGCCAGATACCCTTCAGCATCATAATGAATAGACGTTATTACATAAACAATTATCTACATTTATAGTTCGCTGGTCCATGATCTCTTCCCTGTGGACCCGTGAAGATCCGGGGTAGAATAGGTCTTCATTCTTGTCATAAAAGGCGACTATGCTTGTCGTAAAAGGCGACTAACGGGATCGGGTGGCCAGACACGCTGCATGACTTGGTTGACACATGTAATCGCATTCCAATAATTATTGCGTAGTTCGATGCTCATGCTGTTGATCACTGGATTGTGTGGTCCAGAATCGATTATTTACATACCGCCACCATAATGCAGGGATATCGCTGAGTGTAAAGTCAGTCACTGATGATGCTGATCGATGCTGATCAATGCTGGTCCAGACCAGATTATTTTCAGATCTCCGTCATATAGCTGGAATATTGCTAAGTGTGGCGTTAAACTAAACTCACTCACTCACTCGCTTCCCTGTGTTTTCGGTACATAGGTGGAAACAATCGGCGATGCCTACATGGTGGTTTCCGGGCTTCCGCAAAAGAACGGAAATCGACACGCCTCTGAGATTGCCCGGATGTCACTGGCTTTACTGAAAGAGATCGACACGTTCAAAATTCGACACTTACCTAACGAAAGGCTCCTCTTGCGTATTGGCTTGCATTCAGGTATGTCAATCCATCATATGAGTCCACTTTGTATAAGATTTGAACGTACTAAATATTTAAGACGATCTGAATAATTGACATATGGTTGGTATATGTGGTTATTGATGAATCATGTTATTGTGTGATGCTCATTGTATAATTGGCCAAATGTTTTACATCCTATGCACCAACCTCAATAATCACATGTGCAACCTTCGTCAGAATCCTTCGAAAGTATTCTACGTAAGCATGTTTCGTAAGCAGCCTTCGTAAGCATCCTTTCTAAGCTAACTTCGTAGCCTTCATCAGTCCTATGAATATGAGAGGTGGTGGGGGTAGCCTAGTGGTTAGAGCGTTCGCTCGTCACGCCGAAGCCCCGGGTTCTATTCCCCACATGGGCACAATGTGTGAAGCCCATTTCGGGCGTCCCCCGCCGTGATGGTGCTGCAATATTGATATTGGTAAAAGCGGCTTAAAACCAAACTCACCCAGTCCCTCCCTATGAATATGACCCTCTTCTCACCATTGACCATTGTGTTCCCTGCCTCTAGGACCTGTTGTCGCTGGAGTTGTCGGACTGAAGATGCCCCGGTACTGTCTGTTCGGTGATACAGTAAATACTGCCTCCCGGATGGAATCTCATGGGGAAGGTAACACTTAGGTTTTCTGTCTCCTGTCAGAATTCGTCATGCTTTTGGTTGTTTTGTTATTCCAGCTTCTTCGCATATTTTTCTAAATCATGTTTTCTACCTTCATTGATCATTAGATTTGTAAGACCAAGTCTAAATCGAACAACTGTATTTCTAATATTGTAAGCTTGAAGACAGGAAAAATATTTTTCAGGTTCTAAGGTATCTTTAAAATAGATATAGACGTGAACTGTCACTTAAAGTAGAAAGGAAACATTATATCCCCAAGTGATCACAAGGCCTATGTAATGCAATTTGCAAGTAGGAACTGCGGATGACAACTATCCGCTGATATGGGGGTTTGGAACTTTTTGTAAAATTCCGGCAATACTACCTGGGGGACCTTCACACGTGTACCCACGTGGTGTACAGAACTGAGAAAACATGGTTCCAATGTCTCCTTTCAGAGCTGAAAATTCACATGAGTGGAAGCACAGCGCAGCTCCTGCAGAGGTTCGAGATCTTCAACCTCAAGTCAAGAGGATGCGTTGAGATCAAGGTATGGCCGACTGATTTTCTTAGTGGGGACCTTCATTACTGACTTGACGTAACGGTCTCGCAGTAACTTTCCCAATACCTTCCCTTGGGCACGCCAGGAGCCTGTGATGGGGGTGGAGGTGTGTGTGTGTGTGTGTGCGCGCGCGCGTGTGTGTGTGCGTGCGTGTGTGTGTGTGTGTGTGTGGAATCCCGGTTTGTACCGGTTATCAGCACCATGCTTGGCTCTTGGTTATTTTTAAAGTGATGACAAAACGTCTTGGGTGTTCTAGGGAGTGTCATAAGGACAAGACTACGAACATTTATGTTGGGACTCATGTGCAAAATGCATGGCGAAAACTAGCAACTGACGCCAAAATAATTTCAGAATCATAACAATCTCATGAGTCCACGGTGCGATTCTGAATTCCAAAAGCACGACTGTGTTCACTAATCACCATCGACCAATTCCGATACCATTTGAGCGTTTTAATGATTTTGTATTTTTCTAATGTTTTGTTGATATCTCACAGGCGCGAGCTTTTATATGTTATGACAGTAAATTAACTGTTTATATAATTTCATTTGTCTATTTCACCATACGTTCTTCTTACCGAGACACTTTCTCAGTTCGATACTTAAAAGCAATGTCATTATTTAGCGTTGACAGAATTTCTAACTGTGATATAGATATGTCGTTGTCACAGACAAAACTCAATGTCTTGTTTTACTGACACCTGTGTGTCTGCCTGCCTGTCTGCTAATGACAATATTCAATACACAGCTGCTATCACTGACCACATGCAATTTGAACTTAACACCTATCAGGCTATACACCATAAACAAAACGCATTGATTTATGGCCCGAGTTCGGTCTTTGTCACATTATGTAATTACACAGACAGGCAGGTGTGATACTTGAACACATGACATGTTATGATGTCTGTTGATTGCAAAATGTTATACACAAAAAATGAGCATGTATTTACAAAACCCAACATCTCTATATATACACACACAATGAGCCGTGCATGAGGGCGGCATCTGCAAATGAACCAGGCGTTACACTTGAGTGCACACCCACCCGCTCTGACTGGGTTCGGTATCCCGGCTGCTTCGTTTCGAGGGAGGTAAACCCAAATACAAAATATTGCACTTTTGATTTGCGATTATACGCTTATAATTTTGTGTATTTGTTTTTTCATAATCAGCAATGCATATTATATGTCATGAAGAAGTGATAATTGTGTTTTAATTATGTTTGATTTTTTGGTTGCATGTGACCTTTAATGATTTTCTATGTTCCTTGGAAATAACTTTAAAAGTGATGGAACAGATGTTTGCCGGCTTCCGCCCGAGCCAAGTAATCTCTGCAATACAAGGTCGTTACTGGTGGTGGTGGTGGAATTGGGTTTAACGTCGTGCTTGAGAATATTTCGCTCATATGACGACGTGCATGCGTGTGTATGTGTATGTGCGGCTGCTTGTACGAGCCCAGACTGAAGCTGGTTTTATAGTGCTAGCCCACTGACATACCATGCCACAGTGAAGCATGAATACCCTACTCAAATACATTTTACTGACACCGAGGCGACCATTCCTTGTTGTACCCATTAATGCCGAGCGCCAGGCAGGGACCAACAAGTACCATATTTTAACGTCTTTTGGTATGACGTGGTCGGGGATCGAACCCGCGACCTTCCGCACTCCGGCGGACGCAAGGTCGTTACTACGAGACCGCTGCCATATAGCTGGAATAATGCTGAGTGCGGCGTCAAACAACAACCAAACCAAAACCTTAAGATGAAACGGCAACGCATATGGCATATTAACATTAGCTTTACATACATGTGGTGTGAACATAAACACAATTTCCCTTTACAGAATGGCGACAAACAATCGAGTCGCGTCATCATCTGTTCTCTAAGAAAAATTGGTTGTGGGTTAACCCCTGAGGCTTACACTATAACATGGTGATATCAGAACACATCCCCTCACGATAAGCCCACAACGTACAATAACTGCTTGTTTACATATTGACAAGTTGTTGTTTTTTAATTTCAGGGCAAAGGGTTGATGGAAACGTACTGGCTTCTCGGAGTGACCAAAGTGTGATGACTGAATCCAACGTGTCAATCCCTTGTCTCTGTGACAACAGTTGTTTTTTTAATTGCAGTTACGGAACACCCCTTTTGAATACATGTGCTTAATTATCACCGCACCTGACGAAAGAAACATGAAACGTATTCGTATCGAAGAAACATTTTGAAAGTTGTGCTTCTATTCCGATAGGCACTAAAGGGTAGCCTGACAAAACCTGTTTTAGAAAAAATGTTACTTTTCATTGAGTAGTGACATGCTATATATCAAACTCAAGACCTTTAAATAGCTTTCAATCAGTTGGGTAGTGACTTCAGAATATAATCGCTTTAGGTCCGCCTCCTCTTGCGTCGAAAATCGGTGTGACTCATGTTCTCGAGGTGCGATGTTCCTGCTGAAAGAAAAAATGAGAAAAATCTTTCATGATTTCTTCATCTCGTTCTAAAGCAAATCCAGCCGATAATGTTGAGCACTATGTGAACATGGATGCCTTTTCCTTTGATCCATATCAGATAGAAGCTTCACGACAGCCAAAGAAGGAAAACTTATAATGTCTTCTCCGACGAACGCGCAAGGTGATAGTTTCGGATTTCTGAGATTCCAAAGAAACCCTACTTGCGGACTGTTCATCACTAAATGTGAGACCATGCATGGCCAACTTTATGCTGATCTGTGTCGGCATCCATGTCAAAATAGCATGGTCAAACGTTGTGGAATACTCACAGAAGGTATACTGTTCCAATGGATATTTGCACATTTTCGTTGTCTGGGTGCACGAATGCGGTTTATGTACTCATTCAATATCCTCGGTGACACCGCCAGAATTCCACCTCCTTCCAAACCTGATACAATGGTCTGGCACGAAACGTGCATGTGTCTCCTGATGCCTTTTCCTCTTTGCATGACATTGTTATCGCCAGGAAGATTCCTTCATCAGTAGTGCAGCCCCAGGTAGTACAGCATTGTTGGCACAAATGTGTGAACCTCGTACCCAGCTAACAATTTCACGTTGTCACAAGGTTATACTTTCGTTGTTACAACGTTATTCTGTGGACTCCCATTTACGTTGTCACAACGTTGTGTCCTGACGTTGTGATACGTCATTTTCACGTCGCCACAAGGTTAACGTTATTTGATGCTAACGTATTTTACGTTGTCTTAAAGTTCTATTTAACGTTAATGGGTGAATAGTTTTCCAAGTCGTGAACAGTACATACGAAACAAAGCAGAAATTAACTTCAAAGTGTGTTCGTCAATTTGTATGTTGTTTTGGTCGTGTGTTTTCTGAAGCTGTAGCTGAATAGTGAAGAAAGTAAGAATCTCAAAGTGAAACGTTTTACAGAAAACTCTATCGTGACACCAAGTTATAAGAAACGTTGTTATAACGTTGTGAGGAGCCCAAAGCATAACGTTTCCTCAACGTAAATTTTGCAACGTTGTTATTACGTTGTGACATAGCGTTATAAAATGATGTAATACTGACGTTGTGACAACGTTGTGTCATGACGTTACCAATCTACAACATTCCCACAACGTTGAGAAAACGTTGTTTGTTAGCTGGGTAGGTGACAGTGTTGAACTACGAACTTCTTCAACGCGGTCCATTATGATTAGGCTTAGTTTTCAGCCACCCATCGTAATAAGTTGAATCTTGTCTCCGGTGTGTCACATAAACGTGAAGTCATAGATGTTTGTAACCTTTTGTGAAACTAAGGATCATGGGAATGGTGCCGACTAAAACGAGGGCCAAATGAATGGGATTCGAACCCATGCTAGTTACTCCTGGCAGATAATCAGTGTACCTCTGCTCACGGAGTTGTATCAATGTCCCGCCCCTGTGCAGCTTGCGAAATATTTGTGGGATAATAGCTAAGGTGCATGAGGAATTCCTAATCATCAGTAGACAACCTCATAGTGCGACTGTTGACTATTATTAAAGGCCCCTTTACACGTATTTCGAATTGACAGGAATAAAGGAGAATCACAATTTTTCCTTTCCAAAATTCAAACCGCATTCGGCAGAGAATGTCAAAATAAACACTTTTTTCAAGCTTCGTAAGAATGCGACGCCCAAATGCTATCTGAACTATCAAATGCTATTAGTGACGGGTGGCCAGGTTGTTATGCGATTCGGCGGTGTCCTGATGACGTCAGAGCTCATTTGAAGAGCATTCGGGGCGTTCTGGCTGTATTCGAGGTACATTCGAGGTGTATTCCAACTGCAATCGAAATATTCCGATACATTTGAAGAATATTCCACCTGAATTCCAGCAGCAGTCGATATACATTCCGACTCATTCGAGGCGCATTCGGGACATTCTGACAGGATTTGAAGTGGCTTGCATTTCCATTCTCCCTCGAATACGTTCAGAATACTTAGAATGCAGTAAGAGTACTTAGAATGCACTTCAAATACCGTTCGATATTGTTCCACTTCGAATGTACCGATCATGTTACAAGAATTGACCCGAATACAGTATACCCTGGTTATAATGCCACCGTTTGTCCGGGAGACAACGTGGCATTATATCCAGGGTGGCATTATACCCAGGTAGGACAGTTAGCGGCCCTATGCAATCAACAAGGTGATTGAGCTGATGTCTCCTGTAATGAGCCTTGAATGACTGGATAATCCCAGCGTTTTGGGGCTGCACAATTGCGCAGATCGATGCTCATGCTGTTGATCACTGGATTGTCTGGTCCAGACTCGATTATTTACAGACCGCCGCCATATAGTTGGAATATTGCTGAGTGCGGCGTAAAACTAAACTCACTCACTCACTCTTGGGGCTGCAGGCGACTTCTTGTTGTAGGTGGCAGGAAGTGTATTGTCACATGTGTTATCCTACCTGGGATTACAAGACTACTTGAAGTGTGAATGAGTTTGGTCAATTAATTTGAGTCATGTCAATTAACCAATTAAATTATTATACTACATGCAGCCAGTGTAAATGGCATTGTAACCAGGGGAAAATGACTTTTTGTTCCAAAACCTTTGTCAAATGGCATTATATCCAGTTTGGCATTATAACCAGGGTATTATATAGGCAGGGAATCCGTTCCGGCAAAAACATGGCATTATATCCAGGGTGGCATTATATCCAGGGGCATTATAACCAGAAAGTCCGTTCTGGCAAAACGCATGGCATTAGATCCAGTGTGGCATTATAACCAGGGGCATTATAACCAGGGTGCACTGTAGGTGGAATGCATTTCCGAATACAGTAAGAAGTTTTAGAATCCAGTTCGAATTTCCAGGAAACTCCAGGAATTTTTATTCCTACAGCCTCCCGGATCATTCCTCCTCAAGTGTAACGGGGGTATAAGCTTTTAACCATCCATGCAGATGATAATTTGAAAACCCACTTTTATATCTAAACGTAATACAGACGTTTTCATGTTTAGGTAGTGCTCTATAGTGAGCGCAGAAAATACCATTATTCAGTTCCTGTATTGTCGTATGTTGTGTGTATATTCAGTCGACATTGTAGCTATTGGATGTGTCAGTATCGCCAATGACTGGTAGGTGTATACAGTAAAACCTCGTTAAACCGGAACACTGTTATCCGAACAATGCTCCGGAGCTATCAATCGTTATACGGACAACGTTTTGCCCGGAGATTTCAACATCGGTAGAGGCAGTATAAAACATTTATATAAATAAAGTTGATAAATCAACGATAACGATTACAACTCTGTTATACTGTTTGTAATTTCAAAAAGACTTTTTAAAGCCGATGTCATAGCATTTTGCCCAAATTATGTCATGTCTCAATATTTTCACGTGCAATAAATTTGTTTAGTGATGTCAGAGAGCTTTTGTTTTTCCTCACACCTTTGAAATGTAGATAAAGGAACAACATCAAAGCAAATAAATGCGACAAACCCTTTGCATAACCATCAGAAAGGTCTGCAACAAGCAGTTCATTGTACGAGTTTGATTGTATCATAAGCATGCTTTTCATGAATCTCTCCGAAGACAAGGCGAGTACATCCTGCCAAACACGTGCAGCCTGTCACTCAATGACTGAGTGTTGAGGAACATCGGGTTGTGGTGTATTGTCACATGTGTTATCCTACCTGGGATTACAAGACTACTTGAAGTGTGAATGAGTTTGGTCAATTAATTTGAGTCATGTCAATTAACCAATTAAGGTATTATACTACATGCAGCCAGTGTAAATGGCATTGTAACCAGGGGAAAATGACTTTTTGTTCCAAAACCTTTGTCAAATGGCATTATATCCAGTTTGGCATTATAACCAGGGTATTATATAGGCAGGAAATCCGTTCCGGCAAAAACATGGCATTATATCCAGGGTGGCATTATAACCAGGGGCATTATAACCAGGGTGCACTGTAGGTGGAATTTTTATTCCGACAGCCTCCCGGCTCATTCCTCCTCAAGTGTAACTGGGGTATAAGCTTTTACCATCCATGCAGATGATAATTTGAAAACCCACTTTTATATCTAAACGTAATACAGACGTTTTCATGTTTAGGTAGTGCTCTATAGTGAGCGCAGAAAATACCATTATTCAGTTCCTGTATTGTCGTATGTTGTGTGTATATTCAGTCGACATTGTAGCTATTGGATGTGTCAGTATCGCCAATGATTGGTAGGTGTATACAGTAAAACCTCGTTAAACCGGAACACTGTTATCCGAACAATGCTCCGGAGCTATCAATCGTTATACGGACAACGTTTTGCCCGGAGATTTCAACATCGGTAGAGGCAGTATAACGGTGTTTCACAATATTTTCTGGAAAATAAAGAATTGCAACATTTATATGAATAAAGTTGATAAATAAACGATAACGATTACAACTCTGTTATACTGTTTGTAATTTCAAGAAGACTTTTTACAGCCGATGTCATAGCATTTTGCCCAAATTATGTCATGTCTCGATATTTTCACGTGCAATAAATTTGTTTAGTGATGTCAGAGAGCTTTTGTTTTTCCTCACACCTTGGAAATGTAGATAAAGGAACAACATCAAAGCAAATAAATGCGACAAAACCCTTTGCATAACCATCAGAAAGGTCTGCAACAAGCAGTTCATTGTACGAGTTTGATTGTATCATAAGCATGCTTTTCATGAATCTCTCCGAAGACAAGGCGAGTACATCCTGCCAAACACGTGCAGCCTGTCACTCAATGACTGAGTGTTGAGGAACATCGGGTTGTGATATCATGGCGTTGATGTTTTGTAAGTTCTTATTTTTCCGTATGCACACATCATTACATGACGTTTACTGAAGTATTACTGGTTCTGATGTCGGTTTCGCTTGTTGCATCGAGTATGAATTCACGATATTAGAAAATGCATCAGGGGTGAACAAGGGGTGGTGGGTAGTCCAGTGTCCGCTGCTCACACCGAAGAGCCGGGTTCGATTCCCACATGCGTACAATGTGTGAAGCCCATTGCTGGTGTCCCCGTCGTGATATTGCTGGAATATTGCAAAAAGCGGCGTAAAACTAAACTCGCTCACTCACTATTTGCGATTGTTTCGAGCAAACCTCACACTGATCAATGACAGTGGACTGTCCCATATTTACCCTGAGATGCAATCGTCAGACACGGTTCCATATTTGCCAAAGGCAGTTTCATTCAACCGTTTACAATTCAATCAAGTTCCTATTACTGTACTCAGCACTTTATGGAATTTCATATTGCCTCTGTTCACCTAGCAGAAAATGGGTACCCGGTGGGATAAGTGACTATTAACCTTCTAGCGACTCACAGGCAACTCAGGTTATCCGGGATAATAATAATCAGATTGTGCGCTCTGAGCATCCTGTGTGCGCTTTGAGCAGGATCTGAAGCCTGGAAGGCGCGTTATATATATTCTTAATAATAATAAAAATTGACGAATGGCATTGCTGGATAATAGCAAAAAGCTGCGTAAAACAAAACTCAATCGTTTTTTGCACACATTCCAATGTCCTCGATCATTACGCGAATAAGGTATGTACACGTTAAAAACGTGGGCTGATGGTTAACCGGGAGAGTTTTAGTTTCATGTGGTAGACAACGTGTACCAGAACACACCGACAATACGTCATATAATATTCCCTAATGTTGACAATGTTGAGTTCATATCAGAAGATCGCTTCTGTTCGTGTTTGACTGTGTATGTAGACAGAGGGCACACGGCGGACTAGATAAGACGGTGATAACGGAAGGTCAGCCGCCTTCTACACCTTCTATCTGTCTTTGTCGTAATGGTCAACATGTTCCTGGAATGTCTGGGTAAGTTATAAAAGTAGACAAAAGATCTTTGCATATTTCTGGACGTATTTGTGGACTGGCTTCACAGTCACCCGTGAAGCGGACACTTGTATATTTAACGATATTAAATATTGCAGATGCTCACTTGTCTTTCATAAAACAATGTAATATTTTACAGAGGAAAAAGTAGTCTTCGTGGTTCTCGAATTTAGTTTGCCCCTTCCAAAAGAGATCTTAAATTTACGACTGCAGTAAACATGGTATTGGAGTCTTAGCGCCAGGGTCATTGAGTGGAACGAGTCCCTGTCTGTGATAACACTTTACACATGTACGTCTATGGAGATTGGATAAGATCTGTGTTTGAACAGATGTGTGTCTTTGGCTGACACCACAAAGGTATGATCCTTTCAATTTTAAAAATCGTACTTATGTGTCATGGGTTTTGCGCAAGAAATGCACTCACATTGTCATCTGTTGTCTATACTCGGCGTCATTAATGAAGCTATTGGAAACCCTATTTCTTAAAAGTTGTAAAATCTTCGTTTTTGTTTGAAATATATGCAACTGAAAGTTTTACAAACTTTCTTAACTGTATGGAAAAACATATCAGACCGTTGAAATGTCATTATTACGTTCTTTAACGTCCGATACATTCTGTTACAAATGGCACATTTTTTATTCAATTTGTCAATATGGAAATCTACCTGACGCTTAAAGGGCCACTGATCCAGAGCGATTATTGTTTCCAGCCAACAGTCTAATTACGAAACCTAGCTGCAAACTGGTCAGCCTCTGCTCCCTCGACCGTGACGGACACGGGCCTACTGTCCACCCTGGCAGAATTTCTTCAACCTAATCAGTGGGACATTAGGGTGGATGCCCATCAGATGCCGTTATTTGAAAATATCCCCGGTAGTTCTTGTATGATTGTAACAAAGTATCCCAGCAGTGTAGGCTTTTTCAGATTTTCAAATGCTTGGATGGAATAGTGGCTGATCCAATTTGATCCTGTTTCTGTGTTTTTTACCTCAATATTTAATCATGTAAAATTATGATGTCTATTACGTATGCTATGATATCAAAAACACACATTTGATATATTTGAATCCATAAACTAAACAACCCCACTTTGCCATTGCAAAATAATCTGAAACTTTACTTAGGTACATAGGTAACCAAGTTTTTAACTAAGTACACAGCAAATGCTTTTATATATTTCTTATGTAACAATGAAGTTCTGTTCGTATCCTCAAAACAGTGTCTGCCCATAAGTTGTTTTTTCAGGCAACCAAACTTGCATACAATACAGCGATTACAACTCTCTTGTTGTAACACTTGTTTGGTGGTAAACCTACACATGTTATTTGTCATCATTCACTTCATGAATTTATAACAGGTATAGTTAGTGATAAAACCACTCAGATTACCCGACAAAGGTTCCCATTTGGCGTGTCTGGAGTAAATACTCATCATTATAAATTGAGGTCTGATGTGGCGAATGTATTACATCTTATGTAAAATGCGCAAGGAAGTGTAGCAAGAGGAATTATCAGCTGAGTTACAAACAAACATCGATCAAAGGATTAACCGATAACACGCTGTTTGATTAAATGCTTTTATCCTGCACAGTGGATTTGTCAAAAGGTAGTGTTTATGTATGTAGATTTACTAATCTATACTGAATACACTCTGTCGTAAAGTATCTGTTTAAAAACAACGTCCTTCCTTCAAAGGATTAACCGCCAATACATTGATTGATTGCTCATTATTGGCTAACTAAATTACTTTTTTAAAGAATGGCGGACATCATGCAATTAGTTGCCAGGTGTGCTATCTTGGGTGACCAATGGGACTATACACCAATGTGAAAACCTGAAACGATAGATCACTTTTTCGCATATTAGACTCTAAAAGACACATGACATGGAAGGGATACTTGTCAGCTGCAGATGAATGACATCTCATTCCTTTATGTGGATATTGATGGATACATTCCATGAACAAGGTAATAGCCTGATATTGTTGCTATAACTTTAGTCTGTTTTAATTTTAATATTTGCATTTTGTTTTTATTTATTTGCTATGGCATTCAACAGAATCATTTGTTTTGGCCGTGAAGTGTAATGAGACAGAAAACATACACTAGGTCGCATTCAGGGCGTGTGTGTGAAATATGATACACGTTGGCAATCTATAAAATGTCTAGATATTACAATCATGTTATAAATTCACTAAGTATAAGCAGATCGTGTTCATTTTATTAAGTTTAAAAAAAAACATACAAAAATGATAATAAACTAATTAGGGTTATAAGACAAAATATAAAGACGTACAGTAACTTCGTTATTTCAGTCCTAGCATTTTTTACCACTGGCAGATGAATAAACTTAAAATGTGTTCATTTGTTATCAAAATAATGCCATTTAATACAACATTGAGACTGACTAGTGGTGAACCGAAGCTCACTACTCTCCCGAAGACTCCCCATGTACTTAGTTAGCCTTACTTTCAAAATTATGCTATTGTATCAGGCTTCTTACCTTAAACCTTAAATCAAATTCTACATCCATTTACGTTAACATTTTTATAAAGCCAGCATTACTATGAAATAAGTTTTTTTACATCAAAATCAGCATTTTTATCAAAGTGAATATTGTTTTTATAAGAAACCAAATTATTCATCAAAGTCTACATAATTTTACAACAAAATCAACATAAGATTATCGAGTAAAAAAAGATTTCATCTTTGTTGATCAGTCTATACTTATATTATCAATTGCGCATGAGGGTGGCGCAGCAGAGGTAACGAACCAGTCATGAATTCTGGGATATCATCCGGGTACTCACTGGAGAAAAACAATAACAAAAGCAACAACCAGTCCACGGAAATTGCTCTGGATCAGTGGACCTTTAATGTCAGTGATTTGCACGTACAAGTCGCTCCATCCATGGAAAGTGTAGGACAATACACATGCATTAAAGCTTTTTCACTGTCATTCACTGTTCAGCAACCTGTTTGATCCAGGTTAGAATTGATCTTCAGTAACCCATGCTTGTCGTAAGAGGCAACTAACAGGATCAGGTGGTCGGGCTCGCTGACTTGGTTGACACATGTCATCGGTTCCCAATTGTGTAGATCGATGCTCTTGCTGTTGATCACTGGATTGTCTGGTCCAGACTCGATTATTTACAGACTGCCGCCATATAGCTGGGATATTGTTGAGTGCGGCGTAAAACTAAACTCACTCACTGGATTGGATAACGCTGCCCATTACTCAGTACCTTCGTAAACACCGAGTCAGCGTTTAATTTTGAAAAGAATGAAATATGATTGTCTTTCTACATTTTCAATGTGCTGCTATGTTAAATTTAGATATGTAGATGCGGTGTGCTGAGTTAAGGACATCGATATTCTGTTCTATTTATCCAAGGACATTCTCGATGCAAGTAACCCGTAAGGTTAAAGCTTGCCTTCGCATTCTCCTTTAGCCGGCTGTGTCGAACCTCGCAAAACTCGACGTATCTGCGTAACTATATATTGACGTCACGATGTAATGTTCACAAAAAGTATATATACGCATTACTGTTAACTCCACATAATTATCCTTACTAAAATATTGTATTGTGAGTTTAATTATGCCTGCCTCGTCAAATATTATTTCACAATGCGTTTTTGTCTTTCTCATATAATGAAATAATAATATACAAGGCGGGGGTTAGTGTAGGTACGCCTCACATCACCAGGGTTCAGAGTACGTTCCTCTACAAAACCAAAACAGCTTCTAGTCTACAGACGTAAACACAAAGACGTTGACCTGAGTCAATTAATCGTATAATAATGGACCGAGGGGGGTGAAATAAGGAATTTGAGCCTGGAAATCTCTGGCATCGGCACCCTATAGCCTGATATGATTGTTATTGATCATATCTATAATGAATATATCATAGTTTGGGAGCGGTCGATGAACCCCCCTATAGTTGAATACATAGGAGATAATATTGCACGTCGTGTCCATCAAACAGAACACAGTTTTGAGTGTTACCATGGCAGTTTATAATACTTTGACTGTGACTGACGTAGGTTTCTTTTGCAAATGTAGATTGAAAGGGGGTAAACGTTTCCACCAACAAGAACAGCAGCTTGATCGATGAAACAAATTGTTTGTATTCCATCATAATCTATATAACATGAGTCTTGGAAAGTGCGCATTAGGTCATAATAAAACTGAAATTAAATAGGTCCTGACGTGACTTCATCAATAACACGATTCACAGTCTTCTAATCAAGTTCAGATGACGATAAACATTCTTGAGGTCTTCATGTTTTCACAGGGCAGTTTGTTATTCTGAGCAATAATCATTTTCCCTGGGTGCGATCAACTGGATATGGGTAAATTCCAAAAGACGAAGCTGGATTTCTTTGCACTGACTATAACTTACGTTATACTAAAAGAGATATATTACTCATTATCATTTGTTGAAAGGAACACCTGTCCATTAAATTCAAAATGTATGTTGACGAGAGGGTAGGCGTGACAAGCTGTTGTGTTGAGTTACCTCCCCTGGAAGCTAGGATCCTGTTGTGAGGTAATAATGAATAATAATGAGGGTACCGCGCAATACTCCACACCACAAAGGCGCATGCTCAAAACGCGCACAAACAATACAACGTTATTACCCCAGATTACGGGGTACCCAAGCTGCTTGTTAAGAGCTAGAAGGTTATAGTCATATGACTTAATCCACCGGGTACCCATTTTCTGCTGGGTGAACAGAGGCAATTTTGAACAAACTCACTTGCCAAAGATGAGACCACATGTATCACATGTGTTTCGTTGTGGGACAGGACTGAAGTCCTAGAAACTCTCAGGAATCAAGCTGCCAAACACGGTCACCCATCCAAGACTCTCCGAGCTCAACGTTGCTTAACTTCAAGTGATTTGTGACCTGAGCTCTATGCACTTGACCACGCGCCACCACACTACTTCATTTAGAAGTTAGATCAGTAAGGAAGGATAATAAAATATGGATGAACAACAACTTAATAATAGTGAGAGTGACTCTTAACACCGTTATCAATCAAATGAAGGATTTCCTTCCTCATGCTAGTACAGGCCTGTTTCCATCGTACTGTACACACACTTCCTCACATTAGTGTATAGGCCTCTCAATCTTTATACTGCGTTAGAAGTTACACCGAAACGTTGATCTCAGTCATAAAGATGTTCGTCCATATATAGCATCCTTCCTTCCTGCAGTGAGTTCGAGTCTAAGATTCGTTGGCGGTGGGGTAACCTACTGGTTAAAGCGTTCGCTTGTCACGCCGAAGGCCCGGATTCGATTCCCCACATGGGTACAATGTGTGAAGCCCATTTCTGGTGTTCCCCCGTGATATTGCTGGAATATTGCTAAAAGCGGCGTAAAACTAAACTCACTCACTCACTCACTCAGATTCGTGGTGAACAGCCACGACTTCAGTTATGGCATTCTCCAACATGTAACTGAATACTGTAACAACAACTTAACACTTCCTTACCCCAAACCCCACTCTAAAGTATGCATGTGTTTTATTACCTCACCACTTCATCAAATGATGTTTTCTGTTTTGTCTCATATCCATGTACCGAACTACATTGTTCCCTAGTCTTTAGGATCACAGAAGGCCGAGCTGTGTCACACGTCGCAATTCTCTTGTCAGAGTTGCGTCCCTTAGGTGTCCCAGAACCTGCCATAGTGAGTTCGAATCCCGCCCTGCCATGATCTAGGCTTTTCAGGACCATATCCTTGGTGGTTTAGAGAAAGTGGTAAACGTTTAAGACCTGCTTCACTTCGGGTTTTCCTCCCCAATCAAGCAGACACGTGATAGACTAACTGTGCTTAGTGTTAAATCAAACTTACTCACTTACTCTTTCGTGTAGTTTTCAGCTCTGTCCTGGTGCACACCTTAGCTGACTCGTGTGCTGATCCGGCCCAGTTTGTGGCTCAAAACACAAAATGTCTGACAGAAAACAACATAACGTATACTGTACCGAAAAGCGTCAGCGTAACGGCTGATAACGTTGTGGAGACACTGACGACGGTGCTGACACGTGCGGATCCTGCTACCATGTGCAGGTTGGTTATTATTTTACGTCGTATTTCGCCACTGTGGCTGAAGCAGTTTATGTATTTAGGACATTAGTACTCGAATAAGGTGCTTGAGATTTCATCAACTGCTTTGCCGTATCATATGAGTCAATCTGCCAGTGGAACACGCTTGGATCCATTCAAGTCTTGTTTGAGCATGTTTGTCACATCCAAGGTGAGATGAGGTGAGTTGAAATTGGGTTTAACGTCGTGCTTGAGAATATTTCGCTCATATGACGACGCGCATGCGTGTGTATGTGTATGTGCTGCTGCTTGTACTAGCCCAGACTTAAGCTGGTTTTATAGTGCTAGCCCACTGAGATACCATGCCGCAGTGAAGCATGAATACCCCACTCAGACACATTATACTGACTCCGAGCCGACTTGTCCTTGTTGTACCCATTAATGCCGAGCGCCAGGCAGGGACCAACAAGTACCATATTTTAACGTCTTTTGGTATGACGCGGTCGGGGATCGAACCCGCGACCTTCCGCTCTCCGGGCGGACACTCTAACCACTACACCACGGAGGCGGTACCACATCCAAGGCTGTGACGATAGTGGTTAAAGAGTTCGCTCGTCACGCCAGAGATTCGGGTTCGATTCCCCACATGAGTACAATCTGTGATGCCGATTTCATGTGTCGATATTGCTGGAATATTGCTGAAAGCGGCGTAAAACCAAACTCACTCACAAACTTGTAACCTAGCAACAGGGTACTGCAGCAGCAACAGCAGGGTACACGATACTAAAACATGGTAGATCCTCTAGGAATAGATCTCCCGCTTCAGAACAATACACCTAAAGTAAATAGTATTTTAAAACTGGACTAGACTGTCAATCGACAGGGACGTCCTTAGAACTGGGCAACTGGTTTGGGCAACAACCACTCACCCAGATGAAAACATTATTCACATATACTCACTAATACTTTCACAAAAGCACTCGAGATGCGTAGTGAGTGAGTGGGTGAGTATGATTTTACGCCGCTTTTAACAATATTCCAGCAATATTGCAGAGGGTAACACCAGAAATGGGCTTCACACATTGTACCCATGTGGGGAATCGAACCCGGGTCTTCAGCTTGACGAGCGAACACTTTAACCTCTAGGCTACCCTGCCGCCCCCAGAGATGCGTAGACAATCTAAACATACATATAAAATCTGTATTATTGTCATATTTTATTTGAATGTCCGTTGCGATTACGAACAGCCTATGGCTGGGGGTAAAAAGCTCAAGACTTTCCGATTTTGAGGATCTGGGCCTTATTGTGAACATGATCATGGTAGGTGTGCAATGTGGTGTTAGAGTATTTTAGTTTTACGCCGCACTCAGCAATATTCCAGAATCACGGTCTGTAAATAATCGATTCAAAATCCAGTGATTCAACAGCATGAGCATCGATCTGCGCAATTGGGAACCGATGACATGTGTCAACCAAGTCAGCGAGCCTGACATCCCAATCCCGTTAGTCGCCTCTTACGACAAGAATGGGTTGCTGAAGATCAATTCTAACCCGGATCTTCACGGGTTGCTGCGAAACTGAAGAGATGGGGTATCCTAACGGCAATTTAATCAAATTTCAAAAGAGATAAACAACCCGTTGACTCTAGTGAAAAATCACAAGGCCAACGTGACAAGACTCGAACTAGGAATCTGGGTCCATTCCAAGGTGAGCTGACCCGTTAACAACCGCTATCAGCAGGTATGTCCTTGGTTCATAATTATTACAGTTTTTTTCCATACCCGACAGCAACATTGACGCGTGGGCCAAGGCCCTTGAGTGTGTGGTCACCCTAGATGGACAGTGTCCTGGCACAGGGGGAGGAACTTCACTCTCCGGCCAGAAACTTGATGAACTCAAGAAGATTCAACAGGAGGCATGTTTTAATCTAAAACGTAAGTACTGAACACATTTTGCTACCTTATCGATATAGAGTTTTTCAAAATAGAATTGACCCGTGAAGATCCACGTTAGAATCGGTCTTCAGCAACCCATGCTTGTCGTAAGAGGCGACTAACGGGATCGGGTGGTCAGGCTCGCTGACTTTGTTGACACATGTCATCGTATCCCAGTTGCGTAGATCGATGCTCATGATGGTGATCACTGGATTGTCTGGACCAGGCTCGATTGTTTACAGACCGCCGCCATATAGCTTAGATATTGCTGAGAGCGGCGTTAAACAACAAAGACAAAAACCAACCACTCAATATTGAACATAAACGGATTGAGTTTACTTATCTCCTTTTAATATATTAACATGTTTGGAAAACATGTGTGCTTGCTGGTTTTGTAGAGTCTGGTTCTGTGATGATTGTTCCTACTGGCCGGCACATATACACAGAACGAGGTGGCACCGTGAGACTGGCTTGTGCAGGTGTGGGTCTAGGGGATGGAACTGATGTTCCAGTCTACCAGTGGAGTAACGCGCATCGAAACGACATCAACGGGACACAGGGCAGGTAACCAGTGTGCGAAATAGCCATTGGCCAGCTAGCCTTAGGCTAGTAAAAATCCAGTCGGTCCAGTAAATATCCACAGTCACTGGCCCGACTGGCTAATGAATTTTCATGGGGTCATTTTGTAAATATATCACTCTCTCCGACTTGTTAAGATATAATACACTTTTAAATCATGCAAGATTATGGCCTGATGAAAATGTTCATCATATTAGCAGCTTAATGATGAAACCCGCGTCTACATTCATATGTCGGACTAGTGAATTATACTATTCACACTTAGCTAAGGATCAAATCATGGATTCAACAGAAAACTATGATGTGGGATCAAATGTGGTTTAAATACTAGTATCTAAGCTTATTGTAAGCATGGATCCTAGGTTTCAGTATGTCATTTCATCTTGTGGATCCTATACCTGCTACTGACAGGTGTTGTGTACTTGTCAGTGACTCGTTCCATGATTTGCAAAATGGTTGATTGGGCCATGAAAACCATTTCTATGGTTACACATGTATCAAGTGCATAAGGTTAGATTAAAGTGACTGTTTGCCTAAAGAGGGGTCACCATATTATTATTTATCCATTTTCAAATGGATACAATTTCAAATTATAAATCTACGTTTTAGTAAAGTTGTGAATTTTTGTGATCCTTAGCAAAGTGTGAGTAGTATATTCTGTGGACTAGTAACTTTCAGGCATAGCTATATCCGACTGGCTTGCTAAATTTGGAAACTATTCGCACAGTAAATTCGCCCACTGCAGGTAACGTTGTCTGTATGACGTTATACAGTTAAAGTCACATACTGAACACAACACAGGTAATGGTTCAACACACATGAGGAAGGCCTTCACCAACATCGTTTCAGGTTTCCGACAAATACGTTTGGTATGTCGTAGCATTTAAAGTTTGCGATCAGATCAGTACATGTTCGTTTGTTGCTTGTCACTTTGGTAATACTATAGCCAAAGTCTATGACATGTTACGGTAACATGAATTGCCAGTGTTTATCATTATATTTACTTGTCCTAGCCGATATGTAGTGTAAGTGACCATGTAAAATACATTCTCTTAAATCTCTAGATACATAAAATATGCATATTAATATTTGTTCCGTACTCAAATGGCATATCAACACTACATTAATTTCAACCGTTCTTTCACATTCACTTGGACTGTCAAAAACATACATATCGTATTTAATATGCCTATTCAAGGAGATAGTTAATGGTAATGTTTAATTAATATGAAAGACGGATCCTCTTGCACAATGCATTTGCAAGATACCAATAAATAGATACAGTCCCTATCTATCTTATGTATCATCAGAAATGGCACACATATGCATAAGTACATAAGTTAACGTGCATCAAGGTCTTAATTAGATTATCAACCCCGAATCCATAAATGTATCGGAGCAGCACCGTATCTTAAAGTACATACCTTTCGACAACAACGGACGTAGAATGTACCGTTAGGTCAATACTGTTAGTTTAGACTAGTGCATAAGTGTTCGTTGTTTAACAGTCATTGATAATATAATAGCATTACTGGATCAACATCAAAGAATATTGCAGAGACGTATCCCGGTTGTAAGTTAGTTAATGTACTCCGGGCTCTCAAGACACTTCCTTTTGTAGTAAAACTGTATTTGAAGTCAGATCTCATATCTCGTGTTTAAGGGTCCACGTTATCGACATGGGGACATCATCTATCCTCGTCATCAGCAACGTCCAGGGGAGTGATGAGGGCACCTACTTCTGCACGGGGTCGTCAACGAAGACAAAACATGCTACAGCGTATACGGCAGTGCGAGTTTACGGTAACGTTGATAACATCGTTCTCGGGTCGTTGCCATGTCCATTAACCCATTAGCATGTTTGGCACCGTATCGACTGAATGGTAAATAGATGGTTTTCATTACAGTATCAAATACATAGCTCCAGGCTTTATTGACCTACCGTGATGTATACTTACATCTACATTACTATGCGTGATTTGTTCATGAAGGTGTTTTCCAGATCTTGGAAACATTACAACTACCCATACGTACTTTGTAATTTAGTAATAACAGCGCGACATTTTTGTGGCGCTTTTATTAATTACTTGGTTGCCCCAAAGTGTTCACTATTTGAAATATGTTTTTGTCAAAACCATTTTTATTCTTCCTGCTACCTTGTGTCATTTTAGTAATGAACAAGAAGACAAAGTCATCAATAACCCTTGCAATGGCCAAATACTCTTATAAATATGTCAACTAGTTATGATTATGTCAAATGTTTTGGTGTGTATATTGAAAAGTGGAAGGAGAGTATTGAAAGGTTTTAAATTCTGCTCCAGAAAGGAGCATTACCACCAAATTCAGTCGAAGCCAAACTTGTTGCCATGGAAACACAAAAATATTTTATTCAGAATCCCAAAAGGATCTGAAAGGCACCAGTTCACGACCAGACCTATCTGTGTGGAAAGTCTGGTGAAGAAATAGTGGACGATTTAAAAGTTCTGCTCCGGAAAAGAGTACAACCACCAAATTCAGTCAAGGTCAAACTTATTGCCATGGAAACACAAAACATATTTTATTCAGAATCGCAAAAGGATCAGAAAGCCAGTTCACGACCAGACCTATCTATGTGGAATGTCTGGTGAAGAAATTTTGACCGGTTTTTAAGTTCTGCTCCAGAAAAGAGCACAACCACCAATTTCAGTAAAAGTCAAAAGTGTTGCCCTGGAAACGCAAAAAATATTTTATTCAGAATTCTAAAACTACCAAAAGGCACCAGTTCACGACCAGACCTATCTATGTGCATTGTTTGGTGAAGGAATAGTGAACTGTTTTAAAGTTGTGTTCCGGAAAAGAGCACAACCACCAAATTCAGTCGAAGTCGAACTCGTTACCATGGAAACACAAAAAAATATTTTATTAAAAAATCCAAAACTACCAACAGGCACCAGTACACCACCAGACCATTCTGTGTGCCAAGTTTAGTGAAGAAATATTGAATGGTTTTACAGTTCTGCTCCGGAAAAAAACACTACCACCAATTTCAGTCAAAGTCAAACTTGTTGCCATGGAAACGCAAAAAAAAACAAATTATCCAGAAATCCAAAACTACCAAAAGGCACCAGTACACCACCAGATCTATCTACGTGCCACGTGTGGTGAAGAAATAGTGAACTGTTTTGAAGTTCCGCAAAACGCGTTGCGGGGATAAAAAAATACTACAATAGAAAGTGAAGTTTCATTGTCAGATATAAAGAAACACAAAGAAATAAACATGGGGACAAAAACTCCTTTTCATGATTAAGAGATATTTCTGCTACAAATAAAGTTCATCGTATGAATTCGACTGTATCAAGTGCTTAAACAATACACACAGTTTTTCGAAATTTGAAATCGTTTGCATGAATCATGTTTTGCAGATGCTTTTTATGTCCCCGACATCAACTGCAACAACCCGACCAACATAAAGGCTGCTTTTGATGAGTGTGCTCATCACTACAACATCACGGGGTTGACCTTCCCTAAAGTGGTGGGTGCACCAGATTTTGTCACCAACAACGCTGATGTCTTCTTTACCCAGGATATTCCGAATATGTGCAGGTAACTCCATGCACTACAGTTTGAGTGAGTGAGTGAGTGAGTGAGTGAGTGAGGGAGGGAGGGAGGTTTACACAGGTTTTAAAATATTGCAGCAATATGAATGAATGAACTATCTGAATGTGTGTTAAGTACCTCCGGGTCATTAAATCTAATTTCAGTAACCCTTCCCCATACAACCAGGCCGCACGGTGCGTCTCTGCAGCCTCCTACAAGTGTCTCACAACTAACGCCCTTCCACACCTTGCGGACTACGTACACACCGGCAACGACGTCGTCGAGGGCATGGAGACCATTTGCTCCGCTTACGTTGCTGGTAAAATACTTCTCTGACTCTAGTAATGGTGTTCTTTGACATGTCTTTTCATTTCGAGAGCGCCAGGTGGTCCAATATGGTCGAATTTTCCAATTGCCTTCACCATCAGTACCAATGACTTGGGTGGCTGTTCTCAAATTTAAAACAAGACTTTCATTGATGCATTAGAAAATTTGACACATATAATATATTATGATGTCGCTTTATGAAGACTCGGGTACCTTGGTTTTCTTCTTTTTCTCTTTTGAGATGATATAAATATATATATATATTGCAGCTTCAGTATGAGTAGACCCGTGAAGGTCCGGGTTAGAATGAATCTTCAGTAACCCTTGCTTGTTGTAAGAGGCGACTAACGGGATCGGGTGGTCAGGCTCGCTGACTTGGTTGACACATATCATCGGTTCCCAATTGCGCAGATGGATGCTCATGCTGTTGATCACTGGGTTGTCTGGTCCAGGCTCGATTATTTACAGACCGCCGCCATATAGCTGGATCAAAGCATTTGGGATACAATGGTACGTGTCATCCAAGTGAGCGAGGCTGACCACCCGATCCCGTTAGTCGTCTCTTACGCCACGCATGGGTTGTTGAAGATCAATTCCAACCCGGATCTTCGTTGATGTTCTTTCTCTTTTATAAACGAAACGTGTTTTCAGAGTTCACAACAAGGAACAAACTGTTTGTATTTCCTATCTAATTTAATTCCCGGTTTCAAAAACTTTGCAAGTCGATGAACGTTAAACAGACGTTTCAAACGTCGCAATTCGATGTGCAGAGAGACGTTCTCTTAGTTCATGAGTGAGTGATTTGAAAATTGGCATCGCCGCGGCAATAACGCAGCTAAATAGCGACGAGAGCAATGTATACATTAAAGAATATTTGTAAAAATATGAGTAAAACAGATCAAGCTGAAAAAACGAATCAATTTACAAGGGACTCGTGAAACAAGAATGACGTTAAGACGCAGATAGTGCCCGTTATGTTTACGTGTAAAGCATGTATGACGTTAAGACGCAGATAGTGCGCGCCATATTTACGTGTAAAGCATGGTTGACGTTCATACGCATATAGTGCCCGCCATTTTTACGTGTAAAGCATGTATGACGTTAAGACGCAGATAGTGCGCGCCATGTTTATGTGTAAAGCATTATGACGCTAAGACGCAAATGGTGTCCGCCATGTGAAACATGTGTGACGTTAACACGCATATAGTGCCCGCCATGTTTACGTGTGTAATATGTATGACGTTTTACACTGAATGTGAATGTGTGTTTACAACGTAGGTTCCTACAACGCAAGCTGCGTGAATTCTGCAAAGGACGATTTGCCACAATGTAACGTTATGGAATACGCCCACCTGTCGAAAGTGGACTCGTCGCACGGCATGGCGAAGGCAATTATGTGCAGGTAATCTACTGGAGCTCTACTGAGCTCCAGATTAACCCAAAACTTAGACATTGTCCAGTCGACTATGCATAAGTAACGCTCATCCACGACACTTAACCCCTTTCCGTCCGACACCCTTCGCCCGACCCATAATCTTTTCCTCCCGACTCTAAACCTTCAGCACCTAATCAATAACCCTCTTCCTTCCGACCCTAAACTCTCTTTCACCCAAGGGGCGGTGGGGTAGCCTAGTGGTTAAAGCGTTGGCTCGTCACGCCGAAGACCCGGGTTCGAATCCCCACATGGGTACAATTTGTGAAGCCCATTTCTGGTGTCCCCCGCCGTGATGTTTCTGGAATCGGCGTAAAACCAAATTCAGTCAGTCAGTCAGTCTTTCACCCAATTCATACCATCTTCCACCCGATCCATAGCCATCTTCCACCAGACTCTAAACGCTCTTCCACCCTATCCCTAACTCTATGTTCTGTTGTGTATTTAAACAGTTAACACCTTGCCTTGGGTGGTATTCTTCAGGATGTACGGTTTCGCCTTGGACTGTGCGGAGAAGTATCTTCAGGTATGCACACCGAAGATGCATACTGTTGAGGCGTATAAAGTCGCCTACAGAGCCATGAAGCCAAGTCAGTGTGCCACAGATGGTAAGTGTATACCTCATATCGATGCGCATCATAGATAATAATAGTGCATATTTATAGTGCGCACATATCCACGCTTGTAAGCATGCTCTTGGCACTGACATATTATTACCCCGGATAACACAAGCTGCCTGTCAGGCGCTTGAAGGTGATAGTCACATGACTAATCCTACCTGGTACCCATTTTCTGCTGGGTCAACAGAGTCAATTTTAAACATACTCACTTGCCTAAGGTGAGACAACATGTATCACAGGGCCTCCTTTCACAAAACACTAAGGTGATCATAAGTCACAAAGGTAGCCTTAGTGCAATGTTAAAGAATGGGAGTACAGGTTAACCTTAGTAAAGGTTGTTTCGTGAAAGGAGCCCCAGGACTGAAGTGTTAGAAACTCTTAGGTGTCAAGCTGCCAACACGGTCACCCATCCAAACGTTGCTTAACTTCAACTGATTTGTGGCCTGAGCTCTGTTCACAGGACCACACACCACCACATTTAAATGTATACTCATGCCAATAATGGTTGTCACCCCCTTCAATTTTTTTTATTGGAGAGGGGATGTGGGTTGGGGGTGTGGTGTGTGTGTTGGGTTGGGGTGGGGAGGGGGGTGACAACCATTATTAGCATGAGTATATATTGAACACGGTATTAAGATAACCTTAGACACCTTCAGACAGTTTACTAAGTCTGAACCGACCAGTCCATGTTTTACCCCCTAAAGCCGCAATGTCACACCACACTTCTCTATATTGGTCAGTGTTCTATATACAGGTTATCGCTAGTTCGTAGATATGTTTACAAATATATCGGAATTTGTGTTTCTCATTTATTGTGGAGATGCCGTGTTTATCAAAATCAAAATTTACAGGATGCAGTTGCACAGTAGTGAAAATGAGAGTGCTTTTGAAACAGGAAATGAACTGAAACTACGATTGTGTAACATTTAATTCGTTTCAAATTGCCATTTGGAAACAAGACACTGAAGATGATACTGAAGGTGTTCTGGTAGATAAGACGCATTAATCTCATGATTGAGGAGTTCGAGTGAGAGTGTGTGAGTATGGTTTTACGCCGCGTTTAGCAATGTTCCAGCAATATTTCGGCGGGGGACACCAGCGTGCTTCACGCACGTGGGGAATTGAAGGCATGGGACATCAGAAATGAGTTTCACACATTGTACCCATGGATGTGGGGAATCGAACCCGGGTGTTCGGCGTGACGGGCTAACGGTTTTACCACCAGGCTACCCCACCGCTCCAGAGGTGTTCGAATCGTATTTTACTGTGTATGTGAGACATGTGTATTTGATGCACAGATGGCCAGCCAGGTGCAGTGACCGACTCGCGAGTTTGTTTCCACTCAGCGGACCTCCATGCCCAGTACAGACAATGCTTTCTTCAAGGGAATTACAACATAACGCTCCCAACCTTTATCTCTGAGATGGAGATGGCCTACACCATCCCGGCACTGGTTGTTCTCCAGACAACACCGGATTCCTGCAGGTAATGAGTGACTGATTTAGGTTTGACGCCGGTTGGTTTGTTTATTGTTTAACGCCACACTCAGCAATATTCCAGCTATATGGCGGTGGTCTGTAAATAATCGAGTCTGGACCATACAATCTAGTGATTAACATGAGCAACGATCTACGCAATTTGGATACAATGACATGTGTCAACCACTGCTTGATGCATATCATCGTATCCCAATCGTTCCCAACTGATCCTCCCTTTCTGGATATTCTTTATTTGATTCAGTCCCTATGAACTAAAGTACTGTCGGAAATAGACAGTACAGTTTTTTCACATTTAGATCCACAATTTATTTAGGTTATATGTGAAAGTGTGAAATATCTGTTAAACTAAGTTCGGCCAAACTACAGTCTCGGTGGTAGGGAAATAGGAAACGTAAAAAAAGGACTTTACTGAGGAGAGATTAGTGCAGAAATGAGCAATGTGGTTTTTTTGTAAGTCCAAGTTGACTTATTTGGAACAGACCTTGGCTTTATGCAAATTAGTGTGCGATGCTATTGTATTACAAGGGACACTTTTTAAATGCTCATTTTGTAATTAGACTGAGCTTCATTAGAAACCATAGCTGACGTACGAAATAAAATGTTACTTGTACTTGTGCTACCATGGAGTCTCACTACCACTATATAAACAAACAGACATGGGGGTCGTCTCAAAAGCAAAACCAGGACGGGTGTTGCAGACGATGGTTGGGGTCGGGCTTGGGGATAGAGATATCAGCTAAGATAAGATCATCCTTTAGGGGAATTAAACTGGGGAAGTAACAATTTACAAATAATATCCAGTCCTGTCGATCTTCGGGTGGCCATGCTACCTATATATTTTGAGACTTTTAATACGATGGCTGATTTAAGCCTTTCTATGGGTATCATACTGTTTTACATATCTCAACATAAACTTTATGAAAAAAAGACACGTTAGGTGTTAATCAATATTTGAGACATATTCAATACACAAGAAAGCGCATAGAATATCTTTGAGATGACCCGTTGTGCCTGTAGGCAGCACGTGCATTCCATGCTCAGTGAGTCGACTTCGTCATACCTGGCCGAGCGACCCACTTGTCATCTATAGTCTGATCTATTAAGCCGCTATTCGTATTTTTTCTAAGGTTTGCTCCATTTTACGAGTAAACATGCTTTTCTGGATATTCATTTACGCATCCCGCTGAACGCCCAGTTAGGCCGAAGTGGGTTATTTCGACATATGCTTTTTGCAATTGTGTAAATTTTAGGGATACAGAGTAACAGCCAAAAAAGAGTTTTGTTTCTATTTCCGACAGTACTTTAGGAACATGTATAGGACCAATGTATCGTCATGCTCTGAGCTATATCCAAGCACATTTTCCAGCAATACAGCTCCCTTGAAGACGGCATATCAGTGCGTGAGAGACATTAGCAAAACCTGCCTGTATCACAACTGGTACAACCTCATGTACCGCATCCCTTATCAGACCGATGTGGAAGCGGCCCTCCAGTACAAATGTGGTCACATCGCAGGTTGGGCGTTTGACACATTTTATAAATTACATTTTTTAAAAAATATTTATCGTTATCATGATCAGTTATAGCATGTCATAATCGCCAGCACATAAAGTCAGCCACCTAACCCGCTCAGCCACCGCGACTTCCACAACAATGGAAGTGGGACAACTGGTAGTCTAGAAGTCGCGGTGGCTGATCGGGTTAGGCGGCTAACTTTGTGTGCTGTCGATTAGGTGCCTGACTCGGAGGGTATGGGTTCCAATTCCGGATGGTGCAGAAATGAGCAATGTGGTTTTTTTGTAAGTCCAAGTTGACTTATTTGGAACAGACCTTGGCTTTATGCAAATTAGTGTGCGATGCTATTGTATTACGAAGGACACTTTTTAAATGCTCATTTTGTAATTAGACTGAGCTTCATTAGAAACCATAGCTGACGTACGAAATAAAATTTTTACTTGTGCAAACTCTTAAGGAAGTAGCTACCATGGAGTCTCACTACCACTATATAAAACAAACAGACATGGGGTCGTCTCAAAAGCAAAACCAGGACGGGTGTTGCAGACGATGGTTGGGGTCGGGCTTGGGGATAGAGATATCAGCTAAGATAAGATCATCCTTTAGGGGAATTAAACTGGGGAAGTAACAATTTACAAATAATATCCAGTCCTGTCGATCTTCGGGTGGCCATGCTACCTATATATTTTGAGACTTTTAATACGATGGCTGATTTAAGCCTTTCTATGGGTATCATACTGTTTTACATATCTCAACATAAACTTTATGAAAAAAAGACACGTTAGGTGTTAATCAATATTTGAGACATATTCAACACACAAGAAAACGCATAGAATATCTTTGAGATGACCCGTTGTGCCTGTAGGCAGCACGTGCATTCCATGCTCAGTGAGTCGACTTCGTCATACCTGGCCGAGCGACCCACTTGTCATCTATAGTCTGATCTATTAAGCAGCTATTCGTATTTTTTCTAAGGTTTGCTCCATTTTACGAGTAAACATGCTTTTCTGGATATTCATTTACGCATCCCGCTGAACGCCCAGTTAGGCCGATGTGGGTTATTTCGACATATGCTTTTGCAATTGTGTAAATTTTAGGGATACAGAGTAACAGCCAAAAAACAGTTTTGTTTCTATTTCCGACAGTACTTTAGGATCATTTATACCACCAATGTATCGTCATGCTCTGAGCTGTATCCAAGTACATTTTCCAGCAATACAGCTCCCTTGAAGACGGCATATCAGTGCGTGAGAGACATTAGCAAAACCTGCCTGTATCACAACTGGTACAACCTCATGTACCGCATCCCTTATCAGCTCGATGTGGAAGCGGCCCTCCAGTACAAATGTGGTCACATCGCAGGTTGGGCGTTTGACACATTTTATAAATTACATTTTTTAAAATATTTATCGTTATCATGATCAGTTATACCATGTCATAATCGCCAGCACATAAAGTCAGCCACCTAACCCGCTCAGCCACCGCGACTTCCACAACAATGGAAGTGGGACAACTGGTAGTCTAGAAGTCGCGGTGGCTGATCGGGTTAGGCGGCTAACTTTGTGTGCTGTCGATTAGGTGCCTGACTCTGAGGGTATGGGTTCGAATCCCGGATGGGACTCAACCCCACAAAAATACTAGAATTTGTACTGTACTAAGAAAGTGTAATCCCAAATATAGCATATGTTACCTGGTGTCTGTTTGAGTCTCTAAGATCGATAATACAAATGCGCCTCAAAACGTCAATGCCGGTGTAATCTCACGCGTTTCCAGACAGGAATTCCTAACTGTAACTAGAGATACTTGAAATACTGAGATACTCCTTATATAGTCTCCTTGTAACTAGAGTTGAAATAAAAGCTTTTAACGTGAAAAGGTACTTAATGGCGACACTGTTCAGAGGATGTAAAATGTAATGAATTAACGTGCATTGGTATATTTTCAACTCCAGCTGATCCATATAGTTCAACAACCTATCGAGCAAATGAAAAAATTAAATTATGAAATTTTCTATGGCTGTATTGTACGTGGCTTTTAAGTTAGAAAAACTGGTTTGATAGTTGATAGGACATTTAAGCAATGACTACTCTCCCCATCTAATCATTTGCAAGTTTATACCATTACCTTGTACAATGTTTTATCAAAAACAGGTATTTTACAGGGGAGTGAAGAACTTTTTACACGGTTAAGGGACAATTGTCAGGATGATTGCTTGGGAATATCGACGTACTTTAGGTGATGGTGAGCTAGGTCAGTGTAGTGTTTCAATCGTAACGTCAAAGGTCTGGTTTCGAACCCCGTGTTTTTATGTATCATTTACAAGTGAACCCCATCATCAGTGCTTGAATGTTGCTAAACGCATTGCGCATTCATGTCCACTTAAGGATCGGGTGTATGTTTTCGGTTGATTACGGTAAATCCGTAAAACAAATATGCACACTTTTGTAAGAATCCGAACTGATTGTTTCAGTTAATATTGTCAGTAACCGCCGGAATCAAACAATTAGTTTCCCGAATACTGGAAGCCACAGTTGGAGTGAGTGAGTGAGTTGGGTTTTACGCCGCTTTTAGCAATATTTCCAGCAATATCACGGCAGGGGACACCAGAAATGGGCTTCACACATTGTACCCATTTGGGGAATCGAACCTGGGTTTTCGGCGTGACGAGCGAACGCTTTAACAACTAGGCTACCCCACCACAGTTGGAAAGAGACGAATTAGAAAATAATGAATGCCGAAAATATGATATTAGTGGAAGATTGTACCTTTCTGGTTTTGACCACTCAAACATTTCCCCTATTATTTGCGGTATCCTCGTGATGAAGGTGTGGCGGTGGGGTAGCCTAGTGGTTAAAGCGTTGGCTCGACACGCTGCAAACCCGGGTTCGATTCCCCACATGGGTACAATGTGTGTTCACTCGTCTTGACAGTCGTTTGCTCTGGTTGGCGTGGCAAACTTGTTCCGTGTTCATTAGTAAATCAATGCAATAACACATGACCAATTTAGCCAATAAGAATGGAGGAATTACAATGAACAAGGAACATATAATTATATGAATGTTATTTGAATATTTACAGATTACGACGCCACATGTGTTGCACAAAATTCCGCCAAAGTGTTCCAGTGTGCATGGCAGAAAATGGCAAATGAATTTAACCTGGTTTACCAGCGCAATATGCAGGCCATGTTTTGTGGGTGAGTATTTCTATGTATGTTGTTTCTTTCGACTGTTATTTTATCAGTACATTTGTCCACAGGAAACTAGCCATAGGTATTTCAGGAGAAAGAACAAAGTATAGATAATGTTGGTACGTAACCTATACATAATCATATGCCACTGGACGGCTCCATCTGACAGTGGCTGCCTTAATGGCACGACATGTTTTGCCTGGACGCAGTCGCCTGATGCAATCAACGAAATACAGAGGTCCGTTCATAATTTTCACACAATGTTGCCTTTTAAGCCCAATGGAATTTGAATAAACGAGACTCGATAGTGTCTTGCGTTCATATGTATCTATATTTTGTAGAATGCGGGGGCATATTGACGAGTGTGTCCAGTCTGCCTTGTCCACGTGTTCAGCCTCATCCAGGAAGACGTTTCTCAGCATCAACAACCTCCTCTCACCAACACAGAACGGCTGTGCGAAATGTACGGCCACTGGAGTTGTAATAATCATACGGCTACTAGCCTTCCATCCTGTTCCTGGGCGTATCTTATTTGAGAACACATGTTTCCAGGAACCTTAATCATTGTGAATTTAATTTAAATCTTAAACAAACCAACTTATTGACGCATCTAGACACACACTGTTCCATCGACCCGTGAAGATCCGGGTTAGAATTGGACTTCAGTAATCCATGCTTGTCGTAAGAGGCGACTAACGGGATCGGGTGATTTGGTTGACACATGTCATCATCTTATGCCAACTGCTTAGATCGTGTTCCTGATGTCACTGGATTGTCTTGTCCAGACTCGATTATTTACAGACCGCCGCCATATAGCTGGAATATTGCTGAGTGCGTCATTAAACAACAAACAAACAAACAAACCCTGTTCCTGGAATAGATAGGGCACTCTTACCCCAGGAAGGTAGGTAGATAAGGTTTTAGGGCGACCTTGGGCCTTAAAAGGCCTATATGCGCCCAACACTTAATAAACTGTTATATTTTTGTTCAGTTAGATTACGTCGTACTTACCCGTTTTAACAAAAAAGTCTAAAACAGCTCTTTGTATGCAACCATACATTAAATTATCGCCAAGTATTGCGTTCATTGTAAAAGTATTTTGGGTTTTGTTAAGCACAGTTTCTTTAAGAGCCTTACGCGGGTTTTCATGAGCTGGACATTCAATAAGGTAGTGCTCTTACCCCAGTCGGCTATAAGAGAGTTGCGCCCCCTTATGCCCACAGTCGTCCGTTCGAATCCTAAGTTTGACCTATTCTGTATCTGATTTGTCAGAACTATGAGAGTGGTCTTCAAATAGATAGTTCATCAAATGCTGGTGTTATTATACTAGTCGGTATTGCAACAGTCCCAATCCGTCCTTTTAAGCTATGCAATATTCAGTTGATGCATAGAGTAACAACTAGTCTCTGAAATGAACATGTTTTACAGGGAAAAAAGTTCATAATAAAAAACATAAAATATAATGAAAAGGAAAAGAGACTTGCCCTTTTTAGAAACGGTGGAAATCTAGACTTGCCATATTCTAGAAACGATCTGTTTTTTTTTCAGGATCTGCATGACAGACTAGTAGATGCATTGTAACAAAAGATATACTTGTCACATAATGTCGAACTTATCCTTCGAATTGTGACCCTTTTCTTGGCCTTGAGGCTCAAGCGTCTGCCGTAGAGAGGAAGGTCGGTTGATGTTAAAAGATGGTACTTGTTATTACTCTGACTGACGATCGGCATATTGGGATAGAAATGGGCATCACATGTTGTTCCCTTGGTGTGGAATCGAATGTAATGCATATTGCTATATAAATCATGTAATAAACTTGAACGGAACCAATGAAGATCCGGGTTGAGAATTAACTCTTGATTGTCGTAAGAGGTCACTAACGGGATCGGGTGGTCAGGCTCGCTGACTTGGTTGACACATGTCATCGTATCCCAATTGTGTTGCTCATGTTGTTGATTACTGGATTGTCTGACCCAGACACGATTATTTACCGACCGCCGCCAAATAACTGGAATATTGCTGAGTGCGGCGTAAAACTAAACTGACTTATTCAATTATACCTAATCATCATCACCTCAAACTGTAGTTGAACATTGTTGTGAGAAGTAAGTTGAACTCTCTCTCTCTCTGTTTCGGGGCAGTGGGGTAGCCTAGTGGTTACGGTTCGATTCCACACATGGGTACAATGTGTGAACCCCATTTCTGGTGTTCCCCGTCGTGATATTGCTGGAATATTGCTAAAAGCGGCGTAAAACTAAACTCACTCACTCTCTGTTTCAGTCGGCCATGCCGTTGCAGTCTCTAACATCATTGGGTAGACTAGCTAGTGCAAGGATTATCCAGACACAAAAACGCATAATTTGAGAATAAGTGTTGTGCTTTGAATAAATACTGTCTCCCCACCCTTCACTCTTGTTGTTCTTACGTTCACCGTGATTAACCTGTGAAGATCCAGGCTAGAATTGATCTTCAGTAACCAATGCTTGTCGTAAGAGGCAACTAACGGGATCGGGTGGTCAAGCTCGCTGACATGGTTGACACATGCCGTCGTGTCCCAGTTGCGTAGATCGATACCCATGCTGTTGGTCACTGGATTGTCTGGTCCACACTCGATTATTTTCAGACCGCCGCCACATAGCCAGAATATTACTGTTTGCGGCGTAAAACTAAACTCACTCACTCACTCACCGTGATCACTTCTAAAAATATATGACAAGGAAATAAAGGTAAATTTGCATGTTGTTAAACATAAAACAAGCAAGAAATGGTTATTGATTTGTATGGAGTTACCCTTCCCATCAAAAGTTTGGACTCACTTAAAACACTCACTATGTGTTATGTATAGATATATGGTTACATCGAAGATGAATTTCTCCACTAGCTTGGGGGAACCAACTGCAAACCTTATGCAGATGAATTGCACGAGGATCATGCATCACATTGCTGAAAAGTATGTACAAATAAAGTGTATGTGAACAGCTGTGTTTTGGTATTTAAAATTTGTTAAGATTTCGGCAATTTTCAACGATTTTTATCATTTATTGAACTCATGACAATACTTTTTACAACGTTACGAATTTGTTTTACAATACATCAGTTCATGTGTAAACAGTGCCTTTAAACAGTATGGAATATTTTGTAAAATTCAGTTAAGAATGGTTGCCTGAAGTAAGTGGCTATATTTACACTTGTGATGAGAAGTATATTTCATTCGAATATAACTGTTGGCCGCAAAGCCTTAAGTTTGCAGGTTTTCAACGCTTTGATAACGTCTAATTGCTAGGAGTAGCGAAGTGGGTTCGACTCCCCACATGGACACAATGTGTGATGCCCTCTTCCTGTGTCCCTCTGTTGTGTGTGTGTGTGTGTGTTTGTGTCTTGTGTGTCTTGTGTGTTAGTAACAATCCTGGAATGAGGCACTAATTCCTAGGGTTATCACCCATTTGACAGACACCCATTTGACAGACACCCAATTGGCAGACACTGAACTAGACGGTTAATTAGAGTAACACCTACGGGTATAATGGAACAGTCCACTGTCCAGTGAGTAGAGCAGGGTGAGCCTGAAACATGCTTGTTACTGAGAAGTTTGATTGTTGGTAAATAGAACTTTGTTGTGATTAAATGATAAATGATATCTCTTCTCAAAAATGATTTTACTATCAATTACTATCGAATATAAAAACAGGTTTGTCACTGAGAGGTTTGATTGTGTTTATTGATAGAAAAGCCCCCCTCCCAATAATAGCATATGTACAACAGAAGTTAATTGAGAAAAGTTTTTGTTGGAAAGATATAGATACATACGTATGTACATATTTGAAAACATTCTGGTTTGCAGTAAATGAGACCCCTGTATTGCCATGTAAGATACGATTAATACCAATCAGTGTTCTAATTTTAACAATACTTTCTAAAGATTGTAACAGTTTATGTCTTTGAGTAGTATACAATAGACATTCAAGGAAGTAATGAAAAACATTCTCACACCCATGGCCACATTCACATGATGCGTCATATTTTAAATATTTATTCTAAATAAATCGTAATTAAGTGCACTCGTCATATATCTTAATATTGTGTGCAAAACATATAACTTCTCTATTCCATATGAATAATATTTAGGTTCACATTTGTCTTTATTTGATTTATATGATGCAACAGTGTTGCAATTTCTAATAGATAAGTTAATGTTTTCAATATGATGATGCCGACTCCCGTTAGACTAGAAATGTTTATGAAAATAAACTGTTCAAATTACTGTCTTTTCATCCATCTTTCAAAATAAATAATATAGCTTCAGTTTGTTCCTGTGTTTTTATTTGGACTATTCCATTATAATGTGTAGGTAACAGGTAGTAGATAATCTGTTCACTGAACCGTAAATGTTGTTGTTTTAAGGTGTCTGCGAACTGGCTGTCTGCGTAATGGGAGGACACCATTCCTAGGGGTGGGTGGTGTGTGTGGGGGATGGGGGTGTGTGTTTGACTATCCTCGAATGAGACACTAATTGTAGGGAATGACCATCCTCGAATGTGACACTAATTGTTTGGAATGACCATCCTCGAATGAGACTCTATTTGTTGGGGCATCACCATCCTCGAATGAGACACTAATTGTTGGGAATGACCATCATTAAATGAGACACTATTTGTTGGGAATGACCATCCTCAAATGAGACACTATTTGTTGTTGGATCACCATCGTCGAATGAGACACTAATTGTCGGGAATGACCATACTGGAATGAGACACTATTTGGTATGAATGCCCATCCTTAAAAGAGACTCTATTTGTTAAGCGATGGAAAGGGTGGTGGGTTCGGGGTGTGTGTGTGTCTGTCTGTCTGTCTGTCTGTCTGTCTGTCTGTCTGTGTGTCTGTGTGTCTGTGTGTGTGTGTGTGTGTGTGTGTGTGTGTGTGTGTGTGTGTGTCTGTCTGTCTGTCTGTCTGTCTGTCTGTCTGTGTCTGTGTGTGTGCGTGTTTTTTTGGACGATCCTCGAATCAGATACTAATTGTTGGGAATGACCATCCTCGAATGAGACACAAATTGTTAAGCGATGGAAGGGTTGGTGCGCGCGCGTGCGTGCGTGCGTGCGTGCGTGCGTGCGTGCGTGCGTGCGTGCGTGTGTGTGTGATCCCCTTAGTGCCAACCGACGGACAGGTTAACGATAAGTACAATCCTTAGATCGGGCGTCCTGTCACATAAAACTAAAACCAACAACTCAAAAAATAGTTTTTAATTTTATTTTCTCACAAATAATGCAGTTCAAATGAACAATACAATGTATTCATTTCAGTTGATCAGCAATTACGATAATGTATATAATTGGATGATTTATGAAAAAATATCAAGTCCGAATTTTTTAATGCTGTAATGCTGACAAAAGTATCTAACGCAATACGTCAAATTGGAACAATTTGTTTCTATATAGTGGGGAAATTGCAAAAGCATAAGCATATATTACAAGTTTCAAACGTAGAATACACGTACAAACAAGAATGGAACTAGCACAGGAATTTATTTGGAAGCTACAGAAACGTTGTTAAGTTACACGGAGATGCTACTGTAACATAAAAATAAAGCAAGCTTCGAAACAGAAGGCCTTTTTCCAATGATATAGTCCTGCATGTTGTTTTCTTCTAATTTTCAAATAAAAAAGACGTTTGTGCACAAAAGTACTTCTACAACATCTAAACAAAATTTAATAATAACCTTTCAATCAGTGACATTTAAACATAGTATACTCCAGTTTCTATTCCTCACACATACGAAGGGTCTTTTATACAAATTGTAATATGACTGACTGCCATAAAGGGGTCGTACAATAAAAGTGGTTCACTGGTCTCTCGGGGCCCGTGGGCTGATGTGCCCTCTGTGTCATTAACCCATGGGGCCCAAGGGACCAGTGAACACCTTAGTGTTACTTTTCAACTGTTGAAGCACGGTTATCGGGTCATAATAATCAGAGTTAGGCAATCTAGCAGACAATAAAAACAAATTTAGAGTTGTCTCCCTTCCATAGATTTGCATTCGCAAAACATCGATACTTTCCGTACATCATACGTGACTCAATTTAGAGATAAGAATTACTAACACCGAAGTACCAAATGAATTCCCACAGTTCGGCATTCCCAGCGGGTGACATGGAAAATGTTACTCGCTTTAACTTGTGTTCAGATCGCTTCACGGAAGTTAAAGAATCAAAACTACTTACTAGTTGTAGTAAAATATGCATATGATTGATGACCATAAAGATTTTCCATGACACAACTTGTAACATAACGATTTCTTCCTCGGAAGCGAGGTTGTGGTCGAAGTAACAATAATATTGTAAGTAGTATTATATTGACACCCACCTCGCTGCCAGGAGAGAAATTGTTATGTTATACACTATGTCATGCAAAATCCTATTGGCCATCAATAAAATACATATTTTACTACCAGTAGAAAGTAGTTTTGATTTTATAACTCGGTGAAAACAAACCTAAATACCATTTATCCTCAGACTGGTGGATGTTCCCGACAGAGCGCCGCCATTTTAAAAAATAAAAAAATCTGTTAGAATTAATGAGATTATAGTTTGTTTTCATTAAGTTAGAAAATCAAGACTACTTTCTACTCGTAGTTAAATATGTATTGGAATCATAACCAAACGGAGTTTGCATGACACAACTTATAACATAACGATTTCTTCCACGGAAGCGAGGTGGGGGTCGAAGTCACAATACTGTGCGATAAATTTCTTGCTACATTCCCATGGTTAATGTCCACTCACCAGTATGTAGATACTAGTCAATGTGCGTCTGTATATTTGGTCTTATAATCCTAATTAGTTTAGTATCATACTTGTATGCATTTTGAAACTAAATAAAAAGCAGACGATCTGCTGATACTTATAGTGAATTTATAACAGAACTGTAATATCTAGACATTTTATAGTTTGCCAATGTGAATCATAATTCGCACACACATTCCTAGTGCATGTTGTCTGTCTCATTACACTTCACGGCGAAAACAATGATTCTGTTGAATGCTACGACAAATGAATAAAAACAAAATGCAAATATTAAAATTAAAACAGATTAAAGTTATAGGAACAATATCAGGCCATTACCTTGTTGGAGGAATGTATCCATCAATATCCACAAAACTGTTCCAAATGATGTGTCTTTTAACAGTTTAATATACGAAAAAGTGATGAATCTTTTCAGGTATTGGTGTATAGTCTCATTGGTCACCCAAGAAAGCACACCTGGCAACTAATTGCATAATGTCCGCCTTTCTTTAAAATCAGTAAATTAGTTAGCCAATAATGGGCAATCAATCAATGTATTGCCGGTTAATCCTTTGAAAGAAGGACGTTGTTTTTAAGCAGACACCGACACGACAGAGTGTATTCAGTATAGATTAGTAAATCTACATACATAAACACTACCTTTTGACAATTTCGCTGTGTAAGATAAAAGTAATTAATCAATCAGCGTGTTATCGGTTAATCCTTTGATCGATGTTTATAATGTTGAATATTTACTCCAGACACAAGAAATGCCAAATGGGAACCTTTGTCGGGTAATCTAAGTGTGTTACCACTAATTATACCTGTTATAAATTCATTAACTGACCATCAAGTGAATGATGACAAATAACATGTGTAGGTTTATACCACCTAACACGGGTTACAACAAGGGAGTATCAATTGCTGTATTGCATGTGGAAACTTATGGGCCGACACTGTTTTGAGAATACAAACAGATTTTTACATGACATGATTAAATATCGAGGTAAAAAAAAACACAGAAATGGGATCAATTTGGATCAGTCATTATACAAATAGGGCCTAACGACACCAATCGATTTTGACAGAATCGTCTATGAAAACAAGTTGTAACTCGGAAACTAGGCAAAGCAGGAAACAAAATTAAATGACAGTAGATTGTGAGAACATATAGCTTTCATTTTCCACAACAATTGTCACGATTTCAGATTTATACAAGCCTGTAAACAAGATAATTTAACCCCTAAAATGTAGATGAATTCTGCATCGGCCCTCAAAGCTATTCCTCATATGACGTCACAGAGGTGCGCCGCTCTGATTGGTTGAAATTTCGTTCACGGGTGAGAATTGTGCACTGTTGTCAAAAAGGTCGATTTAAGTCAATTAAAGGTCGAAATGAGTAGTTTTAATGACGGGGTTTCATTTATAACGATGCCAGTTAGTGATTTATGTATTTGTACCCCCTAGGGTTTATGTGACCTTTAAGCGGGGTACATTGAAGCCAATCAGAAAACGACATTTATGTGCGAGGTAAGATAAAGTGCAATTTTCTGACGTTGATATGTGACTATAATACTTAGACATCGGACAAGTATAAGAAAATATTTTTTAAACTATGTAAAGAAGTACCAAATTATCAAGTTTTAGCCTGCTGGTGAGTATACATGCGGCTTAATTTGTGATTGTGTACATTGTATTGGACAACAGTAGCTGCATAGGTCAGTGGACCCATGTAACAACAACAACAGCATCATCATCATCAACAATAACAACAACCATAACAACAACCATGATAAATAATGACCTTGATGATACTTGATCATCGGGTTTTTACCTCTAACCAATGGTATATTTTTTAAGCAACATTCATTTTATCATAAGCAATTGTTTGTACATGCAGTTGGTGTTAAGACCAACCTTTTCGATAAATGGCAACAGTTTTCGCACTGTCCTCATCATTAATCAACATTCAGATAAAAGCTCCACAGAGTAGTTACTTGGCCTTTGCGAAGACATTGTACAGTCTGAGGTCCGTTCACCTCTGTTTAATGTCAGCTGTCATCTATTCCATATTTTCTCTCCAAGTAACCAGTATGTGTTCATGGAACCCAAGCCCTGTAACATACATTCAGCAGTAGAAATAAAAATAACAGCAGCTTGTACATACTATATATTCGGATTCCAAGCCGAGAACATGAAGTACAGTAGCCAAGTCATGGTCAAGGAATTTCCTGTTTTTAATGTATCACTACATCCAGACAATACCTCGCCATCTCTTTTCTCGATTCTGTTCTCGATTCTATATCAAATATATCTTTTAAGTCATCCTATTCCGGTTATCTATCCACCATTGTAATATCAGTTTAATAACTCTACCTGTTACACACTGTCAGTGAATCTAAAGTACTGTCGGAAATGCTAGAAGAATGCTTTTTGACTTATATTTAAAATTCAGAGGTATTACAGTTACTTAAATAACAAATATCACTTCAAGAAACATCTACCTAATGTAGACCGAGGGAATAAATTTTGAGACATGCTGTAAAATGTGTTTTTACTGATGAAAATACCAAAAACTTAGAAAAATAAGGGGTAGTGGGACGTTATTTGATACAAACATTAACTGCCTGTGTTACATCATCAGCATGCACGGTATCGACAGGTGAAATTGACACCTGAGCACACGCTCGGGTGAGGGGTCATCTCAATAGATGTTTGTAGACCGCCCGTCTAAGCATTCCCTTGTCAAAGTTGTCAAGGATGGTTTTACGTCCCGGTTTTGCATTTGAGACGGTCCCTGTCTTGTCTGATTTGTTTACAATATTGTAAACCTGTTGGTAAGACATGCCAACAGCTCTACAAGTTCTGTAATAAACCCTTTCTAAACTAATGACAGTTTTACCTCTGTCTTTTTTAAGCAGAAAAACCTATTAACCTTTGCAACAATCGACTGCAAATCGTTGGCCATAGTGGACGCTGTGATAAAGATGTGCATGCATGACGGGGAACTTATTTATTAAGACTTAACATTTATATTAATATTTCTTCAATAAAGAAAACGATAATTAAGTAAAGTAACATGAACATTCAACATTTATTTGTGTAGGAAAAATGTTAATTTATATTTTTACACCACCTGTATTATTAACATAAATGTAAAGACTATTTCAGATTTCTGTTGTTTAACTCTGAAAAAAATCTTAAGTTGCTGTTTTGGTACCAAATTCTCTCCTGTAAACTGCCCTTTAAATGCATGGGAATGTTAAATCGATTGAAATAAAAATTAGGTAGACAATAGGCGATTTGATATATTGACAACATAGTACATTTATCACCTTTATAAAGATATTAAGGCTAAAAAGCATTTTTCTAGCATTTCCGACAGTACTATAGTATGTATTCCACTGACCATCAAGTTTGGGAGTGAGTGAGTTTAGTTTTACGCCGCTTTGAGCATTATTCAAGCAATAGCACAGCACGGGAAACCAGAAATGGGATTCAAACATTGTACTCATGTGGAAAGTCTAACCCGGGTGTTAGGCTTGACGAGCGAACGCTTTAACCACTAGGCTACTCAAGTTTGTTGTTTATCTGATAATCACGTTTGGCTGAAACCACCTCACCCAAGACTCACCTTGACATCAATACTTCCACGCGAGCCGATGATAAAGATACCACATCGATCCAAGATATTCTTAGTATCCACACTTATGTGGATTTTACAAGCTGGGGAAAAGGAATAAAACGTGTCATTTGAACTCATTCAGCAACAATAATGCAATAATCATTGTCATTATTTTATCCAATTCGAAGCACTGTCACCAATAAACAATGTCCCTGTCGTACATTAGGGTCATCTAGGGATTAAATGATTAAACATGAAGCAGACTTAAAAAGCAGTGCTGTAACCAAATATTTTTGAAGCAATCATGAAACAATACACGTGATACTGAATATGAGTGAGTTAGTGGTGGATGAATGGATGAATGAATGAATGAATTAATTAAATGAGTGAGTGAGTGAGTGAGTGAGTGAGTGAGTGAGTGAGTGAATGAATGAATGAATGAATGAATGAATGGATGGATGGATGAATGAATGAATGAATGAATGAATGAATGAATGAATGAATGAATGAATGAATGAAGACAAACCCTCTCCGTGAGATTCCATCCGAGAAGCAGTGATAACTGTGTCACCAAACAGACAGTATCGGGGCATCTTCTGCCCTACGACACCGGCACACACGGGCCCTAAACAGTGATGAGAGGTTTCCGGTATACACAAATTTGAATTGTAAATACAAACAAAATTTAAAAATCTAAAGTTGCCTGTTCCATATTGTTATTACGAACACACCATCGTACTTTGAACTGATACACACTTGTTTGTCAACAAAAGCAATCTCTTTCAGAATCACACTGGATCAGTGTTAAGTGCAATGTGCAATTCCGACTACATCATAATAATGTGCTCATAGTTTCATCCAACAAAACAAACTAATAAATGAAACATGGACACATGAGATCAAAGCTATATATACTCATGCCAATAATGGTTGTCACCCCCTTCAATTTTTTTAATTGGAGAGGGCGTGTGGGGTTGGGGTGGGAAGGGGGGTGTCAACCATTATTGGCAAGAGTATATTTTGTCCACAGAACACATTAGTTACTATTTAGAAATTATCTATTGATTCATTTTCGGATAGATTAGATGAGTATTGTTTTGCGTCGCAATAGTAAGGTGGAGGAAACGGGTTTGGCACATTGTACCCCTGTGGGGAATCCAGCCCTAGGTGAATATACTCACATATTCTAACTAAAAGACTAAACTAAATAATGCATATTGAAAATAATCAATAATTTGTGAACCATGGACAACATGGTAACTTTCGCTTTTTCTCACGAAGACTTGAAGAGGGATTCTGCAAACGTGGTGCCAAGGTTTCATACCAGAATGGATGCCGACTCGGAGACGGAGTTTTTCTTCAGGCAAGTGCAGGATCTTGATGGTGTCAATAGCCCGGAGGAGGGACAGAGACATTCGGGAGATCTCGGGCGCATGGCGATCTCCGTTCCGAACTGGCAATCCAGAGACAACCATGTAAGCATCACCGATTGTTTCAACCTGCGGAGGTACAATGTATATTTGTATGGTTGCTTCTTTGGTGTTAACGTCGCACACTGCAATATTTTTCAGCTAGATGAAAGCGATCTGTAATTGATCGAGTCTGATCCAGGCAATCCAATGGTTGATATCATGAGTACCAGTCTACGAAACTGGGTTACGATGACATGCATGTTAGCGATCCTGACAAAACGATCCCGTTAGTTGCCTAGTTAAGAAATATGAACCCGCGAACACAGTATAGTGCTGACATGCCAGTCACAGACAATGAAAATCAGATTTCCAAAGACTAGCGGATCCTGGTGCAGCTAAGGACAGTTCATCTTTTCATATAATAGACCACGTGGTCAGTCAGTTGAAATACCGCATTTGCATGAAACGTGACAAGCAAATGACACGAACTCCTTGAGGAGAGTTGAAGTGGGCATTAACACTGTACAGTTGCATACATACACGTAAGTTGACGTAACCATCTCAGAGACAATATACTGACTCCGAGCCGATGGGTCTATCTTTTATCTCCGAGCAGACACGGTAACAACAAATACCTTATTAACCTTATTCGTTATGACGCAGCCAGTGTATCAAACCGCGGGCTTTCTGCCCTCTGTCCATACGTTCTCTCTACTAGACTACACCAGCGGTTTGATATCAATAAAGATATACTGTACATGTGATAAAGTAAAAATGTGTTCTTATAATCCACTTACTTTGTAAACGTCGTATCCGTCGATGATGTCGTCGAAGCAGGAATACAGGTCGTTAAGGAGATCAACAATCTGAGTAACAATATTGATAAAAACAAACTAAATCTTCAAAAACGAAAATGAAGGGTTCCTTTGGTAATTATCTACTACTTTGGTTGACATATTGATTTGACAATAATCACTGTGGATGAAGACCAATTCTAATTACGATCTTCATTGGTCGAAGTGAATGGATTTATCATATTTAACAGCCTATATTTCTCCTGATCGACTTGAAGCAATGTTCACACAACCAGTCACTTCTGAGCATATGGAGTGACGTCCCTTTACACCAATACCTCGCGGCTTGGGTGACAAGGAATATATCTCAATTAATAAATTCTCAACAAATATTACGGTTTTCGCCCGTTTCTCAGAATGTCTTCATCAAAACGACAAGCAGACTATTTGCCTTGCATTACAAACAGATATGTTTGGTAAATTTCTCTAATTGTATTTAATACGAGTACAGCGATAATATATCATAGCATCGTTTTCGAAAACATGTAAATTAACTGTATATTCATTTACCAATCAGAAACGAGCCGCTGCATGCAAGGTGAAATACAATTTGTTACCTGCATGGGTGTGGATCGAGCAGACAGGGTGGTAAAACCGCAGATATCCGTGAAACACACGGTCACTGACTCAAATGAATCGGGTTTCACTCTTTTACCGAGTTTCAGCTGGTTAGCAACAGACCTGAAAGAACGAGGAGCAATTTAGTCTTCACAATTTAGCCATCATAATTTAGTCTTCATAATTTAGCTTTCATAATTTAGCCTTCATAATTTAGTTTTCACAATTTAGCCTTCACAATCTAGTCTTCACAATTTTGCCTTCATAATTTAGTCTTCATAATATTGCCATCATAATTTAGTCTTCATAATTTAGCTTTCACAATTGAGCCTTCATAATTTAGTTTCCACAATTTAGCCTTCCCAATCTAGTCTTCACAATTTTGCCTTCATAATTTAGTCTTCACAATATTGCCATCATAATTTAGTCTTTATAATTAAGCCTTCGTAATTTAGTCTTCATAATTTAGTCTTCACAATTTAGTCTTTATAATTTAGTCTTTAGCCCGAAAAGCGAACTTTAAAGAATATAATCACTGTAAAAACGCAGATTCCAATGTAAGATTCCGACGATACCATGAGCATGTGTACTTGAAACAATACCACCAAAAGTTGACAGTTCCTTTTCGCCGATGGCATCCGCGCTGGACGATAAATAGCAAAATCATTACCTTTCCTCGTAACACTCACTATATGTGCATATATAAATGTGAAATCAAGTATCAATTCCTACAACATCCAGTGCAAATATCGGGATAATAATTAATGACATAATTTTAACAATATGATATCCCTGAACCTTACGTTTCTTAAGTTTAAAGGATGCGTTATAAATACAAACAAATAAGGATCATGTAATCAAACATGTAATAAAAACAGATTGCCTTTAACAAAAATGTCCTCCCCATGGCTGAGTTTTACATGCACAATCACACTAACTATGTTAATGTAACGAAATGTTTTTTAATCTGCGATTGACACCGAAACCTGGAGCATGAGTCCTGAAGTTTTTGGATATGGAAAAAACATCTCTCCAGGGTAAATTAAAGCCACAAAAAACATTTTCAATATGTCATAGAATCTCTACCAAGGAGTATGATTCTGACTATAACATGACGATGTGTGTTTGTATCAACTTCAAATAGAGAAGATACCAGAACAGTGTAAGCAATTTAGTACTGTCAATAAGGTTCATTTGTAAATTTTCAAATATGATCTGGATATGTTAACTAACAAAATACAACATGTTCAAAATATGGTTACGTATCAGCTAAAGGTATTCAAAAAGTTAGAAACGAATACTGTCTTTGAAAAATGTAAACATCTGTACCGTTTGTATTCATTCGAGGAGTTATTTTGATAAAGCAAAATGGCTGAATAAGAATTCTTAAAACAACAACAATGGTAATTCAGATTGTAATGACGTTAATGAATTTAACTCGTAGTTTCATGTTGGGGAGGGATGGTTAGGTAGAGTTCGTGCTGTGTGTTGTTCACTGGCACTGACTTTGGAATGATCTGGTGGAGAAGTTCATCAGTCCTCTTCTTCTCCTCTCGTACTCTGTGAGTCTTCTCATCCACCAACTTCTCCAGATTGTTGGCGTACTGCTCCATACGACGGAGAAGGTTGTTGAAGAAATTGCCGGAAGCACCAAAACGTCTGAAACGTCATTTGCTGATTAAAGGCACAATGTCACACATTTTCGACAATATCTTGACCCATATTTTATATATTGGGGCATATGCACACACTTTAGCTTTCTATTGATGCAATAAAAGACGTGTTATCCCTTACGACTTGCCTAAAATCGATAATCGAAACTTCGAGGTTCCAAACAGATAAGTTGCCATATATGGAATGTATGGGTTCGCTTGAAATAATGTTTGGCCGGTAGAGGCCGCGCGAGTCGATTTAATGCAACTTTGCATTAATTCGTTCGAAATTTCTAATTTAATATTGTAATCTAAATACGTTTTGGAGTAAATTATATGGTAGCTTCCCTGAGGGCTGATAATCAGAATTATTGAGAGAAATGCATTATGTAGTGTTAGAGAAGTGTGGTGTGACATTGTGCCTTTAAACCATGTATGGATATTACATGTCTTAAGTATAGTTCTTGTAGAGCTTACTACACAGGTGTCTGTCAGATACCATTTATCGAATCTGATCTTTCGCTCGTTAGACATGTGTTGAAAGATGAATAATACCTATGAGGTATGAGTACAGTAATCTGTTTCGTTCTGAAAACGCATCGAAATGATGTTATCTTTAAAAAGTTTGTTTATTCTAGCGATCATTTGTGACCTCGTTAGGCCTTCTAATTCCTGAGTGAGTGAGTGAGTGAGTGACTCAATTATTTACAGACCGCCGCCATATAGCTGTAGTATTGCTGAGTGAGGCGTAAAACTAAACTCACTCACTCACTCACTCATGCCTTTTCATGCACGAGTTAGATTCTTCCCTGTGTTAACCACTCTTAGGACATGCACGAGAATACTTATCTTTATCAGCAAAAACAAAATTGACTGACTGAATGAGTTTAGTTTTACGCCGCTTTTAGCAATATTCCAGCAATATCACTGCGGGGGACACAAGAAATGGGCTTCACACACTGTACCTATGTGGGGAATCGAACCCGGGTCTTCGGCGTGCGAGCGAACGCTTTAACCACTAGGCTGCCCTACCGCCCCTATCAGCAAAAAAAGGGGAAAGTTTCAAAACTTACGCAGCCATATCTTTGAGATCCTTCTTCACCGTCACTAGCTGGGGTCGTTCCTTTGGGTTTTCAGCCCAGCACTGTGACATGAGTACTTTCATCGCATCCAGTGAAGATGGCGCATCAAAGTTTGGCCTCATCGGATCGTGACCGCCCTGCTTTATCTTGGATAGGACGACTGGAATATGAAATAAATCGTTAAATAAGATCACGTAGCGTCTCTCACTGGCAGTGGTTATGACTACATACGTTCATGTTCTAGGTTATAAATCCGTGAAGATCCGGGTGGGAAATGGTCTTCAGCGGCTCTTCCATGTCATAAGAGGCGACTAACGGGATCGGATAGTTAGGCTCCCTGACTTGGTTGACACGTGTCATCGTATCCGCAGATCGATGTTCATGCTGTTGATCACTGCATTGTCTGGTCCAGACTCGATTATTTACAAACCGCCTGTAATATCGCTGGAAAATTGCTGAATTCGGCATTAAACAACAAACCATCCAACCATTATAGGCTATAACGAGGTAAACAAATCACTTGACAAAAAATAGATTCAGGGCCTGTATACAGGGCACGTTTTATGAATAACAACTTCTTTTAATTCTTTATGCGACTTTTCAGAGCTAATTATTGCTTTTTTATCAGGTGAATGCTGTGTGATGAATAATGATGGAGCAAGAATTAGCTCTGAAACGTCGTATAAAAAATAAAAAGAAGTTGTCATCCATTATGTATTCTTGTTCGTAAAACTTGTAAATGCCTTTCAAGAACTTTAACCAATAAGCTGTATGCTATTGGAATAGTTTGTTGTGATCACGAACACATGACTGTAATTTATGTATACAATATGTACCATCGATGCCGAGCGTTTCAGTCTCGTTTCCAAAGGGTGAATCCCGCGAGAAAACTTCCTGTAGAATTATTCCAAAACTGTACACATCCCCTTCCCTACTTCCGCGAAGATCCCTGGCCCGTAGGAGTTCAGGTGCACGCCATAAGCATTCTGTAGAATGAATTCAATTCAGTCATAATTCCATAATTATTGAAAATATATTTATTAAAACAGAATTATTACACGGAAATGTGTAATATTGTTGACGTTTTAGTGTGCATGTATATCCGATGTAACTCGGAATACAATAATGGTGTACCTCTTTAAATAAAAGTCCAGAAATACAAAATCCACAGATACAGAATCTATAATGGAATACCATAACATAGAAATATATAATACCATCAACAACATGGTACGTTTTGTACCTGTTTTAAATTCTTGAGATTTGAAGTCCGGTTTTATTTGATTGAAAATCAGATGAGGTCCGTAATCAGCTATTTTGACTGAGAAGCAGTTGTCCACCAAACACACGCTGCTGGTAAGCCGGCCATGCTTCTTAAGGGGGCTCTCGTGTAGGAAACACATACCCTGATGTATAGAGAAAATTAATAGCAATAAATAATAACAGTGCATTACTACGGTGCTGTTTCCATACATAACCATGCTCAAAGCGCACAATCTGATTATTATTACCCGGGATAACCCAAGCTGCCTGTCAGGCGCTAGAAGGTTAATAGTCACATGACCTATCCCACCGGGTACCCATTTTCTGCTGGGTGAACAGAGGCAATTTTGAACAAACTCACTTGCCTAAGGTGAGACCATATGTGTCACATGTGCTTCTTTTGGGGGCAGGACTGAAGTCCTAGAAACTCTCAGGAGCCAAACTGTCACGGTCACCCATTCAAGGACTCTCCGTGCTCAAAGCTGCTTAACTTCAACTGATTTGTAACCTGAGGTTTGCGCACTTGACCACACACCTCCTCCCTATTAGGAAATAATAAATCATTTTTTGCATTCATTTAATCCAACGTCTTCAGATGTTAGTAAAATTACACTCACTCACTCACTCACTGTATAGGGTTTACCTTAAGGATGTCGATACAAATGGAGAACTTGAACTGTGCATCTAGATTTACATCGCTGTTTCCAATTATATCCTATAAGAAAAGATGGAAACATTTACTTATACAATAAACATAAATTCTCAAAGGAAACATATATCGTATCACGATTTCACACAAAGTAAGGGATCGCAAATTAGTTACTGTTTTTTTGACGGGTGGCACCTATTGGACACGACACTTGGTGGGCGGGGCACCTGGTGTCTTCCCTATTTAATAATGACTCTTATCGTGCTAATTTGCTCATGATATTGGTAAATTGTATTATCGACTCTGCTTTAAGCAGTGATTTCTTATGTATGTGTCGCTTTTACTTATAATTCGACTTTGTATCACATATGTCAAGGCGTATAAGAGAGCTGTTTTTCACGATTTACGAAAGTAGCATGTATACTTGCCATCAATGTAAAACAGAACAATTATCTATTACCGTATTTCCTCTAATAAGCGTCGGCTCTATAATAAACGCGGGGCCTTTAATAAGAGACGGGGGTAAAGCAGCGGTTTAAGAAATAAGCGTCGGGTACGGTTTTTTTAAACGTATTCTCCCTTGACCCCAAAATATATTGTTTAAGGAATGGCCCCTAACGTTGACGTAACGCTCACTTACAATTAATTACGGGATACCCAGTAAGCGCAATAAGCGCCGGGTCCCCAATAAGCGCCCGAGCGCTTATGAGAGGAAATACTGAAAAAAAGAGACGCTTTACCGTTAGGCTTCCTTTCTGACAGAACTCCGTCACCAGATACTTGTCCTCAGCTTCAAACACAGCTCCGTGAACCCGAGCCAGGTTCTCAAAGTTCAAGTCGCGGATCTGACAAATTTTACAAACTGATTAAAATGATTTTAATTATAAAATAATGGTACCACACCTGTCTTATCTACTGGTGCCACGATTTATCGATAGTGTCGATGTTTGCATCGTCAACTACGCGATACGAGTGCATCGATACAAAACACATGTAGGCAATATATACTCATGCCAACAATGGTTGTCACCCCTTCAATATTTTTTATTTGAGAGGTGGTGCGGGGTGGGGAGTGTGAGATGTGTGTGGGGTTGGGGTGGGGAGGGGCTGAAAACCATTATTGGCATGAGTATATCAGGATATTTATATCGCGAGGGTCCATGATACGTCGATGTATCGCCAAAAGAGACGATATGTCTTCAACCAGGTCAGCGTGCCTGACCACCCGATCCTGTTAGTCGCCTTTTACACCAAGCATGGGTTATTTAAGACTAATTCTAAGCCGGATCGTCAAGGGTGGTTGACCCTTGGGAGATTTATGCAATTCCAATGACACAATACTCTGTGTTACAACATACTTACATTCAGGAATTCTTCTATCAGGGTTTCGTCCACAATGATGGAGCGGAGATCAATTTTCTTCAATCGTACGGGGCACCCCTGAAACACATGTTTGAGCGAGTGAGTGAGTGAGTGAAATGAAACCCCCCCACAAACGTTATAATAAGATTGAAGGAACTATATAAATTCTCCAAATGTACGTGCTATAATATCCTTTGTCGACAGTTATCATATCTTGTTTTAAGTGTCGGGATGGGGATACAATTTGAGGTATATAAACTCTGTCAAAAAAGAAACGCAACCCCTGTCCTCAGATATGAAAAATTCGTTTGAATGAAGTTATTGCTTCCAAACTAAATGTTATTCGAATGTATTGAAATTATACACGTAATTAATGAAGATTACCATCCAAACAACTGCATTTGTACGCATAAGTGTATTTTATTGCTTATTCCGTCACAACGCATGAAATGACCCTCATGGTGACTTCGCACAAAAAAAACACATGCAAATCATGAAAATGGCAGTTAATGTAGGGGTGTATAAAAGCCCATGTGCTTTCGTATTATATTCATTCATTTGTCGCATGAAAAGCTGTGTGAAAAATGCCACGATTGAGTGCTGCCGACCGAAATATCGCCATTGGTCGTGTTCAAGCCGGAGAAAGTTTTGGAACTGTTGCACGGCACCTAAATGTTCACAAAACAACGATATCCCGACTTTGGAGCCGCTACAACAACTTCAATTTGACCAACGATCGCCCGAGAAGTGGAAGGCCAAGAATCACGACCCCCCCTTCAAGATCGGTACATCCGGGTCCATCACCTGCGTAATCGGCATGCCCTACCAACCGTGACTGCCACACAAATACCAGGTTTGAGGAGAGTGTCAGCTCAAACGATTAGGAACCGTCTGAAAGAAGCGGGTTTACGTGCCTGTAGAGCAGTTGTTGGACCTGTACTACGCCCCTACATCTCCGCCGACGACTCAGGTGGTGCAACAACGTAAGGATATGGACTTTACAAAACTGGAGGCGCATCTGGTTTTCTGATGAATCCCGTTTTCTTTTGCAACATCACGACGGAAGAAAACGTGTGTATAGGAGACGTCATGAACGTTTTGCGCCCATCTGCGTCCGACAGGGGACAGATTTGGCGGAGAAAGCGTTATGGTTTGGGGATCCATCTCATACAACCAGAAATCAGACTTGGTGATCGTTGAAGGGAACCTGACAGCCCAACGTTACATCAACCACGTATTACAGCCTCACCTTCTCCCGATTATTGACCAACAGACACAGATTTTTCAACCAGACAACGCCCGGCCTCATACCGCACGTGCAACAATGAACTTTCTGCAGAATTCCAACGTCAATGTCTTGCCATAGCCCTCTAAATCACCAGACCTCAACCCTATTGAACACCTGTGGGATACTCTGGGTCGACGCGTACGTCAACGTCAGCCCCGCCACAGACGCTGCAACAGCTCGGCGTTGCACTGCAGGAGGAGGCTACGCTCATTGAACCGAAAAGCGTCACGATTTTAGCCTTCCCGGTCATGAACCGCGGTAAGAGTGTTCGCTCGTTACGCTGAAGAATAGGGTTCAATTCCCCTCCAAAGATTGGAGCTGATATTTCTGTGGTTGCACGTTAACATGGTGACGTTTGTAATATGAAGAACTGAGCCAAACCACATATATATTTGTCCCAAATCTACCCACAATGATTCGTTCCATGCTCATAATGAGTTTTAAACTAGAAAGAAACGTAGCGTGTTTTAAACGTGGAATTATATGATTTCACAAATAATTCGTCGGCGGCATGTAAATAATCGAGTCTGGACCAGAACATCCAGTGACTGGCATCATGATCAGCTGGGATATGATGACATCAAGCCACATCGCCCGATCCCATTAGTCGCTTGTTTCTACGATCATGGGTTGACGAAACCCTCATTCGAACCTGCGATAGTCACTTGATAAAGCTTTCAGTTTCTCATGTGACTAGGCACACCTTGGTTGGCCCTTGGGCTGGTTGGTTCGTTAGTTGTTTAACGCCGCACTCAGCAATATTCCAGCTATATGGCGTAAAAAAATAATCGAGTCTGGACCAGACAATTCAGTGATCAACATCATGAAAATCGTTCTACGCAATTGGGATACAATGGCATGTGTCAACCAAGTCAGCGTGCCTGACCACCCGATCCCGTTAGTCGCCTTTTACACCAAGCGTGGGTTACTGAAGACTAATTCTAAGCCGGATCGTCAAGGGTGGTTGACCCTTGGGAGATATATGCAATTCCAATGACACAATACTCCGTGTCACAACATACTTACATGCAGAAATTCCTCTATCAGGGTTTCGTCCACAATGATGGAGCGGAGATCAATTTTCTTCAATCGCACGGGGCACCCCTGAAACACATGTTTGAGCAAGTGAGTGAGTGAAATGAACCCCTCCCCACCCCACCAAATAATATGCTATAATATCCTTTGTCGACAGTTATCATATCTTGTTGTAAGTGTCGGGATGGGGAGACATTCTGAGGTATACAATATGTATATTATGTTGTAATTCGAGAGAACAATTTTGTTGTTGTTTGTTTGTCGTTTAACGACGAGATTATCAATATTCCAGCTATATGGCTGCGGTTTGTAAATAATTGAGTCTGGACCAGACAATCCATGACCAACAGCATGAGCATCGATCTGCGCAATAGGGATACGATGACATGTGTCAACCATGTCAGCGAGCCTGACCACCCGGTCCCGTTAGTCGCCTCTTACGACAAGCAGGGGTTGCTCAAGATCAATTCTAACCCGGATCTTCACGGTTCAGAGCATAAATTAATTCTATATGTGACTATTAGTAAGCCAGTCGTGTAAACCCCTTAATCTCACCACACGTGCAGATCCAGGTTAGAATACAGATCGACGCCATATAGTCGGAATATCGTCGAGTGCGGCGGTAATCAACAAACCATCCAACTATCCTAATCTCACCCACAACATAGTGGTAGCGTTTCACCAGATGAGGATTTCGATATTCATTTATTGGCAGAACCAGTTACTTTAAATGTATTTTGATCTCCAGTCAAATAGGATAATACTAAGTAATATGTATGTTAACTCATTGCATCTAATAAAGGTTTTTCGTTCAATGTGTACATAAACATTTACCCTGAATAATCCAAATCCGCCACAATACGATGGTATTGAGTCACTTTTCGGGGTGAGGGAACTATATTTGGAGTTTAGACTTTCCTGTGAGCCGTTGGAAGTACCAACGTGGATGTCGGCAACGTCTATCCTCCACCACAGCTTGTCCACAACAGTTTTCTTCTTACGGTGCCTGGAACAGTTGATTGTAAGTTGCTTAGTCAGATAGGCAGACAGAAAATGATAGGGTTTGTGAACAAGATCGACTACAGCACGATTACACTACGCATATAATCTAATCTTTGGAGTGAGTGAGTGAGTATGGTTTTCGCCGCTTTTAGCAATATTCCAGCAATATCACGGCAGGGGACACCAGAAACGGGCTTCACACATTGTGCCCATGTGGGGAATCGAACCCGGGTCTTCGGTGTGGCGAGCGAACAATTTAACCATTAGGCTACCTCACCGCCCCTATTCTTTGGAAAGTAAGGGACAAGAGCTTGTAGATTTTTCAGCAAGGTATTGTATGTTTAAACTTTGTTCCTTTTTCAGCTTTTGAGTTATTAATTGTATTATTACTCATCAAGTTTCATATAACCGAGTTAATAACAGTCGTATGTGTTCTTTCACAAATGTCCCCTTACAGGCACCGTGGATTTTGTGTGTAATCTACATGGTGTCGTTGACGTTATTCGAGTGTTATTGTGACGTAAGGTTGGAATGACGTCACGCGTCGTAGCTGTAGACGTCATTCGACAGCTCGTGTAAGAATTCATGTATTACAAACGTTCTCCCTCGTGACGTTCACGATTTCTAACACTCATTTCATAAACTCGGAACGACATACACGATTCTGTCTAACCCCTGTGTGCCCTTCATAGATTAAGGGCTGTTCAATAAGCGTCTTCAGACATCTGAGATTCTGACGGATGACACGACTGATACAAGGGACAAGTCACTCTTATGAACCACCAGATGTACACAAAGAACACACTTTAAGTCCAGTAACAGGTTTAGGGATCGATCATTTCAGATGGCAGGACCCACTCTCTGGAATTAACTTCTACTGGAGTTAAGGACAGTTAACAGACTGGAGATTTTCAAATCTAAACTTTAAGAAAACATACAGTGTCTAACTTTCCATTCTCGAGTTGTTCGGAGAGCGCTACTGAACAGTATTTTTGGAGTGGAACTGGCGCTACATAAATCTTTTATGATGGTGATGATAACGACGATAATTCTTACGACATACCTGAACTGCACATGAAATTCAACGGGCAGGTCACTCGTATGATCTACAATATTTGCACATTGAAATACAACGGGCAGGTCACTCGTATCATCTACAATACTTACACATTGAAATACAACGGGCAGGTCACTCGATATTTGCACGTATCATCTACAATACTTGCACATTGAAATACAATGGGCAGGTATCTCGTATGACCTACAATATTTGCACATTGAATACAATGGGCAGGTATCTCGTATGACCATCAATATTTGCACATTGAATACAATGGGCAGGTATCTCGCATGACCTACAATATTTGCACATTGAATACAATGGACAGGTATCTCGTATGATTTACAATATTTGCACATTGAACACAATGGGCAGGTATCTCGTATGACCAAAAATATTTGCACACTGAATACAATGGGCAGGTATTTCGTATGATCTACAATATTTGCACATTGAATACAATGGACAGGTAACTCGTATGACCCACTTGAGTAGCCCGAAGAAAACATTGGGCAGGCAACTCTTAGGACCCAGGAACTGAACTAAGAATGCAATGAGCAGTTAACTCGCAAGACATACCTGAGTTGCACAAAGAAGGCACCGATACCGATGATCACCAGAAGAGAAATGGTTCCGACCAGTGCTCCAATCAGATTCACCTCCGACACTGAATCGATAACAACAAATAGTTATTCATCTCATTTCACCAACCGAACTCATACATTTATGGAATGTATATGAAACTCATCCGATGGATTGTACCAAAATAAACTCCCATCCTCTGGTTACGTAGAAACAACATACAACTCAAACTTGCATAACCGCAGAATTACCATGTTCAATAGTTTTACTGGTTTGGGTAAACTGTCGACAAATGCCTAGGAATTGCAAATCATGCACTTGGCTCCTACTCACATGTTAAATGCGACATGTCACCAAGAAATGTGCATCGCAGGCCCTTGAAACCGCATTCAGGGATGTCTGGTGGAGGACCTGAGTTGTGAGGCCAAATGATTGTCCTGCCCGGCGTGTATCTGAAGGTCTTAGATCTTCCCAGGAACGTGCCCACAGCCTGAATGACACACGGGTGGTCAATCAAACAAAATAGCCATTTGTTCCCCAGGCGTGGCGAATTGAAAGCTTTTCAATTTCACTCTTAGAAACTACATGAAAATGATCGTACATGAAATTGTCAACCAAGCTCAGGACGTCCCAGATCAACGACAAGAGAACAGGATAGATTGAGTCGAAACCTTTGTATATTCTGTCGTACACTCGTTGTTTAAAGGGGCGGTGGGGTAGCCTAGTGGTTAAAACGTTCACTCCTCACGTCAGAGACCCGGGTTCGATTCCCCACATTGGTACAATGCGTGAAGCCTATTTCTGGTGTCCCCCGCCGTGATATTGCTGGAATATTGCTAAGAGTGGCGTAAAACAAACTCTCTCACTCATTCGTTGTTTGAAATATCGATTTTATATAATAACTCATGAACTTTGTTTGACCCAAAACACCCTGCGGCATGTTGCACACCTGGGTAATCTTAGTAAGAATACATTGGCTTCTTGTAGACGTTAATTACTATTTTTATCTTGACTGGTTTTCATTTGGCTGTCCCAAACAACAAGCAATGTTAATGTTTTCATTAATGTCCCATGCGTGTAGTTGATATGTGTGATCACAAACGACTTTCAGATACTTAAGAAAATTCGAGAAAGATACCCAACGTATCTCTCGACATTGTTTGAGCCAGAATAATCATTCTTAAACCTTGGTTTTTGAATTTTTGAAACATTCTTGCTCCTTTCATATTTGGTCTAAATATTCTCAATATCAGCACATGAAGATCCTTATCTGTTGAGGCATCCCTGACGTTGTGTCCTTTTATGACATTGCTGTCGAGATGAATAACATTAATGTATATTTACCATATATACAGAAATCTAAGAAACAATTATTTACCGTAGTATTATGTGCCTCATCTTAGTGTTTTATGATTGTCTTCATTACTGCCATGGCAAAACCCAAATACAAAAGAAACCCTTTCCACATTCATAAGAAATCTCTGCTAAAAGCAGAGTCGATTGTACAATTGTGACTATATCATGAGCATATATTTGTTTCAGCAGTATAACAGCTGTATGGTGTTGCTTGTGAACAAATCGAGTCTGGACCAGACAATCCAGTGATTATCACCATAAGATGACAGAGCATGTGTTTAGGAATCACTATGAAATAGTCATGATACCAGGTGTTCGCGAAAAGGAGAGCATACCCTGCCCCGTCAGAAACATAGTGTAAAGTCTTGTCCACTGCTCACCCGAAATATTCGGAAACGTATGGTATAAGTCAAAATAGGGAATTACAATGGACATAATTTTTGTCACTGAAGCATCAAGTTTCGAAATGTCCTCAACATATCTACCATGAAACTTCTTGAAAGCTTTACAACTTCATCTAGCTTGGTACATGCACCATGCGTTTGTGTTACGAAATAAATTGATACATTAACTGTATCTTATAAGGTGTGGAGAGTAACTCCCTTGTTTATGAGCTTGTGGCCGTTATACAATCGAAAATAAAAATATAATGTCAACAACAAAGGTTGTCCTTTCTGTCAACAAGGTGTGCTTAGATTTAACCTGAATTAACAAGTGTTACTCAAGGACAATTTAAGGAGCTTCACGAAATATGCTGCACAAAAATGTATCGAAAATATATGCAACTGGTCCGCACGTAAGAGTAGAGACATATCCCCGATGAAGAAGGTTTATTCAGAAACTCACAATGACTCTCCCAGCTTTCGTCAAATCGAGGAGGAAGAGGTCCGCTTCCCGAACTCCGTTTGCATCCACTGTGATGTTCCTCTCTACGCCTAAACAATATATGAGATGATTAATGTGGTCTAAAGCAGGTATGGAATACGAGAAGGGACATTGTCGCTATGTCGCATTGTCGCCCTCTCAAAAACATGTAAAGTGAGGCAAAATAAACCAAAACGCGACACGCGACACGCGACGTCGCGACGTCGCGACAACGCGACATTTCGCCCATTTGTCGCATTGTCGCGTGTCGCGTTTTGAATATTTTTCTATTCCTTCAAAGGGCGACACGCGACATAGCGACAATTTTCAAGGTCAAAATATGTCGCGTTGTCGCGCGTCGCCCTATCTAAGATGTGTAAAAAGAAGCCTAAAAATTCACTGAAACGTGACACGCGACATCGCGACAATGCGACAAATGGGCGAAATGTCGCGTTGTCGCGTTTTGGTTAATTTTGCTTGTATTTGAGAGGGCGACAACGCGACAATGTCCCTTCCAGGATTCCACATTCAGGGCATCGTCACTTAACGCACAGCTGCATAACTTGTGGGACATATGAAAATACCATTAAGAAGGAAAACGATTTGCTCCCTCCCTCCCTCACTCACTCACTCACTCATACAATTGGCGGTTTTGTCTGTGAATAGGTGTAAATAGCTTCAAGCAAGTTTTATTTATTCACTTTACTTGGTTACAGTTCACTATGATACATGGGTAGAGTAAAATAGTACAAATTACATATGAAAAAACACACAGTATCATGTATATCGTATTGGGAATATAGATCTATATACAGGACAGCATCTGGAACACACCAATTTCTGTTAAAGAAGTTCACATCGTCGTTTTCTTTACCGATAAATTTCTCAATTTCATGAACGTCCTTTTATAATGTTTTGTGAATTGTGAAGCTAGGTTTTTGTCCTTTTTATATTCATTTAAAATGTGGCGCTTTGCCAAAAATATCACGTGGTTGAGTAAATGGTTACCACTGCAACAGAATAGAATATCATGGTTTGACACTGACGAGGAACAGTCCTCGGTTGTAGTGAGTGAGTGAGTATGGTTTTACGCCGCTTTTAGCAATATTCCAGCAATATCACGGCGGGGGACACCAGAAATGGGCTTCACACATTGTACCCATGTGGGGAATCGAACCCGGGTAATCGGCGTGACGAGCGAACGCTTTAACCACTAGGCTACCCCACCGCCCCTCCTCGGTTGTAGGTTGGGATGGACGAATATGTCTTTCCTTTTGTCGGTCGTGATTTGTGTAGTACATACCTGTAAACGTCCTATTCCACATTTTTCTTGTTAAGGCTGTTCCATTGTGCGGATCGCCCCCCTCCTTGAGTGTTTCGTACAACACTTGAGCATATATAGAGACAGCGTCGTGGTAGCCTACGATGAAGTCTCCAGGCTGTGGGAAGACATTGCACACACATAGCAAACACTCTTTCTTAATAATCCTGTTCAATTTACACATTCAATCTTACTGTTCTAAGAAAACTGTGATATTTCTATTCATAACTTTATATTGGTATGGCACTATTCATAAATGATTACATCGATGAACAGGTACAGATTATCATATTTGCATTCTACTCGAATACAAAAAATCCCCAATATGACAAAATGGTATCAGTTTAAAGTTATCACCTTTTCCTGAAGCATCGTATGTTATGTGATTGTTTGTTTCGCTTTCGCCGCACTCAGCAACATTCCAGCTATATGGCGGCGATCTGTAAATACTCGAGTCTGGACCAGACAATCAAGTGATCAACAAAACGTGCATCAATCTACGCAATTGGGATACGATGACATGTGTCAACCATGTCAGCGAGCCTGACCACCCGATCCCGTTAGTCGCCTCTTACGACAAGCATGGGTTGATGATGACCAATTCTAACCCGGATATTCACGGGTTTATCTTATGTGAACTCTCACTTTGTGAGAAAAACAGCGTCACTCCTCCATGCTATGACGTCACACGACATGATGACATGTTTCCGCCACAACAAACTCTTCAAACAAGCAGATTGTAAAGAAAACTAAATACAATTGGTAAATACTGATAAATCTTTATCTAATATCTAGTCAACGTGATATCCTTTTCGGCAAGACAAAGGGCATATTCTGCAAGGTTGAAAATGAAATAGAAACTGCAAAGCACTTTCCACATAGGCGGTTGTACAATTGTGACTATATCATTAGTATGTGTTCTTTTACGCCGCATTCAGCAGTATTACAGCTGCACGATGCGGTTTGCGAACAATGGACCAGACAATACAGTGATTGCCACTATGAGATAAAGAGGTACTTATAGAGAGAGGTACTCATGCACAATGAACATTCCAGGAGTCTTCCGGATTCGAATCATTTTAAACCAACTACATTGCATCACGCGTTACCATCAGTATAATAATTAAGAAATCGATAAATCTAACGGTTTGAACTCACATCATCCCCGCCGAAGTCGAGGTCCCAGTTTTCAAGGGCGTTGGCAACGACGTTATCTCTGAAACGTTCGTATTTCTGGGTTTTCGATTCTCTCAAGGCCAGGAAGAATACGCTTTGAAAAGCTTCCAGTGCCTCCTGCAGTGAAGAACAGCGGTTTTACGACAACATATTGATATTCAGAACATGCTGAACATTAGTGTAAGCGGCAAACGTGTTGACATCCATACAACGGCAAACAGCGGTATTAAGACATAATATATCAATATTCACACAACGGCAAACAGCGGTATTAAGATATAATATATCAATATTCACACACTGGCAAACAGCGGTATTAAGACATAATATATCAATATTCACACACTGGCAAACAGCGGTATTAAGACATAATATATCAATATTCACACAAAGGCAAACAGCGGTATTAAGACATGATATATCAATATTCACATAATGGCAAACAGCGGTATTAAGACATAATATATCAATATTCACACAAAGGCAAACAGCGGTATTAAGACATGATATATCAATATTCACATAATGGCAAACAGCGGTATTAAGACAAAATATACCGGTATTCACACAACGACAAACAGCAGTATAAAGTCAAAATATACCGGTATTCACAGAATGGCAAACATCGGCATTAAGACATATTATATGAATATTCACACAATAGCAAACGGCAGTATTCAGTCTAAATTTATCGATATTCACATAATTGCAAACGTCAGTATTTAGTCAAAACATAGCATATTGATATGTTGACACAATGGCAAACAGCGGTGTTAAGACAAAATATATGGATATTCACACGGCAAACAGGGTATTAAGACAACATATATCAATATTCACACAACGGCAAACAGCGGTATTAAGACAAAATATATGTATGTTCACAAAATGACTAGAGCGGTGTTAATACAAAATATACCGATATTCACACAACGGCAAACAGCTGCATTAAGTCAAAATATACCGTTACTCACACAACGGCAAACAGCAGTATTAAGTCAAAATATACCGACATTCACACAACGGTAAACAGGCGTAAAATTTTGAAACATTGTAAGTCAACCTTTGCCGTTACTCGCTAGCTTTCACGCCGTACAGTGTACCGACATATAGAGTCTCGAACTGTGTCTTTGACGTGACAAGCGAACGCTTTACAACCACCTACGTGGGAAACAATGGCACAGTAAAAGTGCATTGAATGCCAACATATGGCACAACCTTCAGAGAGAGGCATCGGGGAAGAGTTGGAAACATGAGTTAAACAATGCATGGGAACATTATTTAAGGACTGGTCATTGATAAGAGGGAATTGAGGGAGAGGAGGCGGTCATGGAAAAAGCGTATACTCAGCATGGCGCGGACTGGTCTTCCTTGGAGGGCGGTGGGTTAGTCTAGTGGGTAAAGCGTTCGCTCGTCACACTGAGGACCGGGTTCAATTCCCCTCATGGGTACACTGTGTGAAGTCCAGTTCTGGAGTCCCGTGATATTGCGGAATAATGCCTGAAGCGACGTTAAACCTCACTCGCTCCCTCCCTCCCTCACTCACTCACTCAGATAACGATACCACTCGTATCCCTAAATATGACTGCAACGTGGCTGTCTGGGGCGTCAACGTCTAATCCGCTACCAACCTCGTCGTTTTCGTCTCCTCTCTGCCACACATCAGGGGTGACTTTCTCCCGTAGGGCAACTGTGATGATGAAGACGTATTCGCCTCTGGTGAAGCCCATCTCATGGGCAATGAGCATGATGTCGCGGACAACTTCAACAGGCGCGTGGATGATGAAGACTGTTAAAAGTGACAAAGGTTAGTTTCGATCTTTGATGAGTTTTGCCACATAAAGCAAATGGAATAACATGATACAAAATTCCATATTTTCGACAGGAATTATGTTTCTGCATGAATGATGTAAAGGTTTATTCCCTTCATAAGTCACACGTATATTTATATAGAATGATGCATCTTATTACACCTATCAAAATGAGTGAGTATGGTATTTACGCTGCTTTTAGCAATATTCCAGCAATATTGCGGCAAGGGACACCAGAAAAGGGCTTCACACATTGTACCCATGTGGGAAATCGAACCCGGGTCTCTGGCGTGACGAGCCATAGCTTTAACCACAAGGCTACCCTACCGCCCCTATAACTATCCGAGTATAGTGGTTTGTAATATCATATAATTTATCCAGATTATAGACAGAGGGGGTAAAGGGTATGCTGTACATCATGATGACAGCAGTCATGCCATCAATACTAAGGTTCATAAAGATAATGGGGCGGTGGGGTAGCCTAGTGGTTAAAGCGTTCACTCGTCACGCCGAAGACCCGGGTTCGATTCACCCACATTGACACAATCTGTGAAGCCCATTTCTTCTGTCCCTCGCCGTGATATTGCTGGAATATTGTCTAAAATCGGCGTAAACCAAACTCACTCACTCACACACTCACCCCTTGCATTCTCGCTTCCCTGCTCCAGTATGAATCGGTATCCCGCGGTATTCAGGCGCTTCCTCCTTAAAGGTAGATGAGTAACGTCAAAGATGGAGGTTTTGAAGGTCTGGTGGAACAGCCTTCCCATTCGGCTTGACTGAGAATATCTGTCGCTGTTGTCATACATTAGGGCGATATGACTCCAGTGGTACAGCCCAAGGATGGTCTGAGTAAATTCCAAAAACAGCCCAAAGGGAGATAACTTGGTGACAGTGGGATATTGTTCAACATCGCCGAGATTTTCCGTACTTCCAGCTGGAGTTATGAGAGGGATGTTCCAATCTGCCACCATGAACCCGAGCATCTCAACAGCATCGCCACAAGCTGGGGAAATTACATGCATATATCCTTATTTTTTTTAAAACAAATGTAAAATAAATCTTACTTCAAATAGGAGACAATCGATCAGTTTTTGGCAGAAATGATTGGCTGGAAAAACATATGCCCATGTGATTGTTGCATGTCGAAGGATTTTTTACTTGTCTGTTCTTAATGTCAGCTTCCAATTGTGATTTATTAAGAAGCATATCTATGTACATATATAAAGCTATGCTGCTAGGAAAGTAGCTCTACTAAGTATTGATAGTTAGAGCAACTTAAACATAAATATATCAAATCATCTTTATACGTGTATGTGCCTTGCTAACACGTCTTGACAATTGACTAATGTATTGTAGTCATGGGCCGATGACCTACACTATTTCCGTATTAAAGGATTGATTGAATTGATTGATTTGTCTGTTATCGGGCGGGAAGTGTGTGTGCGTGTGTGTGTGTGTGTGTGTGTGTGTGTGTGTGTGTGTGTGTGTGTGTGTGTGTGTGCGCGTGCGTGCGCGTGCTTCTCAATGATTAAGTTAGCTTCCTGCAAAGATTTGTTCGCAAATACGATCTGTTTGTTGTTTAACGCTGAAACAAACCAATATTCTAGCTATATGGTGACGGGCTGTGATAATCAAAGTCTCGACTAAACAATCAAGTAATTGACATCATGAGCACCAGCCCACTGAACTAGGACGCAAATAAGAGCAACGGTTCATGTTGTTAACGTATAACACAAATAAATAGGAATACGTTGGTTGTCATGGATATAAAAGAACATTTGAGCATCAGCAGTAATCACATTATTGCAATACAGTCACAATAATACAGAAACGCATATTTCCTTCTCATCTTACTCCACACATATAATTATGTCGTTTTCTGACTGACTGAGCGCTCTTCTTTTAATTTAATGTGCCCAGCTTACAAGAGAGTGACATTTTATATGTTACCCATTTGGAATGCCGAACTGTGAGAATTCATTTGGTACTTCGTGTCAGTTATCTCTAATAATTGAGTCACGTATGATGTACGGAAATTACCGATCGCCTAACTCCGGTACTCATTATGATCCGATACCCGTGCTTCAAACAGTTAAAATGACCATGTTCAGTAAGATAAATACGTTCAGTGGTCCCTCGGAGCCCAAGGGTTGATGTATGTTACGTAATGTTACGAGGCTACGTTACATCAACCCATGTCCCCTTCGAGACCAGCGAACAACTTATCATGTCATACTGACTGAAAAAAAGAAGTAAATACAAGAAGCTCACCTGGTCCAATGAAAGCAGTGACTTCCTCGTTGTAGTAGACGTCTGCTGCGAGAGCGCCGATTCTGTAGCCATTGCAAGTGTTGTTACGAAAAGTAACCTGAAAGTCGATCAGATCTCCATACTTCTTTTTGGCCTTACCTAACGCTAGATTCACCGCGGGCCCTGAACGAGGAAGGGCGAACGAGTAACGGGTATCATTCACTTCGATTGTTGCTAGTTTAGCTCTAAATTTGGCAGCCAAGGTAAGGTTTACCAAACATACAAACGCACCTAGAGTACAAACCAAAGTCGTGGTGCACATGTTGCGTGCAATGCCGTTCCCGAAGTGGTCGCCAATCTGATGCAGCGTTTTGGTATACAGGGAGAATGGTCTGACTTCACAGTTTGACACAAATTAGCCCAACTGTTAAATGTGTCATCTCTTCTCCCGGAGTGGTCAGCCCACATAGCTAGATCACGTGTTCCCTGGTCAATACAATTGTTACACATTTGGATAATTGTCTTGATTACTCGAGTTATGTTAATAATATGTTCCATAGTTGATAGTTGTAGGAAAACGATGTAGAAATTCGAATATATAGCAAAACGGTGTATGTTATTTTCTTTTAATTGCGCAGCATACCAAGGGTGAAATTGTATTCCATTTGTATATAAATTCCTGTAGTATAAATGGTACGACGTTTCGGAGTATATTCTTATTCCATCGTCCTGTCTAATCATTGGGGGCGGTGGGGTAGCCTATTGGTTAAAGCGTTGGCTCGTCACGCCGAAGACCCGGGTTCGAATCCCCACATGGGTACAATGTGTGAAGCCCATTTCTGGTGTCCCCCGCCGTGATATTGCTGGAATATTGCTAAAAGCGGCGTAAAACCAAACTCAGTCAGCCAGTCAGTCATTATACAAAAGTTGACATCCTTAAATTTTCACCCTTCATGTGTATCACTTCTAAATGTCCTTACGTAGATCGATGCTCACGATGTTGATCACTGGATTGTCAAAAAGACGTGTTCATGATAGTCAACATATTTATAAAATTAATCAGTTCGATCGACATATGTTTTAATGAGGCTTTAACAATTTAGTCTCATTATGTAAGATCTAAGCCTCACACATACTTGTGCTCATATAATACATTGCTACTTCATAGCACTGTTGCTTTGATTATTGTACCTGTATACAGATAAAATAGTGAGTGAGTGAGTTTAGTTTTACGCCGATTTTAACAATATTTCAGCAATATTACGGCGGGGGACACCAGAAATGCGCTTCACACACTGTGCCTATGTGGGGAATCGAACCCAGGTCTTCGGCGTGACAAGCAAACGCCTTTGCCTCTAGACTATCCCACTGCCCGCAGATGATGTAAAGGCCGGTAATATGTATTTGGATGAAATTGTAGATACTGACAGATAAACATGTTGTCAATCTTACAAATATAGCAACATGATATAGTACAACCAGAAATTATTGAGAATTTAAAGATTGTAAATTGTTTATTCTTTTCACTCATTACTCATGTATTAAATGTGAATATTAGCAGAACATAACTCCAGATTCAAAGACAGGTGAACAGTTAGTATTTTGTCAAGTCACCATGGGCAGCAATGCAGGCTTCAATGCGGAGGGGCATACTACTGATCAAAGAAGTTAGAAAGTCGTGGTCCATGCTGTCCCAATGTCGGACCACCTCTTCTTTCATTTCAGCAATATTTGTCAGATTTTTCTTATTGACACTTTCCTTCATAAGTCCCCAAACATTTTCTATTGGATTTAAGTCAGGGCTATAGCTTGGCCAATCTAATAATATCATATTTTGGGTCCGAAACCAGGCCTGTGAATGCTTTGAACGATGTTTGGGTCGTTGTCTTGCTGGAAAATCCAAACATTTCCATAAAACACGTGAGCAGATGGAAGTAAATGTCCCTCGAGAATATCTGTGTACCGCTCACTGTTCATATTCCCTTCAAATACACAGAGGGGCGTTGCCCCTAACACAGATATGCCATCCCACACGTTAAATTTCGGACTGTACTTTGGGCGCTGATACAAAGGTTTTTCAGTTTGTTTGGTCCAGAATTTCAGTGTATTAGGAAACAGCCACACAGAACTTTCATCTGAGAAAATCACACTGTCCCAGTTAAAATTTCTATGCTGTAAGCACCAGTTCAACCTTCGCTCCTTTTGTTCAGGTTTCATGATCGGTGATGGAATTCCTCGACTTTTCTGCCATCCCATTGCATGCAGCTCAGTTCTAATTTTCTCCTTACAGACAGTGACAGTTCCTCTGTCAATCATATCCAGCCTTAAGTTTTCTAAACTCCTTCGTTTATTTTTAGAAACAAGAATACCAAGCCGCCTCCTGTCACCGACAGTCAATTTTCTGTGCCTACTTGCGCCTCCCTGGTGCTCAGTGCCATATCCATTTACAATATTTTTCAAAACACGATAAACAGTGGACAAGGGGATGCCTGTTCTACTTGAAACCACTCTAGCTGATCTGATGTCCTTGTTATAATACTCTAAAATCAACTTCCTCTTCTCTAAATCATCCATACTGAGGATCAAGGAAAATGTCGTCTGCTAGCAAGTAAACAAAGTGGGATAACTCTTCACAAACTAATGAAAAAGGATTCACGGAGTTGTCTCTCTTGAATGAAACCAAGTACTTGATAGCTGGTCAAGGTTGTTTATACTAGAAATCCGAATTAAACATATTCCTAAAATTCTCAATAATTTCTGGTCATACTATATCTATGTATTTCTGAAATAAATAGTCATTGTATTTTAAAGGCTGATTTTATCTTGCCTAAATAATGCCTTGAACTGCTCACCTATTTTGGTGAAGCATTTGACTACGGAAATGTGGCATTGTTTTCTACATCTAATTAAAGTTTTATTTTTTATTTTTTTTATTGAAAAAGTAGATTTGTATTTACCATACTGAAGCGGCAATAACTGGCGAGACAGTTTGTCAATAAATGAACTGCTTAATGCTCTATAAAGTTTTCTGCATCTGTAACAAAGTTGTTTTTCATGATGTTACAAACAAGCTCGTCTCTCTTACAAATACGATGTATATCTGCTGATATACGTTTGTCACGAATATAAACATACATTTTCACTCCCATGGTAATTCTGACATTTACCATATGGACTCCCGCTGTGGCGAAAATCTGACACGGGGAGATGACGAGTGTCGCAGCGTAATGAGAATCGTCTATAACTGTTAAGAAGTAATTGCATCCCTCCTCTTTAAACTGTTTGTACACAATTCGACAGTTGATTGTATTGTTATTATCAGTTTGGAAATGCACAAATTGGTACCCCCCAGAGATGCTGATCATCTGATGATGTGGTAGTTTCTGGCAGTGTGCCGGTGATTGTATGAAGATAATGAGCTGTAAATATAGTTGACAAGGTATGAAGTAATGACAACAATTTTCACATATGTCACTGCAAAACACCTGGGATCATTAACGAACACAGGCAGGCTTCCCGCAGATGAAACCCGTAAAGATCAGGGTTAGAATTGATCATCAGTAACTCATGCTTGTCGTAAGAGGCGACTAACGGGATCGGGTGGTCAGGCTTGGTTGACACATGTCATCGTATCCCAATTGCGTAGATCGATACTCATGCTGTTGATCACTGGATTGTGTGGACCAGGCTCGATTGTGGATCGCCGCCATATAGCTGGAATATTGCTGTTTGCGGTGTAAAACAACAACCAAATAAACCAACCACATTTGTTTTTATCTCGAAATTCATTAACAATGAACATACTGCTCCTTTCACACATCTCAGGCAATGCGTTTCTATGACTATTTGGACGTGTATTGTTTACTGTTTGCCTTAATAATGGCAAACCAAGAGCCTGTAAATTTGAAAACACATTTTTGTTCTTTACGTTTATTTAGCTACGTAATAGACAGGTTACAGACACCCTCAATTATCTTGGATATTGTCTCATTAACTGCTTTCTCAATTGCATCTTAATTTGTCTCTACTAAACACGATAAAGTATGCGATTTGATGATGTCGGAAAAATCAGGAGTGAGAAAAGTTACTTTTTACGTTTTATACATCATAAGGGAATCATTCGTCTGTGTCGACTGAATGATTCCTTTAACAGGCACAATATCACTTTCTAACTTACAACTTTCCAGGGTACAAAGAAATCTAGTTAACATATAAAATCGGACGTATTTTGAGATATTCATTAATGCTATTACTATGACTTTTATGATTGTTGAGATTGCAACAACCTTGATGATCTACATCAGGAACTGCTGGCAGTTATGCTGTATCTTTGTATGTGTTCGTATCCAATAAGTCATTCAGCTTGCAAAAATTGTCATTAATATTTTACTTCTAGTGCCTCGTTCATTGTAAACAGTGACTCAGCAATGTTATTGCAGAGTGAATAATCCTTTTTTGTAGTTGTATTTCTCTGCATGTCACTATTTCGATGAAAGTTGTTTTGAGTTTTACGAATGAAAGCGCCTGTGAGCAGCCTAGCTGGAACTCAACGCTATATAAATAGATTATACTACTAAAAAGTGTAATAAATTCCTTTTGGTTTTCATGGACGGGTCCTATCTATATTATGCATGGGATTGGCAGTATTTGACACGTGCTCCCTTATTCCTTTTCAAACCAATGGCGATTCATAGGCTCTTGTTTATTGATGAATGATGAATGAGTTTATTCCTTGTAATGGGGCACCGGCCCATTTTACATTTTCAAGTTTTACAAGTTGTACATGAACATGCGAGCGCCAGTATACAAATGATGAAGAATTGGACATATGGTCAATTCATTACCAAAATGTAAGGAAGTTATGTCTCTTCTTTGAAAATTTGGTAAGCTCTTTATAATTGATATATTAGTAGAAGAGAATAATTGGACACACTTTCTATTTGACGGGTAACTTAAAAAATATTTAGGTAAAATATGCTGCCGAAGCTCTTGTTGATTTGCATCAGTACCAAACCCTGTTGTATTGATTCCAGTTTCAGGGTAATAAACCCCTTGGCATTTACTGGCATGTTGTTAGTGAAGCCAGTATTATTTCTCTAAAATATTATTTCAATTTCCCAAACGTATATCTGTACTTATAAGCATCAGAATCTCTTTACTTTATACAGCAGTCGTAAATCCAAAATTCTCACTGGATCATCCGGTTTTTCAATCAATTGATTGTCTGGTTTATTTGGAGTAAGTGAGTGAGTTTTAAACCGCACTCAGCAATATTCCTGCTATTTGGGGGCAGTCTGTAAATAATCGGGTCTGGACTAGACAATCAAGGGATAAACAGCATGAACATCGATCTGCGCAATTGGGAAACGATGACATGTGTCAACCCAGTCAGCGAGCCTGACCTCCCGATCCCGTTAGTCGCCTGTTACGACAAGCAAGGGTAACTGAAGATCAATTCTAACCCGGATCTTCACGGGTCGGTTTATTTAGAGGCCACAACCGCATGGCAGGAATACTGCTTCGCAGCGTTAGGCACAACATGTTTAAATGGGGCGTGGTGGGCGAGCTGGCTAAGGCGCCAGGCTAGTGATCCAGCGAGTTTGAGGTGACGGGATCGAGCCCACCTGTGGCCGGGTGTAAAAACCTTGGAGTCAATTTTGCATGCAGACTCTCTCAGTGTTGTCACAACCCCTAGTGTACAGTACACAACCCTGTGCACTTAAAAGAACCCACGAATACGTTGGTATATGACCAGATGGTGGCCACCTGAATACGTGCAAACACCTAGTTGCGGGTACAGCAACGTGCAGTAAACTTGGACAAAATACTGTGACTACGTGTCCCAGTCTACCCAGCTGTGAATAGGTACCCCGTAAGGATGGGAAAGCCACATTAACTCAGTGCGCCTAGTGGCTGCAAGAGTTGTATGATCCTCAGGGAGTTGAGATTGATGATACAGTGTGCCGTTTGAGGCTGACGTCCAACGATCGAGGGAAAAACAAAGCGCCTTGGAGCAGGTGATCTGGATATTGGCGCTAAATAAATAAATAAATAAATAAATAAATAAATAAATAAATAAATAAATAAATAAATAAATAAATAAATAAATAAATAAATAAATAAATAAATAAATAAATAAATAAATAAATAAATAAATAAATGTTTAGGCAAATGTTGTGAATGTGCCTTTGACTTTTTTGCACTGTGTTCATGGCACTTTGACGTTTTTGCACTGTGTTCATGTCACTTTGACTTTTTTGCACTGTGTTCATGGCACTTTGACGTTTTTGCATTGTGTTCATGTCACTTTGACGTTTTTGCATTGTGTTCATGTCACATTGACTTTTTTGCACTGCGTTCATGTCACTTTGACGTTTTTGCACTGTGTTCATGTCACTCACTTTTGACTTTTCATGCACTGACTGTTCATGGTTCACTTTGACTTTTTGCATTGTGTTCATGTCACTTTGACGTTTTGCATTGTGTTCATGTCACTTTGACGTTTTGCATTGTGTTCATGTCACTTTTTGACTTTTTTTTTGCATTGTGTTGTGTTCATGTCACTTTGACTTTTTGCATTGTGTTCATGTCACTTTGACTTTTGTGCATTTTGCATTGTGTTCATGTCACTTTGACTTTTTGCATTGTGTTCATGTCACTTTGACGTTTTTGCATGTGTTCATGTTTGACTTTTTGACGTGTTCATTTTGCATTGTGTTCATGTCACTTTGACTTTTTGCATTGTGTTCATGGCACTTTGACTTTTTGCATTGTGTTCATGTCACTTTGACTTTTTTGCACTGTGTTCATGTCACTTTGACTTTTTGCATTGTGTTCATGTCACTTTGACTTTTTCGCACTGTGTTCATGTCACTTTGACGTTTTTGCATTGTGTTCATGGCACTTTGACTTTTTTGCATTTTTCATGCACTTTGACTTTTTTGCACTGCGTTCATGTCACTTTGACGTTTTTGCATTGTGTTCATGTCACTTTGACTTTTTCGCACTGTGTTCATGTCACTTTGACGTTTTTGCATTTTGTTCATGGCCCTTTGACCTTTTTGCATTGTGTTCATGTCACTTTGACTTTTTTGCACTGTGTTCATGTCACTTTGACATTTTTGCATTTTGTTCCTGGCCCTTTGACCTTTTTGCATTTTGTTCCTGGCCCTTTGACTTTTTTGCACTGTGTTCATGTCACTTTGACATTTTTGCATTTTATTCCTGGCCCTTTGACCTTTTTGCATTGTGTTCATGTCACTTTGACTTTTTGCAATTTGTTCATGGCCCTTTGACTTTTTTGCATTGTGTTCATGTCACTTTGACTTTTTTGCATTTTATTCATGGCCCTTTGACTTTTTTGCACTGTGTTCATGTCACTTTGACTTTTTTGCATTGTGTTCATGGCACTTTGATTTTTTGCATTTTGTTCATGGCCCTTTGACTTGTTTGCATTGTGTTCATGTCACTTTGATTTCTTTGCACTGTGTTCATGTCACTTCGACGTTTTATTAATTGTGTTCATGGCACTGTAACTTATGTTATTGCTCCATCTTATTTCTGTGACCTCCTCCAGCCCTACATTCCATCACGATCCCTCCGCTCAGAATCTCAACAGCTATTCATTGTGCCTAACGTCAAACTGTGCAGTTATGGACAACGGGCGTTTTCCCATTCAGCAGCTTATCAGTGGAACATTCTCCCTCAAGAACTACGAACTTCTCCAACCTATTCTTCTTTCCGGACATCTCTCAAGACTCATTTGTTCCTTCAAGCATTTGCCTGAACACTCCTTTTCCTTCTTAGCGCTTTGAGCAAGATATTCATCCTGGAATGGCGCTATATAAGTGGACAATTATTATTATTATTATGTTATTGTTGTTATTTGTGATGCTTCTATTTTTGGCCTGCAACTCTGGTGATAATGTGATGTCTGCAGGTGATCACTACTCTCTCTGGTGATCACTTTCCTGCGAGATGTCCATATGTGTATAATTAATAAAACAGCTTACAAGTCACAATGAAGGCTTATGGTCTTGTTCTCTTGGTCCCCTTCATATATGGAATGCTGACTTTTCTCTTTTTCCCCCTCATTACTTTTGCACATGACAGTATAATAGGTAGGGTACCTAAATTTTCAATTTGGATAGGAAGTATAAGCGTCAACAAACTTTTCAAAGACAGACATCTTAAAAACTCACTACCATTTCTCTTTACCCCTAAACGCAACGCATGCGATGCACGTGCACAACGCAGTAGCCCCATACACGTACATGGGGTGTCATTCTTGATTTTGACGGTTTTCAAGAAGGTCGATAAATCACTGTAGACCATTAATTTTGACAATCATCTTCGATCAAACAGTTTTCAGTGTTTGTTTCCAGCCGTTCTTTTTCGTTTTGAAAATGAAACTCGTACACATACACATTTTAATCTTTCAAGGGCGATTGCTGTACACACAACTATGGTCATATATAAGGAAGTGTAAGTGGTGATGCACTCTCAAAACATTCATCATTATCATATCACTGACTGACTGCCTGAGTTTAGTTTTACGCCGCTTTTAGCAATATTCCAGCAATATCACGGCGGGGGACACCAGAAATGGGCTTAACACATTGTGCCCATGTGGGGAATCGAACCCGGGTCTTCGGCGTGACGAGCCAACGCTTTAACCACTAGGCTACCCCACCGCCCCCATTATCATATCAACATTGATTGACTATGATATATCTAACATGTTTTTCAATCGTAAATTACAAATGCAGTTGTTTTAAGAGTATAGTTACTTTGTTTTTTAAATGTTTGAACGAACACACCAAGCTAATACAAACACATATATACACATGGAAGCTATGACTTTACTTCGAAATTGAGATTTCAACTTTGAAATGGGAAACTTTCCCTTTTTCTTGTGTAAGTGTGGTGTCTACATTTCAAAACGTTTGACATCAAATATACTCTTTCAGTGAAATCCACAAAGAACGTCATACGACTCTTGCTAAAAAAGGTGTCTGATCAGGAAAAGGCATTCAAGGTCTCATCAATATGACCTTCAAAAGTTGTTTAGTGTTTAATGAAAAGGCTCCTTTAGCCAACTAACATAGAAACGTTTCTAGAATAGCTAATACATGCGATAATTCGCTATGAGACATCCAGATCTGGAACTGATCCGGACAGTGGCTTTACGTAAAGAGAATATTGCATAAAGAGAAAATGTACTTTTTGAATGTGGAAGTTGAAGTCAAATTGCCTTTAATCGTAATACCATGCCTTCCACCACTCTCTCACTCATACCCATTCACTGACAGAAAGTTGTCAAAAACAAAACAGGCAATTGTTATATAGCAATAATATTTATTCATCAAAATACAATAACATATAAGCTACACAAACACACAATTAGCTACACAGAAAATTGAGGAGGACTTTCTCTAAAGGTTCCTCTTGTGCTGTGTTGTGCCAAGTTTCAAACGCACAACAATGTATAACATGTTTTACATTTGCGTACACACACAATTTCAGCTGCAGGAAATATCGAGAAGTAAAATTTACGATGAACTGGTTAACAACCTCCCTCGAAAATTAAAACCAAATATTCAATAATGTTTTTAACCCAAATGTCATATATGATGTTTTACCAAAGCTGGAATCATATCTAAGCTTTATAGGAATATATACTACCCATCAAAGGTTTAGACTCACTAGTGTAAATGTAGCCACTTACTTTAGTCAACTGCTCTAAACTAGATTTTGCAAAATATTCCTTAATGTTTAAAGGTACTGTCTAAACATGAACTGATGTATTGTAACACAAATTCGTTACGTCGAAAAGATTATTATCATGAGTTCAATAAATGATGAAACTCAATGAAATTGGCGAATTCTTAACAAAACACACAGCAGTTAACATGGTCGATATTTGCACATGCATTTCAGAAATTTGATGCATGATCCTCGTGCAGTTCATCTGCATAACGTTTGCAGTTGGTTCCCCCAAGTTACTGGAAAAATTCATCTTCGATGTAACCACATATATATATATATACATAACATATAGTGAGTGCTTTAAGTGAGTCTAAACTTTTGATGGGTAGTATATACAAAACGATAAAGATCATGGTTATGTTCTGACAACAATGACCATGCCATACAAAAAGGAGCCAAACTTTGTAAAGGAAAACAACATTTGTGATATAATATGTGAGACTAATTGTTGATGAACTAAGATTCGGTGTAATTTGAGACATTGTTATGCGATATTGTCAGGGCTAACGCTCAAAGACAATCTGCTATAATTCCATTTCTTTCCCCTATGTACCTCCGTTATCGGGTCGGTTAATATAGCTCCTCTTGTTTGTCCTCGCCAAGCAACCAGTACGTGTCCATCTTCCCCTTGCCCTGAAACGAACATTTCAAAGAGCGTCATGCGAGGCGTGCTGAAAAGATCTTTGCTCAGGAATACGGTAGGCCTGGTTCCAGGGATGCGTTCAAAAGGTTGTATGGTTGCCCTGACTGGGAAATATTTTTTGTATTCTACGCATCAACAATGAAAATGATGTCCAATGCATTTTCCTATTTTTTCTTGAACACTCCCTTCCTCTGTATGTGGTTGTAACAGATGGACTGAAAGGCTAAGATACCTCCTGTCATTGTCCGATTCACTTCATTCACAAAGTTTTCAAAAATGTACCTTACATTATGTTTTCACGACCTTTCGTAGGAGCCTACATATTTTGTAGCTTTTGTATATCTATACCATCAATATACAACTGGTATTGGCTGATATGTTACCGAGAACTGAACCGATTTGCTGTATTCCCTCAGCTGGCTACAGATTGTCTTAAAATAGAACACAGCCCCTTTTTGTTTTTATCGTTTGATTTGTTGTTTAAATCCACACTCTTCCCTTCCTTTCCTCCTTACCTTTATTAAATAAAACCGGCAAATCCCCTTTTTCATCCACAAATTTCTGCTAAAAGCAAAGTCTATTGTGTTTGTGTAACAGTATTGAATAGTAATTACACTTGGTATTCGGAAAAAGGTTATAAGTTTGACGCATAAAATCATATAAGACAATTTAATTAAATTAAGTCTTTCCAATAATACAAAGTTAATATTTACCGACACAATTACAATGTAAAACATTCGCAATGGAAAACTCCCCTTCCTTCCACCCATGTCAGTTAATGTTATCCAACCAAACTTGCTGAGCTTGACTTGGGGCTATTTGTCAAACTATTCCTTTTTAAGTTTCGATTTGTTAAATCTTGTGTGTTTCAATGTAAACAATTTGGACTCCAAGGCATGTTTTATACAAGTACTAACACACTGTAATTTGTTTCAGATTTTTGGGAGATGGACTCACCTTTATGTTAATGTTTCCACGCAATGTTACTTTGAACGATCCATGTTTGTCCAATATGAGCTTAGTTTCAGCACTGATGTGAATCTTACATTCTGAAACAGAAGGAACCAGGCACCATTACCGGATCCGTCATAAATACACGCAAAGGCACGTCAAGGCCATTGCAGCATATATAAATCTGCCGCTGATGTGTTCAATTAGGAATTATCATCCACACATATTTATTTATTGCGCCGGTTGGAGCGAACAGCAAGAAACACAAAACACACAGCAACACACACTTGTTTTAGTAATGAAAAAGTGAAGATGGTCTACCTTCCCCATGAGATTCCATCCGGGAGGCAGTATTTACTGTATCACCAAAGAGGCAGTACCGGGGCATCTTGATTCCCACTACACCGGCACAGACAGGACCTAGAAAAATGAGTGAAAAATAGTTTTGAGTCTAGTAAATAATCGAGTTTAGAGCAGACAATCCAGTGATCAACAAAGTTAGCGAGCCTGATCACTCAATCCCGTTAGTCGCCTGTTACGACAAGCATGGATAACTGAATATCAATTATAACCCATTTCTTGACCTAGAAAGAAAAAATATTCCTGTCAAGGATTAAAACGTTAGTACCGCAGGACTGTGTCTTTTAGCCCCTGGTCCTAGACGGAAAGTTTCCATGCTGGTTATGAAAAGAAACTCATCAATGAATCAATCAATACACTATAGAACGTGAATACCATTTGCAAACGTTGCTTTGCATCATAAAATGTTTCAACTGGGTCACATACATAGGCGGATCCAGGAATTTTCAACGGGGGAAGGGGGTGGGAGTGGTTCGGACCCTGAACCCCCAACCCCCAACCCCGGCTCCGCTAATGCCAAATATTAACTTCAAGGTGGCCTGTAGTCATTTTCAAAAAGGGGGGGTCAACTCCTGAAGCCCACCACCACCCACCACCCCGTGCATCCGCCAATGACATACATTCTGAAAATCGAATGATCTCTTTATTCGTCATAATTCAGCAATTTATGTATAAAGAAGAAATAGATCCCTCCTTCAACAAATCTCATAAACATTAAATATGAGTGCCAGGTTTCTGTTTATTAGTCAAGCGGCTAAACCATAGAAGTGTTTTTGTTTGTTTGTGGTTTAACGCCGCACCCTACAACACTCAAGCTATATGTCTGTGAATAACCCATACCACAGGCATGGGTTGCTGAAGACCAGGTGTAACCCGGATCTTCACTTCAAGTGTTAATGAACAGGTCATGAGTTATACACACCTGAATGCAATCCTATCCTGAGTTTGAGACTCTCGTCGGGGAGATGGTGGATTTTAACATTGTCAATTTCCTGGAGCAAGTTGAGCGACATCCGAGATATCTCTGCAGCGTGTCTGTTTTCACTCCTCACCGGAAGACCAGACACGACCATGTATGAATCTCCGATTGTCTCCACCTGTACACAGATAGTCAGTAAGACTTAGTCATAGCAATGCTGAAATCTGTTTTGTGTGAACACACGGATAACCGTTGCATGTTCAGAAAAAACATTGTTTTTAACACATACATGTTTCTCAATATGGCGGCTATTATGTATAAATCCGCGCACGTACGCACGCACAGTCTGACCACTGTTTTGTGTAAGATGGCGACTAATTACATTGATTCAGGCAGCGTACCTTGTAGACGTCGTAGTTTTCAATGATGTCGTCGAAGCAGGAGTATAAGTCGTTCAGGAGGTCGACCACCTGACAAAAAAGAATGTGCCGCGACATTAAGCAACATTGATATGCAGTTCAGTTCATAAGTCAAAAGATTTTGCGATCTGCTAAGATATTTGGTCTATTATCTAGGGTTGATTGATGGTTTGAACTCACCATATGACGCCTGGTTGTTCTCTGTGATCGTGAGTTGAGTCTGGTCTTACTTGTATGTTTAGCATGATATCAAATTAATATATATCTAAATGTACAGGCCTTTTAGTCTAATCACCCTTTGAAGAACCGGGTTCGAATTGAACTTCAGCAACTCATGCTTTTTGTAAGAGGCGACTAACGGAATCGGGTGGTCAGGCTCGCTGACTTGGTTGACACATGTCATCGTATGCCAATTGGGTAAATCGGTGTTGATCATGATGTTGATCACTGGATTATCTGGGCCAGACTCGATTATTTACGGAAAGCCGCCGTTTTGCTGGAATATTGCTGAGTGCGGCGTTAAACAACAAACAAGTCTAATCGTGGTTTAAAACTTTCGAGTGTACGTTTGATCCATACAGTTTGATCGTGGAATCAGTTTGATCGTGTATTGAGTCAGATTGTAATTCAGAATGATAATGTGTACTCTCATTAAATATTTTGTCTGATCGTGGCTTATTCAGTCTGATGTCATATTTACTCTGATCGTTATTGATAGTCTGTACAATTCTATCTCATCGTATAATTTCTCCAACAGATCCTGTTGTAAATAATGATTTTTTGTGCAGTGAAAGGTCAAATGAAGACTCAAGAGTCCAGTCTTTAAATACCTGCATCGGGGAGGACTTGGAGGACAGCACCGTGAAGCCGCAGATATCGGTGAAGCAGACAGTAACAGATTCAAACGCATCTGGTTTTACTCTTTGACCCAGTTTTAGCTGGTTGGCCACTGGTCTGAAAAACATCGACATGTAATCTGTAATTTGGGATGACTTCATATACCATTCTCATGTTTTAATGGACAAATGATGTGAAAGATTCTATAGGTACTTCTATACGGTCCTTACGTATTTCACGAATATAGTATGAAGTTTTCTTAAATGTTAATTCATAACATCCTCAAGTAGTTTTGACTACTAAAGCTAACCCTTTTGAGTGGCAGTTCGAAGTTGGTGTGATGAACAACGGGGAAAGTTCTATCGATATACAACTTATTTATTATAGTGTAAACGAGGTTTCGGTGTTGCTGTTAACGCCGTTATAAAGCAAGCGATGCCGAAACGGTGTTAGCAGCTACCCCGAAACGTCGCTTACATTATCGTAAAGAAGTTGCAATCCATAGAACTTTCCCCGTTGTATGCTAAATCTGATTGCATCGATTGGACTCAAATTACATAGAAACAGGTTCGACAAAATATATGTTAACACCATGTAAAATATTGCGGTTGAAAAAATGGGATGAATAATGCCACCTGCTTGAGAACAGAGCCAATCCCTGTTGGGTAATCAACCCACAGTTGAACCTGTTGTGTTTAAGTTTACAGCTCTCGGCTGGTTTTACCTGGGTAATATTTGATCCAGCAAATCCTCCGTCTTCTTCTTCTCTTCCTTTAACTCGACGGTCTTCTCATCCACCAGCTTCTCCAGGTTGTTGGCATACTGCTCCATCCGACGGAGGAGACTGTCCATCAGACTCTCGCTGGCGCCCACCTGACTGTAGAGCCATGTCAATAAATGCTTGTACAATTCACAATAACGAAACAAAATAATCAAAAGTTTAGAATTAAGAGAGAAATATCAGTTTTGATTGATTGATTGAGTTTAGTTCTACGCCGATTTTAGCAATATTCCAGCAATAGAAATAACATGAAATGGTCTTCACACATTGTACCCATGTGGGGAATCGAACCCAGGTCTTTGGCATGACGAGCGAACCCTTTAACAACTTGACTATTGAATCGCCGTCTATCGGTTTTGAAGGCGGAATATTGTTATTTCATAAAAAGGTTTTCAAGATCACTTTTCTGCCTAGCTTTGATCCCTGAGCAAAAGGTGAAGACAAAACAAACAACTGTCGTACGACTACGTTTTTTAGATCGTTTTGCACAATGGTACCCTGTATAGTTATGAATTCACAGAATTCAAACCAGGGTGTCTCTTGTCTGGAAGTGACAAACGATAATGGTCTGGCGAGTGAGTGAGTTTAGTTTTGCACCGGTTTTATCAATATTTCAACAATGGGCTTCACACATTGTACCCATGTACCCATCAACCCGGGTCCTCGACCGGACGAGCAAACGCTTTAACCAATAGGCTACCACACTAGCCCTAATTGTTCTAGAATTATGGATAATATCGTGTTTTACCTTTATCAGAAATATGTTACGCATGTAGTAAAGTAATATATACAACAGGTATATAGTTTATACATTGCCAACTCGTTGATGTCTCTCTTCACGTTGGCCATCAGAGGGCGGTGATGAGGCAACTCCGACCAGCATCGTACGGCCAGCTCCTTTATTGGCTTCATCCGCTCGGGGAGATTGAACTCGGGACGAAACGGCTCTCCGTCGGTATCCATGATATTCTCGATAACATCTGAAGAATAGGCACATTAAGGATGTTTTCTGTTTTCCAGGAATAAGTGAATGAGTATATGGGTTACTCCTTGGACATACGTTTCGTTTCATGGACGTGGAATCATATATATCTTAATATATCCTCTCAGGTGTGAAAGTTTGTGTGAAAGCTGCTCAATAAAGGAGAGGCATAGTCGGACAATTTCATACTACAAGAAAGAGTGTTAGTGAGACGTTACATGGTCACAATGATTGTGATCGTGAACAGGATTGGGTCTTGAAGGTCCCATTCAAACCAACACCCATATATTAGATTTTCTCAGGATTAGACTTCACATTCCCATGTATATAAGTTTAAAGACTATCTTCTATGACCCGTTAGGATCCGGGGTAGAATAGGTCTTCAGCAACCCATGTGCTTGCCATAAAAAGGCGACTATCTTGTCGTAAGAGGCGACTAACAGGATCGGGTGGTCAGGCTCGCTGGCTTGGTTGACACATGTCATCGGTTCCCAATTGCGCAGATCGATGCTCATGCTGTTGATCACTGGATTGTCTGGTTTAGACTCGATTATTTACAGACCGCCGCCATATAGCTGGAATATTGCTGAGTGCGGCGTAAAACTAAACTCACTCACTCACTCACTATCTTCTATTGTGTGTAAATTGTTGAAACAGTACCCATAGTTGTGACACAGGATATTTAGCATTGATTCACCGACTATATAGAACAAACTTAATGGATTACAACTTCTTTTATTCGCGAGTGCACTCACGAATAAAAGAAGTTGTTATCCATCAAGTTTGTTCTATATTGTACTTCCCAATTTCTAAAATGCCTCTCAAAGAACACAAAGTCCCATGACATATGCCGGTACTCACACTCCACGCCCATTGTGACAGTTTCAATCCCGAAAGGTGACTCGGTGGTGAACACCTCCTGTAGAATGATTCCAAAACTGTAGACGTCGCCCTCCTTGCTGCCGATGAGGTCGCCAGACCGAAGTAGTTCCGGGGCCCTCCACAGACATTCTGTGATGGTGATTGTTGCAATGTGAATACTGTTAATGTTTCTTGACATATATATATTTTTTCCTGAAATATGTTTATAATATGCCTGAATTTTCAGGTCATAGAATAATCAGTGAAATTCGTAAATGAATTGCTTGTGATCAGGTGACGCCACTACATCCGCACTTCACACTTTATACAGTTGACAACGAATATAATTGATTAATTCGTTTCTCATTCGAATACCTTATCAGCAGCCTTTTTGTTTAAGGAATTAACCAAACTGGTATAGAGTTTCCTTATAATTCTATATATCCGTGAGCATCCGGGTTAGAACTGATCTTCAGCAACCCATGCTTGTCGTAAGAGGCGACTAACGGGATCGGATACGGTGACCAGGCTCGTTGACTTGGTTGACACATGTCATCGTATCTCAGTTGCGAAGATCGATGCTTATGCTGTTGATCACTGGATTGTCTGGTCCAGACTCGATTCTTTACAGACCACCGTCATGTTGCTGGACTATTGCTGTGTACGGCGTTGAACAACAAACTACCAACCAAATTATAATTCTATACAGTTGAGCATCATCTGGTTTTTTATTGCACGTCCGTCAAATCTAGTCATGTCAGACAACTTCACAGAAACTGCACGGTGTATTTCAGTGAGCTACGAAACCTCTTGTCTCTATAGGGGCGGTGGGGTAGTCTAGTGGTTAAAGCGTTCGCTCGACATGCCGAAGACCCGCGTTCGATTCCCCACATAGGTAGAATGTGTGAAACCCACCGTGTCCCCCGCCGTGATATTGCTGGAATATTGCTAAAATCGGCGTAAAACCAAACTCACTCACTCACTCATGTCTCTTTACATTTAGTATTTGTTTGTTATCAAACATAAGGGGAAGAACCGTTACAATCCACACATATAGTCCAGTCAAGGCTCAACGATTCACGCACTCTCTTACAAAAAGAACAATAAGCAAGCAAGGAAAAACATAACAAATAAAATCAGGACAGAATTTAAGCTTGATGAAGAACGAATTTCAAAGATGAAGGTCAATATATTGGGTTTGTACATTATTTACAACATTGGATGTACGGTTTCAAGAAAAGAAAACAGTGACAAATGCAATATACATGGTCAGTGTTTCGTGAGTAAGTGAGTGAGTTTAGTTTTCCATTTGTCTTTCCATCACTTGTTGGTTAGTTGTTTTGTTGTTTAACACCACACTCAGCAATATTCCAGCCATATGGCGACGGTGTGTAACTAATCAAGTCCGGACCAGACAATCTAGTGATCAACAGTATGAGCATCGATCTACGCAATTGGGAACCGATGACATCTGTCAACCAAGGCAGCGAGGCTGATCACCGGATCCCGTTAGTCGCGTCTTTCGACAAGCATGGGTTACTGAAGACCAATTCTAACCCGGCTCTTCACGGGTCAGTGCTTGGTGATGAATAGTAAGTTCATGAGATGCGGAAGAGACTGGCATGCCTATATAATTCCCACCTTGCTTGAACTCCTGGGAGTCATCGCTGATCATGATTTTTGAGAAAACAGAAGTGGGACCAAAATCTGCCAGTTTGACCCTGAACCTGTTGTCCACCAGACAAACGCCACTGGTCAGCCTTCCGTGGTGATGCAGCAAACTATCGTGGATGAAACACAAGCCCTGAAACAGTACAGCGTCTAAATAAATTTTGTCTGGAATGTTATGATATGCGCTCTCTACATAGCCTTAAATGTTTCATAACAATAACATCAAAGATTTGAATGCTTATTTGTAACTTAGATAATACAGCCAAATACAATAAACAATATATATCATTATGATAATATTCTCATTAACGCTTATCAACTCTTAATATGCTTAATTCATTTTCATACATTAGGATCGGTTACTTTATCATACGAATATTTATCTTGCTTGTCGAAATGGGATCGGGTGGTCAGGCTTGCTGACTTCATTGTCACATGTCACCGTATCCCAATTGCGTAGATCGATGGTCATAATGTTGATCACTGGATTGTCTGGTCTAGACTCGATTATTTACAGACCGCGCCATATAGCTGGAATATTGCTGAGTGCGACGTTAAATAACAAACTAACAACCAAATGATTAACTCAAAGGTATCGATGCTAAGACCGTATGCGTATTACGTTTAACGCAAAAAAGTACAATACCTTCATAATATCAATGCATAGAGCGAATTTCAGTTCGTCGTCCATCTTGACTTCCGTGTTGCCAATCATGTCCTGCAGGTGGAAACATATCCATGTACAAGGTGTATTCTTTGGTTGTGGACTTAGTGAGGTTTTACACAGCGTTTTGCATTTTTCCAGTAATATCACTGCGGGGGATACCAGAAATTGGGTCCTTACATTGTGTGGAACTGAACCCGGGCCTATGGCGCGACGAACGAACGCTATAAAAGAATGACTCCCCCACCGCTCCTCAGTTGTGTAAATAGACGATGCATACAAATATCAACACAATAAACTCTTAAAGACAAAACAATTATGTTTTGCATGTTTTCTAGTTGTAACGAGATACTTGACGCCTGAACACGTCAGCAAGGACGTAGCCGTCATCAAGTACCAACCCGTGAAGATCCGGGTTAGAATTGATCTTCAGTTACCCATGGTAAGGGGCGACTAACGGGTGACTAATGGGATCGGGTAGTCCGACTCGCTGACTTGGTTGACAGATGTCATTGTATCCCAGTTGCGTAGATTCATGCTGATGCTGTTGATGACTAGATTGTCTGGTCCAGATTCGATTATTTACATACCACCGCCATATAGCTGGAATATAGCTGAGTGCGGCATAAAACTAAACTCACTCACTTAACAAATTCCTGTGCCCAGGATGCTATTAAACATGGCACATACAACTGGTAGATACAGATGTGTCCCTGTACAAAGTCACCACCACACTGACCCCCTTTTAGAAGTCTTGTTGTTAAAGTTAGCCTTCGATGAACTACCAATCAGCATACAAGGACAATTCTAGTAATACGTTGCAAAAACGTGTTGCGAGTCAATGTGTTCCTCCCAAAGGAGATATCTTAAGATATGTACTAGTATATTGGTCCTTATGTATAAGTTAGGAGCAATACCAACCTGCAAGGTGCCTTTGGAGCAGTAGTCTGTCAGGACATATTTCTCATCACCTTGGACACAAGCACCAATCACTCGCACCAAATTGGGGTGACTGAGATTCCGTATCTGAAGACATTAGACATGCCATTAATTTATGAAAAGTACGTACGATTTACTTTATTCAGTACTCATATAAATCTGTTCGATTATTCATGTAAACATCCATGAGGTCATTCAGAAGGATACTTATTTCTTAGATTATTTAAAACAAATAGAACTGACTCATACATTTTGATTGACAAATTTTGAAGATAAATGTGTTTTCTATAATTGGTTGTTTAGATTAGCACCTGAGATTGTTGGTGGCTGTACCTTCGAAGGTGGTTGAAGTATCGTAAAATAACTGTCCTCCTGAGAGGGTACGGAAGTTCGAAAACAATCGAAGTAAACTTCAATCTACCAGGTTTTTAATCGTAGGATACTAGTAATTTAAAGTGATGGCTAAATCTGAGCACAATCGCCAACATCTAAAGGGATGGTGTTAATCCAGCTATGGTCCATGCAGGTAGCTAAAGCACTGTAAGTTGCCGGCAAACTATGGCCAGTATTTATATTGTGTATTGTGTGTAGTGTTGGGAATTGGTTGAAATATCATAATTGATGATTGCTTCATTACCAACGAACAATCATCGATACAAATTGGTTAGCGTCATTTTTCAGATTTTCCTATCCAGGTTGTTATTGCAGATATGTATAACATGATGCACATTGCTAAGTGATGTTGATACATCATGAACATAAACCTTCTGGGGTCTTCAAGAAATATTCAGTGATGACTTTTCAGTTAGTGAAGTGAGTTTTCTAAGAATTAAAACTTAGCGTCATTGGTTAGTGTCATTTTTCAGATTTTCCTATCCAGGTTGTTATTCCAGATACGTATAACATGATGCAACCTGCTACTTTAAAGTGATGACTAATATATCATGAACATAAACGTCCTTGAGTCTTAGAGAAACAATCAGTCATGGCTTTTCAGTTAGTGAATTGAGTTTTCTAAGAATTAACAACTTCGAAGATATGTTCCATCGTCAAGTTTTTCAAAGACTAAAACAGCAGTTCCAAAATCGTTTGTGTTCGATTATGAGAAAATGTGATCGATTGCTTGGTCGTTTGGTCACTTCGACCAATCTTCGATCATTTCAATTAATCGGAACACCACTAATTGTGTGTATAGAGCTATTATTTTATCATTAAATGCTAGTTTCAAATCTAACTGTGATACTCTTGTTGTTTTACTGTCCATCGACGACAGGTTTAATTTTATGCATTTATTCTCTATCAATGTCAAATTAGTTCTCGTCACAACATGGCTGAAATATCGTCGATGTGACGTTAAATATCAACTCAATCACTCACTCAATCAGAAGGTAAACTTACGTGCTCAAACTCATCCAGCAGTTGTTTATCATAACTGATATTTTTCATTATCAGCATCTTCATGCGAACCGGCACACCCTGGAATTGAAGAGAAACATGTCATCAGTACAATGGCTTCCGGCTTTATCGTTGGAATATTGCTGAATGCGGCGTTAAGCAACAAACCGACAAAACTAAAAACCTTCCTGTGGTGTCTGCTATGTACACATTGGGAGCAATTTTTTCCTTCTTTGGAACTGACCAATCAGCCATATCGCTTTGATTTTAATTAGCACATGCCAGAAACCATATTTACACGTGTAATGTTCTAAGTTAGGATGAGAATGCCACAATAACTCGGTGCGCCTAGTGGCTGCAATAGTTGTATACTCCCCAGGGAGTTGAGATTGATAATGCGATGTGCCGTTGAGATTGACATCCAATGATCGAGGGAAAAAATACCAGCGCCTTGAGCATGCACTAGTGCGTGGATATGTGCGCTGTATAAACATCCTATAATAATAATAATAAAAAGTTAAACAATGTTCTAAATATAATACATCCCATTGCAGCTTTGGGACGTTATATTTCACCTTGTGTACATTTGTAATGTGCTAAGTTTAAACAATCATGTAAAAATGATACATGTACATATATTCTTAAAAAAAAGTAGGGGAACGATTGAAAAAATTGAGAGTCAATCAATGATATGATAATAATGAATGTTTTGAGAGTGCATCACCACTTGCACTTCCTTATGATCATAGTTGTTTGTACAGTCATCGCTCTTGAAAGATGATTGGTGTATAACGTAACATTTGCATGAGTACGATTTTCATTTTCGAACAAAAAAGACCGGCTAGAAACAAACACTAACAACTGTGTGATTCAAGATGATTGTCAAATTAATGGTCTTCAGTGATTTATCGGCCTTCTTGAAAACCGTCAAAATCAAGAATGACGCCCCGTGCAAGTACGGGGCTACTGTGTTGTGCACGAGAAATGGTGGTGCGTTCATAAGATGTCTGTCTTTGAAAAGTTTGTTAACGCTTACATGATCCAAATTGAAAGTTCAAGTTCCCTACTATTTTTAAGAGTATACTATAACAGCTGTGGGGGGTTCTGTTTTACCTTGTATATGGCCAGATTGGTTTTGTAGTCGGGCAGGACGTCGCTCTTGGGTGTAATGGAGCTGAACTTAGACGTGATGGACTGAGCTGACAGTCTGTCGTTTTTGGAGGCAGTAACTAACTCCTTGTGGTCGACCATCCACCACCACCTTTCTATGCCGCTAGCCCGCTTCCACATGCTATCAATGATGCAAAACGATCACACTGAGTGAGTTTAGTTTTACGCCGCTTTTAGCAATATTCTAGCAGCACCACGGCGGGGACACCAGAAATGGGCTTCACACATTGCACGCATGTGGGGACGCAGACCCGGGTCGTCGGCGTGACGAACGAACGCTTTAACCACTAGGCTACCTCGCCGCCCAAAATTTCGATTTCAGGATATGACACATTTGAAATAAAATATTTATATTTATTTAAATTTAAATAATTCAAATATGAACGTTCCTAACGCCAATTTGCCAGACATGCCTAACGAAAGATATAGCAATGGAGACATTCTTTTGGCGGAGTAACTTAGTGGTTGAGGCGTTTGTACGTCACTCCGAAGACAAGGGTTCGATTGCCCACATGGATACAAACCCCATTTCTGTTCCAACCGGGGGCGGTGGGGTAGCCTAGTGGTTAAAGCGTTGGCTCGTCACGCGGAAGATCCGGGTTCGAATCCCCACATGGGCACAATGTGTGAAGCCCATTTCTGGTGTACCCCGCCGTGATGTTGCTGGAATATTGCTAAAAGCGGCGTAAAACCAAACTCAGTCAGTCAGTCAGTCAGTCAGTCAGTCAGTCTATTCCAACCGTAATAGTGCTCGAACATTGCTAAAAACATTCTCACTCTGAAATAAAATATTGTTTAAAAGCACATGAGATTTGTCTACATATGTGAATGGATCACATATGAGATTGTCCACATATGTGAATAGAAATTAATGTTCGTATGATAAGGTGACCGATCCTAATGTATGAATGTGATTATTTGTTTGTTGTTTAATGCCACACTCAGCAATATTCCAGCTATATGGCTGGGGTCTGTTAATAATCGAGTCGGGACCAGGCAAACCAGTGATCAACATTATGAACATCGTTCTACGCAATGGGAATACGATGACATGTGACAAAAACCAATTGAGCCTGACCACCCGCTCCCATTAAGACAAGCAAGATAAATATTCGTATGGGAAGGTAACCGATCTTAACGCATGAAAATGAATTAAGCATGAACAAAGCTCTGATTACATTGAAGACGGGTAAATGAGAGTGATAAACAGTGTAAAGCATACATGCATGAAGCTAAAAGTCTCACCTGAAAAGGAGCACAAACAAGATGCAGCCTATCAAAATTAAAGAGACTACTCCGCCGGCCAGTCCACCGATCAATTTGAAGTCGGTTGCTGAAACAAGGAAATTCATCTTCAGCGGGTTCTTTCTCGACGACACCTGTTGCAGGTATAAGCTAGCACTTAGATGCGTCAGTCCCCAAGAACACCCATTGAAATATCATTGGGTGTTATACTTGGAACATATCACGTATCGTGAGTGAGTGAGTGAGTGACGTTTTACGCCACTTTTAGCAATATTCCAGCGACATAACGGCGGGGGACACCATAAATTGGCTTCACATATTGTAGCGGTGTTCCGATTAATTGAAATAATCGAATATTGGTCGCAGTGACCAAACGACCAAGCAATCGATCACATTTTCTCATAATCGAACATAAACGATTTTGGTACTACTGTTTTAGTCTTTGAAAAACTTGACAATGGAACATATCTTCGAAGTTGTCAGGGCCTGAAAACGTGTTTAATTCTTAGAAAACTCAATTCACTAACTGAAAAGCCATGACTGATTGTTTCTCTAAGACTCAAGGACGTTTATGTTCATGATATATTAGTCATCACTTTAAAGTAGCAAGTTGCATCATGTTATACGTATCTGGAATAACAACCTGGATAGGAAAATCTGAAAAATGACGCTAACCAATTTTTTTCGATGATTGTTCGTTGGTAATGAAGCAATCATCATTTGTGAGATTTCAACCAATTCCCAAAACTAACATATTGTACCCATGTGGGGAATCTAACCCGGGACTTCGGCGTGACGAACGAACGCTTTAACCACTAGGCTACCCCACCGTCCCTATCGCTCATACTTAACAAATAGAAGCATAACACTCTAAAGCTTGAATTTGTTTGTGCCTTGAATGAGGCCGCCCCGAACAGTATTCCACCTATGTGACGCCGGTCTGTACACGACAATCAAATGACTGACATCATATCATCAGTGATATCTACGCGATTGGGAAATGACATGCCTGGACAACGTCCAGCCCGACCACCTAATCCCGTTTCGGCATTTTACAAGCACGGGTTGCTGGAGAACAATGCACATTAGTTAACAGAGGTCAACTAATAAGAGTTCGAATCTGGTTAAAAGATTTATAATTGGGGATCGCTCATATGTTAAAAAGTGAGAATAAGTGGCGATGACACCTTTCTCAGACTGTTTAGCGTTTGATAGGCATTTAGATGTTGTCATGGATACATGGCACGTTTTATGGATAACAACTTCTTTTATATTTAGCCACGATGTTTCAGAGCTACTTCTTGCTGCTTTATCAGAGTGAGTGAGTGAATTTAGTTTTACGCCACTTATTAGGAACATCCCACATGGGAAATCGTGTCCAGCCTGGTCGCCTTTCGGCACATGTTGTTTTTCGGGAGTACGCTTACCAGACCTCATGGGATAACACCAAATTACCTAGTGTTTTCGTGTAGGGTTACTGTGAGGCTACCGTAGGCATAAGAACGTGTTTTCATCTCTGACGATGGCAATTCGAAATGACGTAAATATCACAATTGATGAAGAGTGAAAACACGATGGAGTCAATCATAAAGTGAGAAGAAAATCCGCCGGATTTAAGTCGGATGATACAATGTGATGTTAATCCGTTATAAAATGACGATTCTCTGAAGAATCTCTGAAGATGCTTACTGAGAATTCCACTTACTCTTGTATTCGCATCTGTATCCTTTAAAGCCGCACACTGGTACGTCCAGAGGAGGACTGCTGTTCTTGGGCCATATTATTTCCCGGTTCTCCAGCTGCTTGTAGATCCTTTCTTTACCCATGTACACTCCGACCACCTGTTGAAAGGTAATCAAAGTAAAGGTAGTGTGTGGGTTATGGGGCGGACCATGTCACTTATTTGACATCTTGTCCGATTGATGGTAAGTTGATTCAAATGTAGGCAGACCTTTTATTGTCATCTTTTATTTGAAACCAATTGTGTATAAGTAATGGAATCTTAATCAGGGCAAATCTGGAAACCAAACGCGTGATTACAGGTTTCTGGTACGCCAAAGGGAGGTAACTCTGCATTCGGAATTGTAATGTCCTAGTTGACTGCTTACGTGTGTGCGATGCCTTTTTATCACCCCACAATGAGGACACTAATATACCTGCGATTTAACATATTCGCTTTAAAAAGTAGGTTTTGTTTTTGTGTTAATATGACGTCCAAAAATCGGTCTACTTTTTCGACTTTCATAAAAAATTCAGCATTTGACGTTACAAGGTAATCTTGGCAGGAAGAAATAAGCTGCAGATGAATGTGATTAATTCTAGACCCTGACCCTGGCTTCACGCTGCTTTCAGAAATATTCCAGCAATATCGCGGGGCGAGACACCACAAATGGGCTTCACCTTATGTATGTGTGGAATCGGGCTCGGAGTTTTCACGTGACGAGCGAACGCATAAACCACTAGGCTATCCTACCGCCCCTGATCACAGAGAGGATAGCATCTCTGGCACGGAGTGTATAACTATTTCATTTGTATCCACCAAAAGTGATAGTCTGGTATAACCATAGAGGCTGCCAATAGATTTCAGTGACCTTGGACTAACGGGATCGGGTGGTCAGGCTCGCTGACACGTGTCAATCGGTTCCCAATTGCGTAGATCGATGCTCTTGATGTTGATCACTGGATTGTCTGGTCCAGATTCGATCATTTACAGACCGCCGCCATATAGCTGGAATATTGCTGAGTGCGGCGTAAAACTACACTCACTCATTCACTGATTCTTTGGATCACTTACCACAATCTCTCCTGTATTCGAGATGTCATGCAGTGCAAGATTAGAATCTCTACCGTTATTTTCATTCAGAGTGATGGGACCGGCGATTCCTGTTGATATCAAATGCACGTACATTGACACACTTGGAAAAATGAAACAAACTTAAATAAGGAGACAATTCCAAAGTCATCAATATCCCCTTCCATGGTAAACTACTCTTTATGAATATGTCAACTAGTTATAACTATGTCAAATGTTACATTGCTCTTCACATTTATTTAACGAAAACATACATATGTAAACTATTCATATACAAGCATGCTTGTATCAACAACAGACTTCTTGAGTGCTTCCATCGGTTGGTGTACCTCAGTAATGCTGATACAGAAGTAGAGTGTTACTATTGATTTGTGTTATTAGGTTCTTGAATACCCACAAAGTGGAATTAGAGTATTGAAAGCTCTGCTCTGGAAATTTCCGTCAAAGTAAAACTTGTTGCTATGGAAATGCAAAAATGATTTGATTCTGATATCCAAAAGTACCAAATGGCATCAGTTCACCACCAGACCTATCTACGTACCAAGTTTGGTGAAGAAACATTGAACGGTTGTAAAGTTCTACACGGGAAACGAGTACTACCACAAATTTTAGTCAAAATCAAACTTGTTGCCATGGAACTACCATACAAATTTTATTGAAAAAAGGAAATCAAAATCAAACTTTGTTGCCATGATGAAACGCAAAAGTTTCGTTTATGATACAGTAATCCCAAACTACCAAGTTATTCCAGAAAAAATAACAAAAGGAAATAGATAAATTCTACAAATGATCCAGAGTCAAAGTCACATTGTAAAAGGCAACCAGATTTTCTAGACAACCCGTTCTCTGTGTGTGCAAAGTTTCGTGAATGAAATATGATCCGAACAGAGTCAAAGTCACACTTGTTGCCATGGCAAAGGGAAAATAATTATTTTCTAGAAATCCCTAAATAGCAAAAGGCACAGCGTGCAACCTGTGTTTATTCGTTTTAGAGTAATAAGCCGGACAAGAAATCAGACGGACAAACCGACGGACAGACAGGATGATTACTATAAATGGCATGTGTAACATAAATGACGGGAAAGGTTGTTCATAATGTGTCGTATTCCATATCGTTCCATATCCACAATCTCAGCCACTTTCAATAATCTCGGTAAGCCTCAGCAATCTCAGACAATCTGAACAATCAAACTGAACAATCCTGGCCAATCTTAACACCTTCAGCCATTCTCCACAAATCTCTTCATATTCAGAAAATGTCTTCAGTCTCAAACAGATTCTCCCAATAGCTGGCAATTTCAACAAGTGCAGCCATTAACAAAATCTCAGTCAATCTCAACAATCTGAGCCAGGATAAACATTTAAAAAAAAAATTCCTCATTATTCTCACATAATCTCCACAATTCTAACCAGCTTCAATGATTTCAGACATTATCCATATTCTGAACAACTCAGCAATTCTCCACATTCTCGTCAATTTAGGCAATCTCCACAGTTGCTGCAATCTTCACAATCCTCATCCAATCTCAACAATCTCAATTTTCGACAATCTCAACCAACAAAATCAGCTAAAGAGAACATTTTCATCAAAATTTAACAATCACAGCCATGCTAATCTGATCTGTCAGGCAGCCTCAACAATCTAAGTCTCATCAAGTCTCGTGACATCATAACTATATCAGCCGTTCTCAGCACTCTAATCATTGGGGGCGGTGGGGTAGCCTAGTGGTTAAAGCGTTGGCTCGTCACGCGGAAGACCCGGGTTCGATTCCCCACATGGGCACAATGTGTGAAGCCCATTTCTGGTGTCCCCCGCCGTGATATTGCTGGAATATTGCTAAACGCGGCGTAAAACTAAACTCAGTCCGTCAGTCAGTCTCAGCACTCATCACAATTACCATGTGCTAAATGCGCATAATGTCGAAAAGCGCACGTTAAATCTCCAAATCATCATCATCCGTATGACAATTCAGCCAATCTGCACAATTGCAGCAACCCTCACCCAATATCGGACAACCCCATCAATCTGAGTCTGGTTTACGAATTACCTTTAAACGTCCTGTTCCTCATCCTTCTGGTCATCTGGCGTCCGTCGTAGGGGTCGTCGCCATCCGTCAGAGTCTCGTTGAGGACCACAGCGTAGATGCTGAAGGCGTTGTAGTACCCCGTTATGTCACTGATTTGCTTTAATGATACAGAGGAGAGGATTAAGGACTACACACGAGCACTCTGAATCATTCTAAAGTACGACCATGTTCTAAACGTACTGTTCCAAATAGAACCATGTTGCTGAAAATATAAGGAGTGACGTATTGACACAATACACTTCCAGACAAAAGAAAGTTTACACTCGTGTTTGACAGTGGCTAATAATGAGACAAATAGGGGTCGATGTATTTCATACGTGTAACGGCTGTCTGGTCCCTCGGATTGCACTGTTTACTGCGTAGTAAAGTTTTGATTAGGTCAGATCTAGTTTGCTAGGGTATACTTCATTTTGTCCGGCAGTGTGGGTCACTGGCGGATAGCAGTCACTGCAAGTCAGTGCTTCAGGTTCTACTACACGAAATAAAACCCAGTTGCTCCCTGAGCAAGTATCGTACGTAAACATCAGTTCTGTTGAAGGCATATGGCAGCTGTGATTGGATGATATTGGGTAAGGTATTTATGTTTTATTAAATGTACATCCATTCGGTAATTAAAACCGACCACAGGTTTAAATATTAAGTGATGCCTTTTTAACACGATGACTTATGCTGAATGTGTTCACATATATTTTCAAGTAGATGACATTTGGTGCGGAACTGTAGTTGGTGTCTTCAGCTTCCTGTACTCGGAATAGGAATTGGTTAACCTAGTCAGAATTCGTGCTTTTATTGCAGCTTCACTCCATACTGTGCATAGATGTACATATAATGGTTTTAAACGCCCTGGTTATTGTTTAAGAACATATAACTTTAATATGGAAGGGCGGTGGGGTAGCCTAGTGGTTAAAGCGTTGGCTCGTCACGCGGAAGACCCGGGTTCGATTCCCCACATGGGCACAATGTGTGAAGCCCATTTCTGGTGTCCCCCGCCGTGATATTGCTGGAATATTGCTAAACGCGGCGTAAAACTAAACTCAGTCCGTCAGTCAGTCTCAGCACTCATCACAATTACCATGTGCTAAATGCGCATAATGTCGAAAAGCGCACGTTAAATCTCCAAATCATCATCATCCGTATGACAATTCAGCCAATCTGCACAATTGCAGCAACCCTCACCCAATATCGGACAACCCCATCAATCTGAGTCTGGTTTACGAATTACCTTTAAACGTCCTGTTCCTCATCCTTCTGGTCATCTGGCGTCCGTCGTAGGGGTCGTCGCCATCCGTCAGAGTCTCGTTGAGGACCACAGCGTAGATGCTGAAGGCGTTGTAGTACCCCGTTATGTCACTGATTTGCTTTAATGATACAGAGGAGAGGATTAAGGACTACACACGAGCACTCTGAATCATTCTAAAGTACGACCATGTTCTAAACGTACTGTTCCAAATAGAACCATGTTGCTGAAAATATAAGGAGTGACGTATTGACACAATACACTTCCAGACAAAAGAAAGTTTACACTCGTGTTTGACAGTGGCTAATAATGAGACAAATAGGGGTCGATGTATTTCATACGTGTAACGGCTGTCTGGTCCATCGGATTGCATTGTTTACTGCGTAGTAAAGTTTTGATTAGGTCAGATCTAGTTTGCTAGGGTATACTTCATTTTGTCCGGCAGTGTGGGTCACTGGTGGATAGCTGTCACTGCCAGTCAGTGCTTCAGGTTCTACTACACGAAATAGCTCCCTGAGCAAGTATCGTACGTAAGGCATATGGCAGCTGTGATTGGATGATATTGAGTAAGGTATTTATGTTTTATTAAATGTACATCCATTCGGTAATTAAAACCGACCACAGGTTGAAATATTAAGTGTGCCTTTTTAACACGATGACTTATGCTGAATGTGTTCACATATATTTTCAAGTAGATGACATTTGGTGCGGAACTTTAGTTGGTGTCTACAGCTTCCTGTACTCGGAATAGGAATTGGTTAACCTAGTCAGAATTCGTGCTTTTATTGCAGCTTCACTCCATACTGTGCATAGATGTACAGGTAATGGTTTTAAACGCCCTGGTTATTGTTTAAGAACATATAACTTTAATATGGAATGTGTGAGGCCCATTTCTGGTGTCCCCCGCCGTCATATAGCTGGAATATTGCTAAAAGCGACGTAAAACCATACTCACTCACTCAGTCTACCTACCCATCAACACATTGCAATGTTAGGCCATATATAACAATATTATTTTTACTTATTACCGCCCGACCAAAAGATTGTTTTAATTTTTTAAACTGGAGAAAACTTTGACTCTTAAACTGTGCATGGATTTTTCACACTTTTAAGTTTTGAATTTCTATCGGAGAATAGGTGTAAATTTCCACAGAAATCAAGGACCTAAAGAAAGTGTAAAAAATAAATCCGCCCTCCCAACCCAAGTGAACAAAAATATTTTTATGTGGCCTTAATATGCTGGAACTCACTTCATCTTCGCGTATGTCAATACTGTGTCTGTTCATTGCCATCTTCCTCACTGCTTCCGTGAAAATCTGGAACTCGGATTTTTCGGAGTCCAACAAAGAAAGGAAGAAGGCGCTCTGAAATGCCTCCAGGGCCACCTGTAACATAAAGCCATGTCATCACACGTGCAGGTTGATCTTGGGGCACAAAAGGTATATGTTGTTATAAGAAATAGTGCTAGAAGTCACAAACATTGTGTCAGTGTTGCCAGCACATCAGGTCCTGACATCGTGAATAAGATCCGGGTTAGAATTGATCTTCAGTAATCCATGATTGTCGTAAGGTGCGACTAACGGGATCGGGTGGTTAGGCTCGCTGGCTTGGTTGACACATGTCATCGTATCCCAATGCCGTATGTCGATGCTTATGCTATTGAATCACTGGATTGTCCGATCCAGACCCGATTACTTACAGACCGCCGCCATATAGCTGGAATATTGCTGAGTGTGGCGTAAAACTAAACTCACTCACTCCCTCATGAATGCCATGCAAGACACAGTCAACTAATGTGGTATACCTGTTAAAGGCACACTCCAAAATACCAAGATTACCAGAGCAGGACGGAATAAAATGTCGCTGACTGGGGCTTCCAACAGCCATAGTGCCAGAACGGTCGGATGTATTTACGTGTTGTTGTTTTTTTTCTGTTTGTTAGTTTTATTTTAATATGACACCAAATGTTTTACTTGTTTTTGTACGTCAGCTTATGTCAAACACGTGGTCTGCATCTCCGTGCCGTATTCAAACAAATTCCACTATTGAACTAACTTTATGCATAACATCTTCTTATTTCGTGTACCGTTATCAAGCAGCGATGTCAAGAATCTGCATCGAAAGATGCTACTCAAAGAAATGGAACAAATGCCATTTCGCTTGTCAGTTTCACTGAACATATTACAGTTATCAAACGATGTTAAACATTTGTCATATTTGTGTACCTGGTCCTTGCCATCTCCCCTCTTCCACACCGCCTCAGTGATGGTTTTCCTGAGGGATATGGTGATGATGAAGGCGTACTCCCCGTCCGTATAGCCCAGCTGGTGCGCCACCAGCAACACGTCCCGCACATCCTCCAGGGTGGCATGGATGATGAATACTGAAACATTAGCTCTGAATCATATCCGTTGTTTGTCTGTTTGATAATTAACGCTTTAGTTAATAACATGAATGAGCATCACATACTGTATCCTTGCCTTGAATCGTACCCAGGAAGTGGATGTGAAGATCAGCCGATTTAACCACCCCTAATCCCAAACACCACCCTATATATTTACGGCTTACTTGCAAAGATAATGAACAAGATTGTCGCCATTCACCACGCATATTCACAAGACACAACGTAAGGTTCTGAGAGACGAACATTTGACCTTCATTATTCATCTATAACTTTGGTTATGTAACAGCAATAGATGTTCACCCAGCTGTTATCCTATACCTGTATACATGGAAATTTACCTTGATTTTCAACTTTAAAAGATAAGTTATTCATTCTTGTCTTGCTTTTGTGATTTATTTTTGGACAAACTTACTGTAACTTATCATCTTGTCGAAAGTAATGAAAGCATACTTCTCGCATTCTCGCCAGCCTCTTTGAGGACATTCTCGTATCCCTCGTTGTTCATCTCGCCAGCTGTCATCGGGAAGTGCGTCCACTCGTAGTCCGTATCCATGAAGAAATCGACATAAGTATCCCCCATCAGGCTTGACATTGCCGTAGGTTCACTGTCGTCGTAGATGATGGCGATGTGACTCCAGCCGTAGGAGTCAAGCAGCTGCACGGTGAATTCCGCAAACTGTTCTTGCCCAAAAGGAGATAGTCGGGTCAGGGTGGGGAAGAGGGTCTTGTTTTTCAGTGTCCCTTTGTAGCCAGCTGGTGTTATCACGGGGATGTTCCATTCCTTGGCCATATAGCTTAGAGTCTGTACTGACACCGGACATGCTGTAACAATTTCACACGGTGATCATCAGTACATATATATACACTTCCAAAACCGGCAATATTTTTGTTTGTTGTTTAACGCCACACTCAGCAATATTCCAGCTATATGGCTGTGGTTATTCAAGTCTGGAACAGACAAGCCATTGATCGACAATAAGTTGTCCATAACATTTACATTACAGTACTTTGGAGTGAGTGAGTAACTGATAACCTCGCAGCTATTAGTGAGTGAAAATGTGCGGTTTATTTATTACATTACTAAGGTAAACAAAACGATCCACTGCAATAAAACCTCGGTTGTTTTAAGCCACATTCAGTGATTTTGTTTGAGTGAGTGTGAATGAGTGAGTTTAGTTTTACGCCGCACTCAGCAATATGCATCCGCGGTCTGTTAATAATCGAGTCTGGACCAGACAATCCAGTCATCAACAGCATGAGCATCAGTATACGCAATTGGGAACCGATGACATGTGTCAACCTAGTCAGCGAGTCTGACCACCCGATCCCGTCAGTTGTCTCTTACGACAAGCATGGGTTGATGAAGATCAATTCTAACCTGGATCTGGATCTTTACGGGTCGGTTTTGCTTGAGCTTATATACACTAGACGCCAAAAGATACGTTACCCTCCTACCATTGTGAATTACTTAAAAGCTATCAAAGATATGGTAAAAGGTATTAGTTTACAAGAAAGCTTAACAACACAGCTTTATGCAAATCACGAAAATAAATTATCTAGTGCATTCATATTTAGGTGAAATGCATCTTTTTCAGAAGAATTAAATTGTCCTATTTTCGTCCATGCCGAAATAAACAAATAACAGTTATTTAGATGTCCAAAAGAAAGATTGAAATAAAATTCTGCTTTGGGACAAAGATAAACCATTTAAAATCACCTTTTTCAAGTATTAAAACAAGAAACAACTGTTGTAGAGTGTGTAAAACTGTAAAAAATCATTCCTATGATTTCAGTCTTATAAAACAATTTCTGCTGATTTGCATTAGTGAAAACAAGTAAAACGTGTCTTTGATATTGTGAAAAAATGTTTAGGAACTTCTACAATGATCTTTGTTAACATTGTTGCTTGAAATGTAACATTTTTCCATGTTCTGTTTACACATAGCAATATCGATCGCCAAAACGCAGCAGTGTTCAAGCAGTTTTTGCATCCATTTCACATATGGAAAGATTCTATAGGGTATGAAGAGAGTCTAGAAAAGATGATATGATACACAAGTAGGAGAAATATGTCACGATTAACAGCGGAAGAGAGAGAAAAAGAAATTGGGATGGTGCAGATGGGGTCGACATACAATGCTGTTGCCAACGCCCTCGGATGCCACCGTATCACTGTTATAAAACTTTTCAGGGCCTCAGACAAACTGGAGTCACCGTAGACAGACCATTAAATGGACGTCCACGCATCACAACGCCAGTTGAAGATAGGTACCCCGCCATTAAGGAAGGAGGGTAACGTTTCTTTTGGCATTTAGTGTATAATTGCATCTGGGCCATGTGAATGATATGAACATCTATCTGCGTCTCCACTTTACCATTAGAATTATAAAGCCTTGTCAACGGGCCGGACCACCTCATTTATAGATAACTAGTACGATACATGGATAGATAGATAACGATATAGATATACAAGTCCTCATGCAAATGTTTGGGTACAAATTTCAATTTGAAATGCCCCCTATGATCTCAAAATACTTGCAATTAAGTTGAATAGTAACATGCAAGAAATACCTTGCATTGACGACTACTCTATAAAAACACATGCAAACAAAAGAATTAAACAAATTAAAAATATAAAAATCTAACTACATATATATCTGGACGCCATGATAATATAACAAATACAGATATGTCAATGTAACTTTTATTTCCTTAATTGTTTGACGCTGCGCTCCAGCTATATGGCGGCGGTCTGTAAATAATCGAGACAAGACTGGGACAATCCAGTGGTTGACATCACGAGCCAATGAAACTATAAAATAAATGAAGGCTGTAGTTAACCTGGTCAAACAAAACCTTTGACTCAAAGATAATATAACAAACATAAATATATTAACATAACAAACAGTGTTAATGAACGCCGTAGCTCACCTGGTGCAATACAAACGCTGACCCCATGATAACATAACAAATATAAGTATATTACTTAACAAATCTGAATAAACGCCGTAGCTCACGTGCACCTGGTCCAATATAAACGGTGACCCATGGTAATATAGCAAATATAGTTATATTAACGTCACAAGAAGTCTGAAAGCACGCTGTAGCTCACCTGGCCCAATAAAAACGCTGACGCCACTTTTATGATAGACGTCCGCTGCGGTGGAACCTATCTTGGCAGCATTACACTCAATGCCTCTGTACTCAAACTCAAACTCGATGTGACCGGCGTACATTTCTCTGACGTTGTCAAGCGCAATGTTGATGGCTGGACGAAACCGACGGATGTCGTTCTTGTCGGCAGTGTTGTTTACTTCTATCGTTGCTACCTTCGCAACAAATACTGCATGGCTATAAAGGGAACACTGCCAAATGCAATAACCCACAGGTAGAGAAGCGAAAGTGTTGCCATGTTGAAGTGGACGCTGAAACTCGTCGACTGAGGAGCTGCTGATGGCGGTGACACAGAGATAATCGCGGCCTGTTTTGTAATTATCTAGTTCTGAACCACGCGTCATACACACAAGTGTATTAAACAGTTTGTCACAGATAATTCGAGCTGTTATGGTAATTTTCATCTTGCTGCAAAGTGAGGCTAATTAGATATGTTACATAATGTGGTTCATTGTGGAAATCGACTCACTGTCATAACTCTTCGTCATCTTAGATTCAGAGACAAACTTACAGAAACCGCGTTTGGTCTTCACATTTCACAATTTCTTTTACAAAAATTAGTTATTAGTCTTCTATGAAGACAAAAAAGACCATTCCTCAATATTGTTTGATCAGAGATACATCGTCTAAATTCATTTACAAATCTGATATAATTCTAGAAGGACATTGTCACCCTTGCAAGAACAAGCAATAAGTGTTTAAATTAATGCGACAATGCAGCAACGCGATATTTTGGCCGTTTTTTGGCATTGTTGCTTAGTCGCATTGTCCTGCTTTACAAAAATGTTTTTTATTTTACAAATGGGCGAAAATGTGCCAACGCGACGATGTCCCTTCTAGGATTCCATTCGAATCTGCGAGGAAACTGATTTTGGCTTATACTATTGGCGTGCTTGTCTTGTGCTGTTTCAGAGAAAGGCAACACAGAATCGATAGGGTATGCACACCTTTTGGCAAACATTTACAAGTGATTCATAATTATATACACTTGCTTTGTGTATAACCGGAATGGACCACTTAACTGGAGATTTCTTTTGACGATGGAAAGGGTTTGATGCTGTTACCACTGTTATTTATTGATATAACATTAACTGGTTTGGAATGAATGTTGAAAAACAGCTGAAGCCAATTATTTAGATATATATCATGCCCGTATTATGGTAAACACAATTCCATCAGAGTATGGGTTCGAATCACGGATGGGACTCGACCCCAAAAGTATTAGAATCTGTGCTTTACTGAGAAAGTGAATTCCCAAATTTAACATCTTTTACATTTGACCACTTTCTTAATGGTATTGTGTATTCATAGCTTTCGGCCGTGAGAGCCGAAATTAACACTTGTCGGGGGTTCACAAAGTACGTGATCTAGACTACCAGTTGTCAGACTTCTATTTTTATTTTAGCCGTGGTGGCTGAGCGGGTTAGATCGCTGACGTTCTGTGCTGGCGGTAAGGTGCCCGACTCTGACAGTGAGGGTTTAAATCATGGATGGGACTCACCCTTAACCCCACAGAATACTGTCTATTTGCATCATCGGTGTGCATTTGTCTTAAAGCGGAGATGGTAGTGGCATGTTAAGTTTCGTTTTTAGGAAATATTGAAAATATGTCATGCAGACAAATCACAGCTATAACAATAGTTTTGTGAAACAGTTTAAAAAATAGTTTATATAAATATAAAATTAGTTATGTCAGCATTTGAACAGAACACGGAACTGCCGCCTATCGACATCAGCTGAGTCGACTGAGACGAAGCAGCAGTAAAATATCGAAGCACATGGAAGGACAGATATCTCAACCCCTTGATGATCCATCTATCTTATTGTCACTGTTGAATTGAGTACGTTCAAGTGCTTTTTTTTCATTTGAAAAATATGGCAATAACTGAAATTTTGTTCAGTTTTAGTATCTTGATTGAGGATGTAAAAAGACTTGTTCATGCATAAAAATTGTATATTTTCCATTATATTAAAACTATTTCAAGGGTTATTTGTATCCGGCGTCCTGTTGTGCATGATGGCCGAGAATGGACATTGCTTTCTTGCCTTCATTTACGGCCGCGTGAAAGGGAGACGATGTTTGTATGTCTCTTTCTCATCATATACCCTGTCTGATATTTCTGCAATGCGAGGTGTATACTTGGGCAAGGATTTGGACTTTGTCCGCAATTTTTCTACATTCACAACGCAGTGAATGGGTACCCGGTGGGATGTGGTGGTAATATGACCTTTCACCATCTAGCATGCCTGACAGACAGCTTGTGTTGCAAACTCCAACGAGACTGTTTTTATAAAAAGGCTACTATCGTTTTGCTTTCCGATGGAGCAGCTGGCATCAACATCAGCATCAGCATCAGCATCAACATCAACATCAACATCAACATCAACATCAACATCAACATCAACATCAACATCAACATCAGCATCAAAACGTCATGGAAGGCTGGAGCACATATCGATATGATAATGTTTGTGAAGGAAAATAGAATACTATACAAGTCCACAAATTTGCAAAAGTGACACTTCAGGGTATGGCACGGACGACAATTCATTTGTTCACGCGATGTAACAAGGAGACGCGTGTCAAAGACATTTTACCTCCGCTTTGGATGGACAGACAGGGAGACTGTCGCATGGCGGCGCTGGGCTTTTCTATATATGAGAGAGACATGTTCTCATTGAGAAACGCAGCTTCCATAGATAAACCGTTTGTGATAACTGTACATTTTTTTATATTTGATTCAATCCGAGTAATATTTTTTAGGATTATTGCATTACTTGCTTAAGTAAAATGTTAATTTTGTAATCCATATCGCATATCACACTCAGGTATTTCTCGCCCTGTGTCAGCATACAGTATGACAGTCTTCACCACTACAAAGTGTTTTACTCGTCAACACAGTGGGCACACTAGACGTATTCTTCGCCCTGTTTTAGCATACAATATGACAATCTTCACCACTACAACGCCGCCATATAGCTGGAATATTGCTGAGTGTGGCGTAAAACTGAACTCACTCACTCACTCACTCACTCACACTACAAAGTGTTGTACTCGTCAACACAGTGGGTACATTAGACGTACTCCTCGCCCTGTTCCAGTATACAATATGACAATCTTCACCACTAAAAGGTGTTGTACTCGTCAACACAGTGGGTACACTAGACGTACTCCTCGCCCTGTTCCAGCATACAACATGACAATCTTCATCACTACAAAGTGTTGTACTCGTCAACACAGTGGGTACACTAGACGTACTCCTCGCCCTGTTCCAGTATACAATATGACAATCTTCACCACTACAAAGTGTTGTACTCGTCAACACAATGGGTACACTAGACGTACTCCTCGCCCTGTTCCAGGATACAATATGACAATCTTCACCACTACAAAGTGTTGTACTCGTCAACACAGTAGGGACAGTAGAAATAATTTAACACAAGATAATTTAGCCAAGACGTTTACCATTTTGTTACCATCAAATAGCCACTTCCCTTTCACTTGAACCACAAATAGACGCGCACAGTGAGTGAGTTTAGTTTTACGCCTCACTCAGCAATATTCCAGCTATATGGCGGCCGTCTGTAAATAATCGAGTCTGGACCAGACAATCCAGTGATCAACAAAAGTGTTACTAACTAATGAAAACAGTGGTACTGATGTGACTATATTTTGTTTTTTTAGAGTCAAGTGTAACCTTGAATCTTCTGGAAGATTTGGAGCGGCGTTGTAGGTTAACGGTTACAGCGTTCGCTATCGGTTCAAATAACCGGACTCATTCAACTGACTGACTCACTCACTCAGATCACTCACTCAGATCACTCACTCAGATCACTCAGTCACTCACTAGAACAGCCAAAGGCTAGTTAAAGGTATTTCAACTATAATACGTTGGCCAGGCCATGCCAGTTATATGAAGATCATTGCCTCCAGGTGAAGACTATTGTCACCGACGTTATAGCTGTTACAACTGCTATCATGTTTCATACGTAATAGTATATACAAATCAATTACCTGTTGGCATCGCAATTACTTAGTTTGCATTAACTTGTAATGCAAAGATAATTTTACAATAGACTTGTTCAATGTATATTAACATTTCTTTGTTGTTTGGGTTTTTGTCACATTGATTGCTTTTGGATATAGATTTCAGGGTTAATGCTTTGTTTTTATTAGTTCAACACGTAACATAAGATAGATAAAGGTTATGTGGACAAATTGTGTGCAGTTGCCTTGATTTGCGAGCAGCTTGCTTCTCTTGATGAACTAGCTTTTTGTCAGGGCCAGACTATATTTTAAGGTGAGATGAAGTGGGGTTTAACGTCTCAATTAAGCAACTATATCGCTCATATGACGACGTGCATGTGTGTGTGTATGTGTGCTTGTACTAGCCCTGGTTTTATAGTGCTAGCTCACTGAGATGCCATGCCGCAGTTAAGCATGAATACCCCACTCAGACACATTATACTGACTCCGAGCCGACCAGTCCTTGTCGTACCCAGTAATGCCGAGCGCCAGACAGGGACCAACAAGTACCATATTTCAACGTCTTTTGGTATGACGCGGCCGGGGATCAAACCCGCGACCTTCCGCTCTCCGGGCGGACGCTCTAACCACTGCAGCACGGAGGCGGGCCTGTATTTTAAGGGTCGCCGTTATATAGCTTTATTGTGCTGACTATGGCGAAGAAACAAACAAAATAGGGCTCAGTACTGATGATAATGACATGAACGGCAGCCTTTAATTATGTAACAGGAAGATTTATTCTAGATGACACTGCCATAACTTATAATGAGGTCGGGTTTCATGCACTGCAACACAATAATAAAACACTTCCTAATCTCCGGTGACAGATGTTTCAGAACGGTGTATATCACTCAGCTTCCATGTGCTGTCGACAAACGCATACATTTCTAACTTGCCATTTACCATTGTGGCAAAGGTCTGAGATCTGCATGAATTGGGGCTTTCTCAAACATCAAGCCAGCCCACTGTGATCCTGATGTAATTAACTTAAGTTTACATTTGGTATTTTTATCGACTTCATGAAACAAGTATATG